CGACTGTCACGCTTGAGGCCCAGGCCAAGTGTACGGGGTTTTGGCGGCTCAGCACTCGGCTGCTGCACGTCAAGTAGCAGATGTGGGTCGTTCATGTCAAGAAGAATTTTCTTTGACAATCTCGCCGTCTCAAGCTCTGGGTCATCCCATGTCGGCAAGTCCATGTGATCGTAGACGGAGAACTGTATGGGCTTTTCGCGACTGCCAAGTTTCCGCTTTTTGTTTGGTGACAGTTGGTCAATGTCGACGCTGTCAGGTGGACTTGGTGCCTGGTTACTATCGGCCAGGGCTGGGACACTAGACTCGTCCGGAATTTCCCAGTCCTCACATGCAATCCTAAGGTCGCTCCATGATATGTTTCCAATCATTTCGCGATCGTCGATAGTCTCGAGGTTTTCTAGTTCCAGCTGTTCGTCGGTCTCACCATCCTCCTCGGCAACGCTGGTGATGTGAATAATTCCGCCTTGCTCTTCCTCTTGTTGTCGACCTGGTTTGGCAGTTGTCGTTGTTGTGGGATGTAGTCGGAAGGCTTTCTCTTGATCTGTCGCCAAGTCGAGGCTAAGCTTGTTCATTTGAAAAGACTTTGGTGCCTTTTGCGGAACTTTGGGTATATAAAATGCACGTTTCCGTGGCACTAAGCTAAAGAAGCGTGGTGGCTTGTCTTCTTCAAAGTTGGGCCAAATCTTCTCAAACTCCTCCCGCGACGTCTTCTTGTGAGCGATGGCTGGCTCATCCTTTTTGCGCATCGACTGTGCGAACAGAGCCATCTGCTCGCGCACCTCTGGGTCTTCTTCCTCCAAATCCTGCTGCGCAATACCATGAGCGGCGTTGTGGGCAGTCGGCTGTGGCTTGTCATTTTCGGAGCTATTGAAAGCCTGCTGAACGAGGTCTTCGATAGAATTCATTGGGTCATCCTCGTGTTGTCCAGACTTTTGTATGGGGTCAGAGAGACCCATGCCATCACCGAAGAGGTCGTCGTCATCGTCAACGTTGTCGCCGAACAGGTCATCCATGTTCACATCGTCATCATTCGGTGCTCCACCAGAGTCTTGCACCGTGGTTCCGCTGAAATTGATACCGGCGTCGTCACCTTCGCCCGACTCAAATTCCTCTTCCGGCAGGTCGTCGTCGCCGATATCTTCGTAATCGATCGCATCGTCTGCCTTTTCGCCAATCTCGAGCGGGCGGTCCGTGATGCCTTCCAAGAGATTGACCTCGCCTTCTGCAACGCCCATGCCCGCTTGTCGTAGCAGCTTCTGGAAGTCATCGTCCTCGGATGTGTCCCCGCCGCCGCCATTCGGCGGGTTGTGGTCAACGTCCATAGTCGCGTGTAAATTCCTCTCGTGGGTCCGGACGGTTGTGGGTATTAATATCGGTGCGCAATTATGGGCGAGAAGTGAGGGAGCGCCGCGAGGCGGGTGAAGAGTTGAGGGGTGCGCGCGCCGTCATTCACGCAGCCACCTCGTCGGGTATGGTGTATAGTATGCAGGAGATGGCCGTGTGTATCGCGTCGTAATCCGATTTGTCGCCGGTGTGGTTTCTCGTCGTCTTCGAGTGCTGATGTCGATATAGCCCAACGGCTAGAACGTCGTGTAGAAGTGATGCAAGTCGCGGCTGAAAGCCGCGGCGAACCGGTCCGTGCACGACCCCGAAAACTGTCTAGTGAGGCGCGTACCCACGGCAGTTCCTACCGTGGCGTTCACTCCACATAGTACAATACCATCTAGCTATTGATACGAAATACTTGAAACGCTAGTGTAAAAAGTCTACTTCAAGTGCCAGACACACTCATTGGGTGCTTGCCCACACTGTCAAGTATTCTGTATCACCCAGATGATACCATGCTATGCCTGATACTACGTCACATAATTACGCTCTAGTCTGAGACTCAGAGACATCTTAACCCTTATTATACATTGGTTCTGTTGTGTACGATACTCGGCTTTCACTGCCTAGGTATCAGGTCATCTCCTATAGTGAGTTCAGTATTCTCTGTCTATTGTACATTGAATATCGGCGTAAATGTATGGATGCACATAAGTGACATGAAATACTCGATAGCGAAAGTGTAGGTAACCCTCACTATTGAATTCTTGATCGGCATGTCTGACGCCTACAGTAACTTCTGTATACTAGGATGTTAAGTATATGACCTAGGTAGATACTACATCTATAAAAGTCAAAGGCAGCTTGCTTATAAGCAAGTGCCCACTATTATGCATACATCCTCAGTAATGCTTGGCCAAATACTAGGCCAGCAAGAAGATGCCACAATGAAAAGAGATACCGTCTCCATGCGCAGAGCACTAAGGCTTTGTCAGTCTTCCAGTGTATCCAGAGATCACGTCTCCATCGAATCTCCCTCATCTCCGGCCTCAGCCTCACCTTCACCCTCATCCCCAATCCCCCAAACCTGGGCCCTCGCCCGGCTGTAATACATCTTAACCGTGGGCGCCCCAATTGACCACCCACGCTCCCTCTCCAGCTTCTCGCGAATATCTCTAAAAGACATATGATCCACGTCGCGCCAGACCACAATACACGTCTTCTCGAAGCGGTGAGTCTTGAGATTATTAGTCTCGCGGCGCGACTGCCTATTAGAATTAGCGGACTGCTTGCTTTCCTGTGGCTGAGAGGAAGAAGCTGCGGGATCCTGCGCGTCTCCCACATCCTTACCTGCAGCAGGCTCTTCTTCCTCAGCCTCAGCATCCGTGCTCTTCCTACCCTTCCTAGGCTTTCCTCTATTCTGAACTATCCTATCCACAGCCCCAATCTGTGACTCGTCCTTTTTCCCGTACCGCTTTAGCAACCGCTCTAGAGACCGGATGTGGCGGCGTCTAAGGGCCTCATCGGAAACGTTGTCATCAGGGAACATCTTGACGTACAGACGCGTTGCTTTGGCGTAAGTGTACTCTAGATCGTCCAGCCAGTGGATCAGCATGCTGTGCGGGTGGTCTTCAGTGTCGCCGAAAGGGAAAGTCCCTAGGACGGGGGCTGGGGGAGTTAGGCCTGGGATCAGGCCTGGACGGGGTGGCATCGCGATGGCTTTGATGCTGATGTATTTTAGGCCGAGGGCATTTGTGGTATGAGCCTGAGGTCCACGTGGTAGTGGTGGTGATGGTGGCTTGGAGTTGGCATTGGCGTCTTCTGGAGTGGGCATGGTTCGCGTTGGTGGTGGTGTGTCTTCCTGAGCCATCCTCGCGGCTAGCGAGCTAGGCGCAGATCCGGTGACGAAGGACATGATGATGTCGTGTGCGGATGCCATAATTGCTTGCACAGATGGTCTATGGTAAGCGTTGTTGGTGTGTGAAAACCGTTGAGCAAGTCGTGTCGAGAAGAGTTCGGTGGAGGCAAGCAGTAGATTGAGGTTGACTGAGTGTGTTGTAGAGTTGTATTGGTACTCAGGATCGTGAAGCTTATCTAGGTACAAGCAAGGGGTTGAGTAGGTAGTAGTGAGTGGGTAGTGGCGTGGGTATCGGCATCGAGGTGTACGGTGTGTGGGGGATGAGCAGGTAACTAGTCGAATCACTTGGACGTAAACAGAAAATTCTAACCAATTACTCATACTTCACTCAAGTGAAAGCATCATATAGCGTTGTCTAATTTAAACATTGTATTCATCAAATACCAGACCGTCATCAACCAGTATGGTATCATTCCCACGCGCTCCATACCAAATGCTTCCTCATGTTACCATCTCAAACACCAAACGCCATAACCAAGACCCGGTATCTTTCCCAAACCTATCAAGCCCGACCAGTAATGTAGTCCTTGTTCTCAATCGTAACACTCTTCGTCTGTCTTTTTGTTAGTACAAACTCTCTGCCACAAGCAACGCAAGAGTTGACTTACCATATGATTAACCTTATAAACACCCACCAACCGACTCGCGAGCTCAAACATGTTGTTCCTGAGTGAAATGACGATAAACTGCGCGTTCTTCGTCCGCTCCTTGATGTAACTTGCCACAATGCTCACATTGCGGAAGTCAAGCGCCGCATCAATCTCGTCCATAACATAGAGCGGCGTAGGCTTGTAGTGATGAAGCGCAAAGACAAGTGCCAGTGATGACAACGTCTTTTCACCACCAGACAAATTGCTGATGTTCTTCCAGGACTTCTTTGGGGGCATGACAGAGAAGCGGATGCCCTCGGAAAAGGCGTCAAGCGTATCTTCGTATTCGAGTTCGGCGTTGCCACCCATAGTGATCATTTGGTACATCTCCTTGAGACGCGCGGTGATGATATCGAAGCCAGCTTTGAAACCTTCTTTTCGGAGACGTCGGAGCTCTTCGCACTTGTTCTTTGCAGCGTCGCGAGCGCTGATAGCGGTGGCAAGGTCACTGGATCGAGCAGCATGTTCTTCAACACGCTTGCGATATTCGGCGAGGACGGACAAATCGACTTGCGTCGACTCATTCTTCTTCTCAAGGTGGGCAATCTGCTCCTTGAGGGCGGCCTTGTCCATGTCTTCGAGCTCGTCTTTGCTGTAGGAGGGCAGGCCTTCACCGGAGCCTTCCTGCTCGTCACCAAGATCAGTTACGCTCTGATATGCGAGCTTGCTTAGTTTCTCGTGGTAATAGGTCTGTTTCCTCTGGAACTCATTGAGGGTCTTTTGATTCTCTTCAAGCTTGTTTCGCATCTCAATCTCAATTGCACGCGTCTCGTTGAGTTCAGTCGTCTTCTCGTCGAGTTCCTTCTTGACAACCAGCAGTTCCTCTTTCTTGGTTTCAAGCTCTTCTTGCGCCTCCTCGGCCTGTTGTCTGATACCTGAGACGTCGCGTTGCTGTGAGGCCATATCTTCCTCGACCTTTTCTGCATCGACCGCAAGCTTCTCAAGCTCTCTGATAGCATCAGCGTGTGCCTTCTCGTGTTTAGCCCGCTGCTTCTCCTCTTTGGACTTTGAGACCTCAGCATTAGATGCCTGCTCGGTCAATGTATCGATTTGTCCTTTCAAGCCGTCGACCTTGGCCTTCTGACCACGCAGCTTTACTCCTCCAATCTCCATGATTTTGTCTTGAAGAGCCTTGATCTCTGCCTCAATATCCTCTGTCTCAGAACGAAGCTTAGATACCTCCTTCTCCATGGATGCGATACTCTTTTCTAGGGAAGAGATACGGCCTTTGTCGGTCTTTGTGGAAGTCTGTTCACTACCCAGCTCCTGAATACGACGCTGGCAGTCTGCGATGTTACGATCAAAGCTCTCCAGCTCAAGAGCCAGCTTCTGCGACTTGGTGTCTAGTTCTGGGATCTGCTGGTTGAGATCTCTCAGCGAAGTCTCAAGTTCCCGCAGCTCTTGCTGGAACTCAGTAAAAGCCTGCTCCAGCGTATCACGATCTTGCTCTAGCTTCGCGACTTGGTCTCTTGAGACATCTGATGCAAGCTTAGACGACATCTTTCCCTTGACGACGCGGCTTCCACCACCACTCATGGTACCCGCAGTATCAATGAGCTTGCCATCCAAGGTGACGACTCGCCACCGCTTTGCGCCGTATGCGATGCGCTCAGCTTGATCGAGATCCTCTGCTACGAGCGTGTTGGTCATGACCTGGAAGAAGGCGGGCTTGAGCTTGTCGTGCTTGGGCTTGATAAGGTCAAAGAGACGGGGCACGTTTTCAGGGGTCTGAACAGGCGACATGTCACGCTTGGCGAGACGGTCCAAGAGAATGAAGTTGGCGCGACCAAGGTTGTTTTTTCGTAGGTATTCAATGCACTGCTGGCCAGACTCTACCGTGTCCACGACCATGTTATCCAATTGGGGGCACGCCGTGGATATAGCCACGTCATACTTCTGGTCAATAGTACCCAAATTTCCAAGTCGGCCATGGAATCCATCGATACGTCCAGACTCCTTTAAGCGCATGAGTCCTGTCAGGACATTGCCTTGGGTTTGGGCAGATGAAAGGCTGGCGCGAGCTTCGTCTGCCTTTGCTCTTGCGCCCGAAAGCTTTGACCTCAGTGTCGGCTCTTTTTGAATTATCTCCTCGAGCTTAGCCTGTGTCTTTTGGACGTCCTTCTCAACGCGCTTCCTTTCAGCTTTGCACTCAGCAAGCTCGGTAGCCTTAGCCTCCTTCGCTTCTTGCAGGCTCTCGATCTTTGCTTCGACTTCAGCGATACCCTTGGCACCTGCATTCTCCCGCTCGCGCATTATGTCCAGTTCACTCTGTGCGACTGCGATGGCTGATTGCTTTTCGTTAATCTTGGCGTTCCAAGGTTCGAGAGTCTTCTGCTTGGCTGCAATCTCATCCGAGAGACCTTGTGTTTTGCCGGCCAAACTCTTACGAACAGCTTCGAGCTCCTTCTCCTCAACCTTCATGCTTTCCTCGAGCTCAACAATCTCCGCGTTGTAGCGTTCAAGATCCTCGCCATACTGTTTTGCGAGACTCTCCGCTTCGGAGCGACCATAGTAGCTTGTCTCTTTGGTCTTCTCTAGCTTCTTTTGCTTGCCGGCCAGGAACTTCTTCTTCTCCTCAAACTTGACAGTCTCCTTGTCGATCCGTGCAACCTCTTTTTGGAATTCCTGGTTCCTCTTTTCGAGCTGTTCGCACTCTTTGACACCCTTTTTGTATTGCTTTTCAAGCTCTTTGATCTCCCCTTCATTGCCTTGGTGCTTTTGAAGCTCTTCATCCAATTGAGCCTGGAGTTGCCCTACAGATTCCTGGGTGACTTGTATATGATCGTCAAACTCGGAAATGTAGATTTGGTAAAGCGTAGACTGCTTCGAAGCCAGCTCGTTTTCGTCGCGAATGTAAGCGAGGGCTTTGTTCTTTTTCTCTTCTAGGCCACTCTTCTCCTTCTCCACGTGCTGCACACGATTGCTCTTTTCCCGGCAAACCTCATTCAAGCTCTCGACTTCCACTTCAGATTCTGCGATGGGTGTCTTGTACTTGGAAGTACCAATGATGTCTTCCAGGTACTCGAGGAGGCCGTCATCATGTTCACCCTGAGCCTTTGGCTTCATCTGCGCAATGGATTCAACTTCACCTTGTAGAATAAGGAAACGCTTATGGTCCAGATCAACCCCCCGGTCTTTAAGGAGGTTTGTAACAATGGTGAAGGTAGACTCCTTCCTATTGATGTAGTACTTGCTAGAGTTGTTCTTGAACGCTCTTCGGGAGACCACTAGCTGTGAACCAGGGATGACCTCATGGCCGCCATTTGGGAGGTCTTTGACTTCCTGGAAGTGGACTTCAACTTCGCAGTAGTCTAGATCTGGGAACGCGGCTGAGTTGTGGATGAGGGCGGAAAGCTTGCTCTGTCTCATCTTGCTTGCACGGAAACCGAAGACAAAGAGGAGCGAATCGATAACATTCGATTTGCCGGAACCGTTTGGCCCGACTACGGAGGAAAAGGACGCGTGGAAGGGTCCAACTTCCTGCCTGCCTGCGTAACTCTTGAAGTTGTTTAGGACAAGCCAGGTGATTACTGTCCGTTGTGCCGGCGCCACAGGCTCATGCATCGCTGGTAGGGCAGCCGCCCGCCTCTTCACGACAATGTCTATTGGTTCGAGCATGGTCTGTTGTGTGTTTAGCTCCTCCATCACCTTGGCCGGTGGCTGAGGGTTCGGTATTGGCTCAACCTCTGTTTCTGCCTCTGGTACGGGTGTCTCCTCTTTTGCCTCTATTTGTGTGATCTCAGCAGCAGGTTCTGGCTGAGGCTCAGGCTGAGGCTCTGGTACAGGAGTTGTCTCCTCCTCAGTATTGCCCATTACAACATCTTCCATTGGCGAGCCTGGTGTGATAGTGGCTTCGGTGGCTTCGGTGACTTCGGCGGCCTCGGGAGCCTGGTCGGGTTCGGGAGACACTGAGGGCTCAGGTGTGATCAGCTGCGAGGTTTCTTCGGCCGGAGGCGGTGCTACAGAAGCACGAGGCTTCCTCCCACGTTTCTTAGGTACAGCCTTTGAAGGTGAGGCTGCTCGTCTACTGCTCTCCGGGGCGGGGGTGAACATCTGAGTCGGCTCAGCCGACTCTGTTACACGGGTCCGCCGTCTGGCTGCCGGTTTGGGTGTTGCCTCTGCATCTTGGGCTGGAGCCTTCTTCGGTCTTCCTCGTCCTCTTCCCGTCTTGAGGGGCGCGGGCGCAGGTGTGAACTCCTCTTCCTCTTCCTCGTTCTTGACTTCTGGTGTTGGTGTCCTGTTCTCATCGTCCGAATCAATAACGGGGGCTCTTCTGCGCGTCGCAGCGGCACGCGTAGACTTCCTAGGCGATTCTGAGGCCATTGTCAATATCCCCGTGGGTTAGTTGTCGTTGGTTTGCGCCCACTCCTTGTACGACTTGCACCTTCCCGCTGTTGTGCCGCACAGGCCACAAAACAAACAACGCGCTAACGTGTGAGCCCCGCGCCCCACCCTAGACAGACGTCCCTGAGCCCTTCAGACAAATCAACTTTACATATGCATCACGTAAGATAGGAAAATGCCAATTCTAACGCGTGTAATATCAATTTGGTCAATGGATGAAGTAAATTTTTTTAGCAACTCGGGCTACGATTATTTCTATGAGAAGCACTGTTATCCTCTTCCCACCCCCGGATTAACCTCAACAGCACAGTGGTGTTTCAAAAATCTCCTCTTGACAATCTCGTTCCCAATATCACCTACAGCCATCGGTGGCGGCTTGAGTTGAGGAGAGCGGTATCATGGATCCTGGGAGGTGTTGAAGAGAAGAGGAGAGCTGACAGTGGCTGGAAAGTAAATACAGTTGCCAATCGCATAGCTTATACAGCATAATGAGTAGAACCTATTCAAGCATAGGATTTTATTTGGATACTTTTTTCAATCAAGGCCCATACAGCGTGTACCGCATAAACGGTCACATCAACGTCCCCCTACAGTAGGTGGCGCCGACTTCAGACCCCCCATAAGATACCACTCAACATATTTTTGTGCCGGCCAACCGCCCCATTCCTCCACACTGTCAATCTGCGACTTGATAAGAAGTGCAATATCCGCTGGAGCACGCTTTGAATGATCGCTATGAGGACTCACACCACCATTCTCAACAGCCGCTCGCAAAGCAACCAGTGTTTTGAATAAAATGTCTCTGCCCGAACGCTGGGCTTGTACACGCGCTGTAACTTCTGAGCGGTGCTTGGTGAGCCAGGTGGTGAAAGAGTAAAGTCCCTCATGATCGCCGAGGAAGCCCAGAGCGCGTACATAGGCATGGAGTTCTGCTGGTCCGGGGATGTGTGGCGGAACGATGTCACCTCTATATAAGTGCATGTCGGCGTTGGCTCCGACTAAGCTGTTGAACAGTGTTCGCAGTCGAGCAGAACCGTTGCTAAGAATTTGATTTGCATCTCCAAATGCAGCTTCGCCTTGGTGGACGGATTGGACGGCAAAGTAGGTTGCTGTACAGGCTATGCGGAACAATTCGTCGTCGAGGTCGAGGTCGATCTGCTCCATGTCCTCAAGCAGACCATATATGATCCTGTACCGAGCGAATTTTCCGGCACTTTTGCTTGTATTGTCGTTCATCACCTTTTCCGTGAACGCAGCCCAAGCCGGTCGGTATTTTGGCCGATAGTGTCTAAGAAGCAGATACGCGTATTCTATAAGGTATTGTCGGTCCCACATAAGTTCATGTGCGTGTTGTTCCGGATGGAGAAAACAAAGTTCCTTTGTAGGCGGCTGCTTGAAGCGTCCCCAGTGGCACAGAAAGCGGATGATGCTTGCGAATAGATAGCCTGGGATTGATCGTACCGAGGCATCATCGTCATGTATGCCTTTCAATATACGGCCAGTGCCACCATTGTAGTCGTCTTTAGCAATATCTAATAGGTTTAGGCCTATGTGGAAGTCCGGACACCACTCGAGAAGGAAGGCCAAGAGGCGATTTGAAGGTTTGACATGCTTATCGAGCATCCGTATGAGTAGTTGTCTGTATCCAGGAATGGGTTCACTGAGATAGACATAATGAAGTGAAGACGAGGGATCGGGCAGAACCTCCTTCATGTCACCAGGTAAGAGGTCGGCGCTGTTCCTCCCAGGAACTTGCCCAGTATTGGATGAGAAGTCTGCTTGGGCTGATCTTTCTGCCTCAGGATAGCACAATCTTTCGAACATGGCAAGATATATCTCTGGATGTGCGGGTTCGCTGGATGACTCGGAAGAGAGAAAGCATGCCCAAGCTTCCCTTCGTGTGCGTGTCGACCGTATACGGCCAGCCCAGAGTACCGGGCGGAGTTGATCGTCGTCGCCATATTGCGACGAGATACGTGGCAATGATGTTCGAGTTTGTATAGTTGGACTCAAATCTGTATCCCAACCAGCGTATGTTTGCGCCACTTCTTCCCATATATGACCCGCATACCCAGCTTCGTACATGCGGCGCAAAAGCTGGGAAGCGCGTGAAGTACCGAACTCGTAGCCTTTTTCCTCGTCCATAGCTGTGCGATTCTCTTTCCACGGTGGCCAAGAAGGACCTTTGAGTTCAGCCCACTCTCTTTCTTGGGGTGTTTTTGCATGAGCCAGCTGATTACGTATTACAGACCGAAAGCCAAGCTTCGTCACTACTATAGGAGGAGACGCATTCGCCATGTATTCTAGGATCTTAAATTGAGCCTTTTCCTGATGGGCTGCATAAAGCACAGGCCGAGAAGATGCCGGGAGGGACAATAGCATAAGATAGTTGTTGCAGAACTGAGTAATATCCAAAAGCCTCCTAGGTGAGAATGGTTCTGTAGCATTCGCGTCCCGATGTAGACGAGTTGCTTCAGTGACAAACCAAGATGCAATCCAAGGGATTGACTCGGGCCAGAGCTCACGCGCATGACGCACTAAACGGACCGCAAGTATCTTGAGTGCCGACCAGCTCAGGGATTTTGACTGCACAATACGGTCAAGATGTCCCATGATGATGCGCAGAGCAGACACTCTGATGTGCTTACGACGTAGAAACAGCAGAAGCAGGAACAAAGGTGGCGTCTCCACCCCTGGCGCGAATATCTTTACCGCCATGTTTGATTGGGGCTCTGTGAGAGAATGAGCCCATTGCTCTATGCTTTCCGGTGTGTAGCCCTTGGACCGGAGATAATGCAATTCTAATCGATCATATTCGAAATCCTGTTCGGGTGATGGCGATGCGGTATGATGTTGAAGATAGCGAGCAAGAATCGAGTACAGCGAATGTGGTTCCAAAGCTTGCAAAGCAATACTCAGAGGCGATTCGGCTTTATAAACTCCGCGGCGGGTGCTTTCTTGGACACTGTTGTATGACAAGTCGATCTTGTTGGCAGGTGCGACAAAGTACAAGTGTCTGGCTGGACCACTAATAGATGCTAGAACTGTCGCAGGTCTGCTCTGGCGTAGAGCCTTTCTAGCATTACGGGATAGACTTTCGATCTTCAGGGCAATCTTCTCCTCCAGGTCATCCTCACTGTTCCTTTCCAGACTCTCTTCAGGACTCTCTTCAAAGTTCTCTTCGGATTTTTCTTCGGTTAAACCCTCAGAATCCTCAATTGTGCCCCACAAGGACGTGTCGACGTCTGACGCAGCATCTGCTTGCAGAATACTTACAGAGTTGTCTATAGAAGATTCAGGGGATTTCTCGTGATTGAATTGCTGCGTGGAAGATTCAGGAGAGTTCTTGTCCTTGGGTTGTTGCACAGAGTGAAGCCTCCGAAATCTCTGTGACTTCTCATGGCGACGGAGAGGTATGCCACTGAGAGTCCAGGGCTTGGCGGGGTAATTGACAGGTGAGAGTGGCAGGAAGACACAAACAGAACATGATGAGATGAACGAAAAGTCTCTCCTCTGACGTGGGAAGACTGGGGTAACAGAAGCCTTCATTATCAAGTTAGCACAAAGTTGAGGGGTGAATGCCGCACACAAGCTTACCAAGTTGATGCATAGGCGCGTCACACTGTAGGCGGCACTATGATGGCTACCTGGAGCTGGCAAGGAGAGAATAGAGGGCATTCATCTGACGGAAGAGACGTCTAAACACGTGTAGTCGTCAATTGAAGTGAAGGGGGGCCGGTCGGTCGGCCAGCAAGAAAATCGTGGGTAGCTCATACCCCATCTTCACTAGCGCGGATATACCACCATCGCAAAACCGCGGCTTGGAGACTACTACCGAATGCAGCAGTCAGGACTGTGCATTGTAAAGACCTTGTAACAATAGCAACAGGCGAAAAAGGCCGTTAATTGAAGCGGGCAGAATTCACTCATTTCGACGCAGCGTGCACGGCAGCTGACACTTGTGGCACTCCGCGGGTTTGCCTTGGCGTTCAGGCTTCGCGTGTTCCATTCATCGGTGCACGCACTTCCACCATAGCAAGCCAACTTTGGACAATCGCCATCACCACCGCCCGGCTTTTCTCAAGCATTTGCGCGTCGTTGCAAGTCGTGCTGGATCGAAATACGCGCCTTCCGGATTTTCACCACCGCGCCTGCGATTGTTGAGGCCAGGGAATGCTGGTGTAGAAGACATACTAACGACGACCTTGGCCGCCCTGAGCGCGTTGTTCCATCCCACGGCATCACTCGCGCATCGCCAACAGCACCCAAAGTCACCATGGCCGCCGCCAACGGCACCCTCACCCCGCCGTCGCTCCCGCCCGCGCCCCCGTCGCCGTCGGCCGCAAAACGCAAACTCGACGACACTCATGCCATTGTCACCAATGGCGCATCCACGCCCGCGCAAGCCCCGACCGTAAATGGAAATGCGCCTTCTCTGCAGGCGGTACTAGGAGACATAATAGCAGTTTTGAAAAGGTACGAGAGTTGGGGGAGAGACCCCCGCTTCCACGCGTATGCCATGGGGCCAGCAAACCCTGTCCAAGCCATGCGCATGTCGCTGGCTGTAACGCAGTCTTTTTCTTTTCATGCTGACAATAGGTAGCTACGACACGCAACCTTCCATCCTATCTCACCCCATCACCTCCTCGATAACGCGATCTGCCTCTGGGGAAGCCGACTCGAAGCGCACCAAGCTGACCCCGCCCACTGGACCTGTTACCATCAGCAGTCTGGTACAAGATGGAGCATACGACACCCTACAGGCACTTGTCAAGGATGTTGAGAGCGCTACGACAGAGATTCTCGCCTCTAGCGGTGCAAGCGACTCGTCAGCCGTGCCAGCGTCACCCGAACACACGGCGCTACAAGCAAAGGTGCTCGCTTTTGAGACCATGTTGAAGAGTCTGGTGGGGAGAGAAGAGGCGCGCAGAGCCCATGTTCAGGGAAGCGAGGTCGATGCGGACGCGCAGGCCGAGCCCTCCAACGAAGACGGCACCCCAGTGCACATCAAGGAGGAAGAGCAAGAGGCAGATGTGCCCCAGAGCCGGACAGTCCTCACTCTATACGGAAGTGCGCCGCCGAAGCAATTGTTCTCGAGCTTGCAACAGCCCCAAAAGGTAGCCCCTGCTGACGGCGTATCCACCCTCGATACTTCCGTCAAGATCACCCTACCCCTGCGCGAGACAAACCTGCCGAACCTTATCTCAACGACAGAGGTGTACCCCCTCCCAGAACCAGATAGCAAGAAGAAAGTCGCTACCATTGGAGAAGTCTTCCGGGCCCCTTCCCATCTGCCACAGATCAGCCCACCCAAATCTGCTCGACCGACAACGAGCAAGGGCAATAGCACCATTACTTTTGCGCACCAGGAGCCACCCAAGCCTCGACGCAAGGGATCTCAGTCGTATGCCCATCAAACTCTTTCTGCTGGTTTCTGGCTAGGCTATGGCGGAGTGGATATGCCCAAAGACCAGACATCGCCAACAGCGAAGCAAAAGAGCAGACAGCGGGCCCTCAGCATGGGCGAGGCGCAACAACCGCCTTCTGAGGCCATACTCGTTGCCGTTCAACAGGCCAGGGAAGATGCTCTGTTTCGAAGTGCCTACTCTAGCTTCGCCCCAACCCGAGACGATACCTCGGCCATCATCCCTGAGGAGACCAAGAACATGGTGTGGTGGCAAAAGGTCGGGGAGAAGCGCTTCAATGAAATGTTCCCGATTGATCCGGCCCTGCTCGACGCTGAAGAGGCCCAACGAGTGATTGCCAATTGCACCGCTGATGAAGAAGAACAGTTCAAGGAGGCTGTGGACAACTTCACGCCACTTGAGTACCATGGTGCACTTGAGAAGGAAGAGAAGAGCCAAGAAGAAAAGGACACAGATGAGGTGCTCAAGGAGATCTCCGAGCTCCTGGAAACATTGGCGTCGTATCAGAGGATACGAAATCTCTCCCTTACGACCAACCCGCGTACTCCCGTTGTGCAAAATGCTTCACTAGCAACTTTGGCCGGCAGCCCATCAACACCATCATCGGAAGAGTTTGACGTATACGAGATTCTCAAATCTCAACTTACCTTGTTGATTTCACAGCTTCCACCATATGCTGTAGCTAAGCTGAATGGTGATCAGATGGAAGAACTCAACATCAGTCGAACCATTCTCTTCGATACAAAGGAATACAAGGGTGTGTTGGAAGAAGATCAGCTCTCCAAACTTGCCAAGGCTCCAGCAATGCCTACCTCTACTCCCGCAGCTCTGGCACGAACAAGCTCTGGAACCAGTGTGCATTACCCTGCGGGCCACCAATACAGTCGTCCTGCACCTGCAGTACCTCAGTCAGGCGCTCGCCCAGTGTATTCTCAACAGCCATCCCTCCACCGATCATCGTCGATTCACGTGCAGCGCTCGCCTTCAGTTACGTCGCAGACATTCCAACCAGGTGGCATAGCCTATGCGCCTTCGTCTAGGCCAGGCTACCCAGCGACGCCATCCTACAACCAGCAGACGCCACGACCAAACTACGGGACCACTCCGTCTGGGCAATATTTCCCACAGCGTTCGGCGCAACCAAACAGCTACGGCGGTGCCGCTGGCTCGCAGTACTACAACCCTACGCCCCAAGCACAAGGCCAGAACCGTTATGCAACCCAGCAAAATCAGAGCAGCTTCTATCCTCGCTCACAAAATGTTGCACCTTTGTACAACGGTGGACAGACACCGCAGCAGCGCACTGCGTCGCCTATGAAGGCTGCACCCACTCCGGCAGCTTATGCCGCACGGCCAGCATATGGCACGCCAATCTCTGGAGGGCAGATGCGCAGCACTTACTACGGACCACCACAGTACGCTACTCCGCAGGCTCCCGCTACCACTGCTCCTTACAATGGCGTGTCCAACAACCCCCAGCAGATGATGATTGATAGGCAGCAAGCACAGGTAGCGGCCCAATCGCAAGCCCGGCTCGCCGCACAAAATAGCTTTAGTAGCAGCAGACAGGGCTCTGGTACGCCTCAACCGCCCAATGGGTCGATGTTTGGCGCAAATGGGGCATCCATGTCCACGTAAGTGTCTTGACGAGTGATTGTCGATTTGCAAGGTGTTCTGGATACCATAGATTATTAATCTGGCGTTGTGGGCATTCCGACAGCCTGTGTGTGTCCGAAGGACTATTGTTTCCTGGGCGTTTTCTGTTCACCAGCAACTCTGTCCTCCATTGATTTGGGCAGCGGGTGTGTTCTGTTTAGTCTTTTGCGTCAGCCCCTCATGCAATGAGTGTGATGAGCTGAGATACAGGGGTAGATTAGCAAGTATATTAAGATAGTCTTGAATTCTTAATAAGAGTGCATGCATTATGCCGACTGTGGCTGTGGCTGTGAAGTCGAGGCGGTGTGGCTGGTGGACCCTGCATTCCGAAAAGCCGAAATGACGTCGCGCGCAACGCGTACCTCTCGGCGAGCTGCGGAGGGCAGACAAACGCAGCCCCAAGAGGCCCCATGTCCAGTCACGCTTCACGAAAAAGACGATGAGATATACACAACACCATGGCTCATCTCTTGCGTGGAAAGCAAGCTGGAGTGAGCAACGACCTCTCGCAAGGCCTTGGGCCTGATCTCTTCGTGCTGGACCATGTATGCTTGACCTTTTCCACCCCGCCGTTGCGCTGCCGCCGATGGCCTGCAAGCCCAAGCTAACAACATGTGCAGATCCGCAACTATGGCATAAACTCAAAAGTCACCCAAGTCGCATACGATCCCGTCCAATCACTCATTGCCGTCGGCACGAGCGAGAGCAAATATGGTCCTGGTCAGATCTATATATTCGGCCAAAAGAGGGTCGAAGTCGTGCTACCACTTTCCAACCGCAGCGCCTCAGTCAAGATCCTACAGTTCTGTGCCGAAAAGCTGTTATGTGTAGACTCGAAGAACGACTTGTCAGTTTTCTCACTGGAAACAAAGAAGCTGCTCAACGCACATTCCCCACCTGCAAAGATTACGGCCCTGCACAGCGATCCTACCATCGATTATGCGCTCCTGGGTACACAGAACGGAGATGTCTATGCGTATGATTTAGATAGGGAGCTCCTCACCCCATTCAAGATACCAAACTTGTGGAGGGAAAAGTTCCCGCGGTCGCGCTTGACGTCGGTTGTCACACTGTCGCTGCACCCTCGCGACATTGGCTCTCTACTGATCGGTTACAATTCGGGCGCGGTCATATACTCCTTCAAGCAGAACAAGGCGCTGCACTTCTTCCACTACCTTCTTCCAAAAGGCGCCCCTGGTGGCGATTCAGACCCTAGTTCAATCTTCAAGGAGCGCGAGCCTCCATTGACACAGGCGGTTTGGCACCCCACAGGCACCTTTGTCCTGACTGGGCATGAAGACAGCAGCATCGTGATATGGGATGCCAAGGATGGTCGAATTGTACAAGCGAGGACGTTGACAGATACCAACGTAGACAAGCCAGGTCCAGGGAGTTTTAGCCCAGGTGCTGTTGAAGGCTCGTTTGCGCTCAAGTCGCCCATCTTCAAGATTGCCTGGTGCGCCAACAAAGACCCCGACGATACTGCCATACTCGTTGCCGGCGGACAACCGTCAAACATCTCTGCAAAGAGCCTCACTTTGTTCGAACTAGGCCGAACGCCCGTCTATGCGACTGCGACATGGCAGACACTATCGGATCACTTCGAGAACCCCAAAAGGCAAAGAATACTACCATGTCCACCTGGAACAGAAGTAGTGGACCTGTTTCTTATCCCGAGAACATCTCCCCATTTTGCTGGCTGCCAGGACCCCATCGCCATCATCGCTCTACTTGCTTCTGGAGAGTTAATAACCCTGTCCTTCCCCAGCGGTATGCCCATCTCACCTACAAATCAACTACACCTTTCCATGACTATGGTCCATCCGTACATTAACCACATAAACCTCGCGCCGGTAGAACGCACGCGATGGCTTGGTATGACTGAGAAGCGACAGCAGGGCCCTCAATTCCTCATAGGTGGTGCCGAAGCTGTGCATCCTTTAAAGAGGTTCGAGAACCGCAACATTGTCCAAACGGCTCACGGAGATGGTACAATCAAGCTATGGGATGCAGGACACGCGGACGAGATTGAAAATCACGCAATGCTACAGGTTGATGTAGCTCGAGCAGTTGGTCGTCCAGATAATGTCCACATCACGCACACATCTTTTGCAGGCGCCGCCTCCGAACTTTCAGTGGGGTTGAAATCTGGCGAGATAGTCGTATTCAGATGGGACACTAACAAGAATATGGGACATGAGTTTCAACCAGGCGAAAACGCTCCACAGGCGCTTACCGACATCACAGAAAGGAGTGAAGCGGCGCTCAAAGAGGGATTACTACCTTTCACCTTGCTTGCTGAAGATAATGGGCCTGTCACTGCCTTGAAGCATTCGGATGTAGGCTTCGTTGCGGCAGGCTTTGAGGGTGGAAGTTTGGCGATCATTGACTTACGAGGACCAGCCATTATCTACAAGGCATCGATACATGAGTTTATCAAGTCTGATAAGCGCTCTAGTTTCCGACGCAGCTCAACACAGGCAGCACCCAAGGCAGAGTGGCCGACTTCTATCGAATTCAGTGTCATGACACTCGAAGATGATGAATACTCCAGTATTCTTGTACATGTTGGCACCAATCTAGGCCATCTTGCGACCTTCAAGTTGTTACCAGAGGCAAGTGGTCGATACACGGTAAAGCTGGCCGGTGTATGCTCGCTAGACGACAAAGTTATCAGTATCTGTCCTATGCACGCAGACTCAGGGCGTCCAGCATATGCTTCTCAGTCCGCTGTGGCTGGACTTAGGACCGGAACAAAAATCAACGGTGTACTGTTGGCCGTCACTGTCTCAGGGGTAAGATTGTTCCGCCCTGCCACTAGCAAGGGCGCGCACAAGACCTTTGATCAATTCCTGTGCGATGCTGCGACAGTAGTGAGATATGAGGCTCAAGGATACGCATTACTAGGTTTGTATGGCGATGGTTGTGCGAGAGCCTATTCATTACCTGCCTTGAAGGAGATTGGATCTGTCAAGGTTAGCGACGTACTCGATATCCGACGCTTCCCCGAAGCGATCATTACGCCCACTGGAGATATACTTGGCTTCAAGGGGCCAGCTGAAGTTGCGCTAATTAACGTCTTCGGAACTGGGCTGCAATAGTGAGTCACGATGTTACTCATTTAACGGTTTCGCATGCTAACATCTTGTAGTGATCGCGCGAGGGACGTTCTGCTCAACCCAGAGTTACTGATCCCGCCCCGACCCACTATCAGCAACCTACAATGGATTTCAGGCACTCAATACGTTACACCAGAAGATATGGACCTACTCAGTAAGCCTCCATCCCTTGTATCTCTGCTCATTCTTTCACTAACTCCTCCACAGTCGGTGGTCCCGACCGTCCCGTCTCAGCCCGGCAACTCGCACAACAACGCGCAGAAGCTCAGCAAGAACATCGCCGCGCCAATCCCTCATCATCTGCTGTCGCTGCACAATATTCATCCTACCCAACTCAAACAAACACGCCGACTGAGGAAGGCTGGGGTGCTTGGGCTACGCGTCAGCTCAATGAGCGTACAGAAAAACTCAACATTGTGGGCGATAGTATGGATAACCTTTCACAAAATAGTGCAGGTTGGGCAGATGACGTGAATAAGTTTGTCGGGAAGCAGAAGAGAGGATTTGTTATGGGGGCTATGAAGAGTAAGTTTGGTTTTTGAGGTAGTTTATCAGTGTGCATATTCAGTGAAGATTCAAGGCAGGACATGAGATACCTTGAATCACTATTACATTAGGGTAGCCATGCCTCTCTGACATAATCGTATACGTGAAGTAAAACCGAAGGTCTATGACTTTCAAATGTTTTGTGTATGACTGTTCGTGACTCAATCAAGAATTGACTCATAAAAATACAACTGAAGTATTTGCCATGAACGACGCATGATATTCGTTCTGCAGTAGTATCTCTATGTATAAATTATTAAAGTCTAGCTACATTACAAGTCCCTCCTCTCCACGGCTTGGTGTCACATGTAAATAGCGTCGGCGAACCCTGTCCCCGACCCTACACCTGTCAGCCACTGCTAGCGTCCGCATCTACTGCACCCCACAACCTCCTAGCTTTGCATACACCAACCAACATCCACAGCCCCAGAAAGCTATCAACCCTACTTCCTAATCCAACAAAAAGATCAACAACAACAAAACCAACAACACACCCCTCACAGCCATGTCGTTCCTAACATTAATCCGCCAAATCCTCCCAAACGTATCCTCCCTCCTCAGCCCCTCCCCCACCACCCCCGCACCCCAAAACACCCCCTTCACACCCACCTACACCACAATCCGCCAAACGCGGGCACTCCTAAAATCCCTCCATTTCCCCACCGAGCTCGTGCTCGCTGTACTTGACTATGCGGAATACTGGCCTTACGTCTCTTTCTCCACTCTACCCAGCACGCGCCAACCCAGCGGACGCCAGCGCCCCATCATTGCCCGCGCAAGCGGCAGCCGCAGCGAAGCTGCAGCTATTTGTTTGGCAACAGATGATGTATTTGGCGCAGAGGTAGTGCAGGAGATGGAGCAGGAGGGCGAGACGACCAAGGTGAAGAGAGTGGAGTTTAAACTCAGATCTCGGGATCAGGGGTGGACTAGTGAGGGGGGTGAAAGCGGGTTCGGGGGGTATAGTTGGGTTGAGATTGGGATTCTGCGGCGGATGGAGGCACAGGGTGGAGAAGAAGGGGGTAGGGATGTTGCGGCTGAGCAGCCCCCGCAGTCTGACAGAACGGATTGGGAGACGCCAAGGGAATACCACGAATTTGTGGCAGAACATGGGTGGGGGTTGGTTCAGAGGAAGTATGAGTACGCGTGGAATGTGCAGGTGAATCGGGTTAGTGGGCCGAGTGAAAAATATCTTGTTGTCTGGGGGCGAGACGGCGTGAGTGAGGGAAACGAAGGAAAGGGCGACGGGGAAGGGTTTGTGGAGGAGTTGAAAGATGGGGATAGACTTATTGTTTGGGCGAGGGCGAGATATCCTGGTTGGCAGTGTATTGTTGAGACGGTGGATGTTGTTGTATATTTTGGCTTTTGAAGCCCAGGGGTTTGGTGGGTAAGATGTTATGTTTGCTCGTAGATAGTTTATTATTACTGTGTATATTTCTATCGGAGATCGTATTCAGAGTGAGCGTTCAGGCTATCCAGCCAGCCAGCCAGCCAGCGTCCCAAGGTAAACCTAACTTTTGCAGCGCTAAGCTACGCTATATGCCGTACAGAAGCGATATATATAACCAAAGGAAACCTCACTGCTCTCAAACCTCTATAAAAAGGCACCACACCAGAAACCCCACCATACAAATCATATCCCTCACGTCCAGTCCAGTCTAGTCCACTCATCTCACCCCCTCCTTCTTACCCTCACTCAAAACCTCCTTCATCTTCCCCACACATTTCCCAAACTCACCCCACGCACTGAGATCCATATTTCGTGTACAATGTACCATATTTATCGCCACGGAATGCAAACTGTCGAAGCGGAGTTTGGTCCTCGCATAGACTTTGCGAATGTTGTCGTCTTTGTGCGAGTCTGCTGTCGATGGCGGTATGGAGAAGACGGAGGAGGGCGCTAGGGAGAAGATAGATGATGGAGCGGGGGAGGAGGGTGGAGTGGTGAAGAGGGGGCTGGGGAATGCTGGGGAGAGGGGAGTTTGGCTGGGGGTTTGGCTGGGAAGGGGCGTGATTGTTAGTGGTAGTAGGAAGGATGGGGATAATTGAGATTGAGATTGGGATGCTACTGCAGCGACGGTGGCAGCTTCGGCTTTGAGACGTTCGTTCTCAGCTCCGAGTCGCTGGTTTTCCGCTAAGAGGTCGTTGGTCGCACGCTCTATTTCCGCATCCTTGCCATTCATAAGCTCCTCGAGAGCTTGTTCGTGCTCCTTCTTCTCCTTCGTCCTCTGTGCTTTTTCATCTATGAATTCTTTGGCCAGGACGTCGCATTCCGCCTCGAGGTTGTTGATTTGGATAATTAGAGATTCGTTCTCACGCTTGAGTTGGCGGAACTCTTGTCGTCCGACCTCGAGAACGTGTTCAGTGGCTGCGTATCTGCCCTCTGCGAGGTTGATGGCCCGCACGTGTTCCAGCTCTTGATCCTTGATCGCTGTGTCATGTAGTTGTTGGATGCGTGTGGCTTCGGTCTTTGCGGCAGCGAGTTCCTGACGCAGTCGGTCCACTTCTTCTGCGTGCTCTGATTTCAGACGCGCTAGTTCTTCCTGGAGGTTATCTTGTGCGAGTGCATTGCTGGGTTGCTTCTCTGGTGGTACGCTAGAAAGCACTGAAGTGTCTGGCTGGCTGATGTTCTTCAGAGGCATTCGTCCTGGGAGTTTCTCGGTAACTGGGGGTGTCGATTCGATATCGGCGATGATTAGTTCGACATCTTCGTCAATGTCGGGATCAATGAAGGGCATTATAGGCGCCTCGTCTTCATCCTCATTATCAGAAGATATGATAATGACATCCGACAATGTACGTTTGCCACCCTTAGCCACGGTGCCAGCCTTATCGACAACTTTCTTCTTGCCGTTAACTTCGGTCTTCTGACGTTTGGCCAATCGAGGTGAGGTGCGCAACGGTGACGGTGGACGACGCTTTTGTTGCTTGACAGTCGTCATCTTCGTTTCTGCAGGCCGTTCCCGCTTCCTACTCGCCGCTGGGGTCTTGGATCTATCCTTGAACCCTAACATGAATGTCTCTTCGTGTCTGGGTATCTCTCTCATCGTTGAATGTACATGGATGCCGGACGTGAGATGTGGAGCCGGCGCAGGTCGAATAGTTGGATTTGGTCCTGTGGGGGTGGAAGTTGATATCGGTCGTAGTCCAGATGAAGCGTTCGCAAAACTCTGATAAGCCCGCCGTCGGTCGAACAGTAGCGCAGCAAAAAGATCAGGGCCTGGCAACTGTTGCGAGCGCTGGGGTGGCAATTGCGTCGACACTGAAGCTCCGGATGGTAAGCCTGGAACCTGACTGGGGCGACTTGTAGAATCGCGCAGACGAACAGTCTGCTCATCGTAAGTAAGTGCGCGATGGCCAGCCATCTTTTAACAATATAAAGGAACAATTGTTGTCTAAGTATCGCACGTATCGTCCGCAACAATGGTGTAGGTGAGCGAGTGTAGTGGGGTGGAACAAACATACTCGTGGGGACCAGAGTAGTACTAGCCGGGCTGTCAGAACTTGTTGCCTTGCGAAATGGCCGCTTAAATATTCAATGTTTGAGCGGTGAGTGAGGCGCTGGAGCCTAGCTTCATGCGTGCACTTGGTGATTGTCGGTCACGCACTGTTCGAGTATCAGGTGCGACTGAGCGATTGAGTTACAATCACTGGAGATGTGAGATGGATGAGGAAGTAAGATTGAAATCTGAGTGGCTTGTGAGATGAAAGTCGGAGAGCTAACAATAGAAGTATGTACGGGTCTCGATTGGAGTCGGATCAGACAAGGATACAGGTGAAAGTGAAGGTGACCCACTGCTCGTCGCAAGCCAATGAGGAAATTATAGTCATTATGCTCAGCAGCGCTTCTGATGACAGGGCGAACCCTCTAACACTGACCGCAGACCCTCCTAATAGAGAGAGATGCTATGCTTCTAGCATGTATCATGCAAACCTCATACCCATCCATACGAGTAAACGCCCAACATGCAGCTGAACACCGATACCGAAGACCGATACAATAATCCCACCTAACGAAGCCCGCTCTCTTCCTTCTTACACTTCCAGACCGCCGACCATGTAGAAAAGAAGATAGGCCTCTGCTGCAAGGACTTCTGCCTCACTGACTAGCACAACCTTGCTGTCATCAAACATGAACCAGTCACTGCCTTCCCTGCTGTAGCTGATATAGTGACCTGAGTCAATCTTGCCCTTATGCACGATAACACTACTAAGCTCGTATATGAGAGCGTTCGTCGGGCTGTTTATGTTGTGGTTTGAAGGAGGCGCTCCAGATGTCTTTGCGGCGCGCATGGCGGCCTTGTGGGCTGTCGTATAGGGGTGAATGTCTAACTTTACGGGAAATCGAACGGGTGTCTCGATCTTTGACGATGTGGATTTTGTGTGCTCAAAGCGCTGTAGTCGATTAGCAAAGTTCGGAGAATAGCCTATGCGCTGTGACATGTACATACCTTGAGGTGAATAGAGAGGACTGGTGGCAGTCTCTTGATACTCAGTTGCTTTGTCGCGTTCTGCGGGCTGTCGCAATTCCGGCATGTGTAGTCTGCTGAGCCGAGTTTCTCCTTCACAGTGAAGCGTTCTAGACAATCTCTCAGATCCAAGGGTGTTTCTTCTCCCTTCTCTGCGAGTTGCTGCTTCCGCTTCTTCCCCTGGATCCGCACATCTAGGCTGAGGTCCATGTACGGGTCTAAGGCAGTCGTGACGTTCCTACAATTGTCACACATTACCGTACTTGACAGCTTCCCGCAAAAGGTCTGATGTACCACGCATTTGCAATCCTCCGAATCATCGGTCGAGCCTCCATTAGCCAGATGGAGCGTGTTAAGTATGAACTGCATGTACTCATGCGCATCTTGCTGTTGGTATCCTGCCAGAGCTTCTCCTGCTAGCCAGCTACCCATGAGCATACTGACAGCGCCAAAGCCTTCCGTTTTCTCAGCCGAATGGAACTCGACAAACATCTCATCCAACGCACAGCTGACACACGACGCATTTTCGCAGTCCGTCTGTTTGTGTCCTTCCGAAAGGTAAAAGTTCCGTATGAAAGGGTTATGAACGAGGGTTTGTAGGATTACGCTCATGAAGCATGTTTGGCCCATGTTGTATAGACCACGCAGGCCGATCGCTCGACAGGGAAGGAAGGTTGAGTTGCTAATGACAAGCTTGTGGTCCTCGGTCGTAGTGGTGTCTTCGTACTTCCGCTTTTTGCCTACAGTCCTGTCAGCCCATTCGGGCTACCATAGCTCGTGTGCGATGTACCAACCTTTTTGTAGTCTTAGAATCTCGAGTGCTTCGTCGTATATATAGTCCTGGCAGTTTCCACAGTATATATTACCGTCTCGCGATTCCACGGCTGCTTTATATTAGCGTCCAGCCCTTGAATACATGATATCAGACCCACAGAAGCAATGCGACTTAGTCTCAAAGTGCAAATCGCGGTCCACCTCAGTCATGATGCTTGGGCATTGCAGGCATAGAAATAGCGGTCTGAGCGACACGACATTGCGCCCATCTGTTGAACTGTAGGTCTGCGCTATTATACTCGGTTTCTCGTGGATATTCTGTAGGATCGCTCGGTAGTGCTGGAGAGTCTGTTTACGCGCGTTCTCAAACATTTCGCCCATGTGTTCTGCCTCGCGTCAGCAATGTCCCGTTGAAGGCCAGACAAAAGTAATGCGCTCACCACAGCCATACTCGATATGAGCCATTTGGCTAGTCTGTATAATGTTGCCCTTAGCATTCTTAACAATCTTGGGCGACGCCAGCGCGGACGCCTTGGGGGCGACTGCTATCGTGTCCATGATGGCGACTGTGAGCCTTGGTGTAGTAGTCGCACTTCTCCTCTACATGGCGCACAAGCAAACATCCACAGTCGCAAACAGGTCAGCAAGCGCGCGGCACCTAGGCAGATGCGATCACGAGGCGCGATTTGGTAAGAGGTTATTCCTGGGGTTGCGGAAGGTGGACCTGCATGAATCCAATGATGTCGGGAAGGAGACGCGCCACTAGCGGATCTCCCGCCCCTCCCGAACCCGATAAGACCCTTTTGGCACCGGGCAGCACTTTGGCCAAGAGTGAAAGGGCACCACGAGCGGAAACCTGCCTTAAATGCTCGGACGGGTGCCTGCATTCTCTCAAAGATTCCCGTATCCACGCCACCGATAAGCACGTTCAGGTCTAGATCTCCCTCATGGATGCGTTAAGAAACTCAATCCGTTTTAGACGTAGTCGCGAACGATAACCCGTATAGAGAGTGCCCAGGCTCGCTGTGCTACTTCTCGTATATAATATTGGCCGTCTACACGAATTGCTAGTGTCTGTTACATCGGTATAAAGCAGTCCGAGGTGCATGAGTACGTTCAGCAAGTAATGCGAACAAGATGCAATCAGCGTAAGGATGTTGGACATCACAGATGCGGAGCGCACTTCTCCTGAACTTGCTCTGACAATACAGCCTCCTGCAAACCAGATAAACAGCAATCACCTATCACCTATTATAAATTCACATGTTAGACTATGCAATCAAGCTTCATAGTACAAGCACGCGACATGATGGGTAAGCTAAGATATTATTGTTTCCAGTGGTTAGCCGAGGCCCTGCCCACCGTGTCCAGGTACGAAAATTGTTGGAAACGGGTCTCTACCCCACTTTGGAAGAACCTGTCTACATTTTCACAGCCCACAACTCTCGTACCAAACCAAGCTTGCCTCACGGTACGTCTATGCATCCCATGAAACCTATATTATATTTATGGTAATTTCAATTTCCTTCATCAAAGCATCCCAAGCTTGAGGTGCGGTGCCAGAGTGGTTAATGGGTATGACTCGAATATGCACGATATCATATGTCTTCGGACGCAGGAGTTCGAATCTCCTCCGCATCGTCCTTTTTTTGTTTTTGCTTTGCAATCTTGCTTGTCAAACATGAAAGCCCCGGATTTGCAGATTACATCTCCAGGTTCGCTGTTGTTGCGAATATATTTTTGCCTGAAATTAATCTAGGCCAAGAAGGGTAGGTAGTAAGTAGGTGGTTGAAAAAATTGGTGAACAAGATTGGAAGGAGCGGAGAATTAATCGTATTAACTCAGCATTACATTATTCAATTCTCGAATAACCACAAACTTCTTCTTCTGTCATTTACGCTCTCGGTACTATATGAAATGACTATATGTACTTCTTCCCATCATTCCCCCTGATCACTCTGCGTGTCTTATTACTTGACTCGCACCGGATAAAGAGACAATAGCCATAGGGGCGATCGATGTATCCGACCCATCGATTGCCCATCAAAATAAGGAGTTGACTCCGTCGGCCGGTTCGTTGCACGGAGTATCGCCGACTCGGACAATGAAAACCTCCTTAGATTCATTCGAGATCGACCCCCTTAATCCGTGATACGGATACGAACGCGTTCTGGCGGCGGAACCAACAATATTACATGGCGCTGCAAGTTGGTGTGTGATAGTCGTCATACTCGCCTGTCTTCAACAGCAATGGCCCATCATCTCAACCTACAGCAATCCGATGTTGTTCACCAGAGGCAAGGCTGATGACCTCCGTATTAGGTAACTTCTTCCTGACAACACCGTCATCCAACCTCTTCTTGATTTCATCAACTGCATGTTGTGCAATCTGCGTCAGCTTAACTGCCCACCCACGATTGTCCTTGTCTGCGTCGTGCGCAGAGATCCATGCTTTAGCATACAGGCTCTTCGCAATCTCGGTACCCCCAGGTGACCCGGCAGAAATGTTACCGCCGAGCCACCATGGATTCTCAACGATGTCGAACGAATGTAGAAGTGCCGTGAGGGGAAGCGCGGATTCCGAGACAAGAAAGGAGCTTGCGTATGGGCGTAGCACATCAAAGGACACACCATGGGGGGAGTAGATGACGGATAGTGTCTTCTCACGATCGTTAAATGGCGATGGTACAATGGTGCTAGGCGAAGAGGCAAATGTCATGGTTGACGCCGGTGACAGCGGTGGGCTCATGGGGAGATCAATGTAGTGCATTGGACTCAACGAAGAGAGCACGGTACATGGAGGCCGGTATGTGATGCCAATCGCATGATGTACTTTGGAAAGGTCCCGCTTTGCTGGTATCCAGGTCACAGTAACCTCACCGCATGTTCCTCGGGGCGTGGGCGGCGGTAGTACTATGCGATATACAGATCGACCATCTCCTTGCACGTACCTCGGGAGCGCATGTACGAGGTCAGGACGGAAGTGTTTCCACGCACGGATCTTCTTGGCTGCGGCCGGGATGGCGAGAATGGTTGACTCGGAGTCAGGCGAGAGCTGACGCAGCGTCGCTTCATGACAGTGATCTGGCTTGTCTTGAGAGATGAGAACGAGGTCGGGTTCGCGATCAAGTTCCTCAAGGCTGGAGATGGATGGCTTCGCCCGCTGTTCAGAGTGCGAGAAAATAGAGTTTAGGATGATTGACGGTCCTGTCAGCCACGCTGTGTAAAAACATATTCCGTTAGTGACGGTTCTCTGAGCACGTCTATAGTAGGATAGGCTTACGGTCAACAAGAATGGTAAAGGAGCCTGGAAACAACCCTGGTGACGATAGTGGGGCTGCGGGTGGATCGAAGGTAAGGAGGAAGGAAGTGTCCCCATTCAACGATTGAACTGAAAGCGACATGACTGTGAATGGCAGGTCCGAAAGCGCGCACGCAACGCGCACAACGGTGGTAATGTGAAAGAAGACATCAGATGAAGGCCAGGAGATGAACGGGTAGACGTAGCAGGGGGTGTAATATTGTGTTAATCCGTCATGGATGCCAGATTATGGCTGACGCCAACACCTTGGAACGGAAGGAAGAAGCAAAAGGATCGGAAGGTGGACGCGGATCTGGTAATTGCAGACGGAAGGGCAGGTGTAGACGAGGCGCATGTGACAGATGCCGAATTTAGAAGCAGAAGCCATGCGCATGGAAGCTTGAGCAGCCTTCTCTTCCCCTCCATCGGTCTGTATCGCCACATGGACCGCCAGTTTGTCAATGGTGGTCTGCTTGACATGATCCTGTCTCCGTTCTCTTTTCTCTCTTTCCTTCCCATGTCCTTTTCGACGGCTCGCGGTCAGCTCAAGCCGGGCTCCAATTCATGCTAGGAGCATCTGCATGCGGCCAATTGCAGCTGTCCCCAGCCCTGGCGGCCGATGCTGCTTGTAGCTCGGCGTTGTTAAGCAAAAATCTTTGCCAGGCATGTCCATGGCGCGGTAGCCGGCGGTTCTGCTCAAGATGTCTCGGTTTAGACGGCATTGGTCCAAGTGCGTTCAGAAGTCTGAAGCTTTTGCAGCACACGGCACTTGAGCGTGGGAAGCAGGGAGAATGCTTCTTGCGCCATGCAAGCGATTTGCGTCGTCTCCACAACGGCGCCATGTGATTGGAGCGCAAAAAATCCTATTCAAGCGCGAGGTCATTGGGCAGCACAGAGCTCTTCAAGCTATCCGGTTCTTCGTCGCAGAGCTGTCGTCTGATTGCTCATCCACTCGAGCTCGTTGTGGCGAGACAGCTCTGCTTCTACGGCAGCAGCGCATTACGGTTACACTTTTTGTCGCGCTGGTCGTCCCTGGATTCAATTGTGAAATTCGAACAAAGCATCTACTTGATCATTGATCTTTCTCTCAAGCCCCGCGGCCGTTCCCAGCTGCCCCGCATCCAGTTACGTCTGTCCGCAGTAACGGCAACTTCAGCTCAGAGCTTCTTCACCCAGACATTCCTGGGAAGCCACGCTGCGGCCCCTACCATAGTTTTCGCCGCCTTCCCAAGCTGCCCGAGCTCATAAAGAAGCTTCTTAACCTTTTCTTTTAGCGCTCTGCGCGCCATTGCATCGTCTGGAAGCTCCTGCCGTTGATGCTCGCAGCCATGCCGTCTTCGCGCGCAGCACCGCTCACCAGCTCCTTCTCTGTCAGCGACGAGAACAATGTCGTCGTTTGCCCGTTGCGCAACCATGACAGCTCGGCTTGTCGAAAGCGCTGCACTGGCGTAAGTCCTCACTATAGATGACGCACGTCATGGCAAGCTTCGAAGCTTCAAAGCTCGCGGGTGCAGCCAGACTAACACGCCATGTGTAGGAGAAGCGCTTTCGGTCTATGCAGGAGCACATCCGGCGCGCTCACCCCGAGCATTACATTTCCAAACTGCCGGCCACAGAGGTAAGGTCAAGAATGGCGATTTTTGCGCAATACACGTGCTGACCCAACTTCCTTGCTTGCAGGAGAGCTTCATGTTGATGGTGAACACACCACCACAAGAACGGCCCCCACCTCCTCCCACAACCACGGCGACGACAAGCGCTGCGGTAGCGCCACAGACGTACGACTATAGCGCAAACGAACATAACTCCTTCTTCGAGCCCGACTTTGGCAACCACCATGTCCCATCATCTTCGGACGGAGCGCGCCGGCCGTCGCTCCTACCTGCTGCGACGGCTGCAGCTGCCCTGGCTTCGTTACACCACCATCGTGCCGAATACGACTGGGACTCAGATCCTGTGTGTACCCGCGTCGCAGTTTTTCCCTGCATAACAAGAAGCTAACGAATGCTGTGAACAGGACGCAGCATCTGACCAGGATTCCAAGAGCTTCAGGCCTCGCGCGCGATTCGCTCCAACCCCCATAGAACAACACATAAATGCCGAAGAACCTTATTATACCTCAAATTCCATTCAGCAGGAATTGCTGCCATCTTCCCTTGCACGATCGCCTCCTGGTCGATCCTCGACGCTGCCACCAGGCGCGCATTCACTCAAACCGAACAGGCCCCGCAAATCGTCCGTAGGACAACATGCACGACGAGGAAAACACGAGCGGCAGAGGTCACGGGAGTTTAACCGCAGACTGAGCTACGAAAGAAAGGCATACTCGGCCGAGCCTGCAACAGCTGCAGCCATTATGGGGAAGCGGTGGGAAGACTTGATCGATGCTGCAGCTTCAGCTACAGAGGAAGACAGTCGAGATCTCACACCGGTTAGTAATATTTTCAAACGTTATATCTCATCTAACTCGAACAGGTGCCACAGTCTCCAAACCATTCACCTCACATGATGCACAGCCGAACCTCTCTGCCACCATTCAACTTTGCCTCACAACTCCAGTCATATACTGCATCGCCCTTGAACAACGCATTGACGCCTCCGCCGCCAGATATGTCGGACCTTCAGCCTTTCCCTTCTGTCGAATCTTCCATTGAATCAGCCATGTCTGGCCAAAACTTCCACATGCCTTCTCAAGGCCTGTCTGACTCATCTCCCAGTTCTCTTTTCCCCGTGCAAATTTACTGCGCTGCATGTCGGAAATTATCCATATTGCGCGATAGCTATGCATGCTCTGAATGCATTTGCGGTCTATGCCAAGAGTGCGTAGACGTCCTGGTTAGCGAGCACAATCGCGGTCGGGCGCCAACATGTCCACGATGCAACACCATCGGAGCCAAGTTCAAGCCTTTCCAATTGGACATAAGATGAGGTAGTCATAGCCTTGGAGCTTTTCTTCTCTCTTCACCTTACGGCGTTTCTTTTTAGTGTTCACAACACTGTCCCTCGGGCTTCCTGCCTATTATCAGCTCATTTGCATGCATGGGTACTCCTACGGGCCAAATGGCGTTTAGTTTTCATCTCCTAAGGATTCTTTTGGATAGACATTTGTCAAAAATAGGCTGGAGTTGGTCTGGGTTTTACGAAAGGGCCCGCCTGGGCATCACTGCTTCACAAAGAGATCGCAGATAGATACTGCTGGCGAATACACCTTAACGATGTGCATGCGCATCTTCGCCTCGATTCATCCGAACCTATGCTGTAGCTGCACTCATCGGGCCACCTACGTAAGCACGTGTCTTGCATCTGAAGTTCCGTTCCCGGAATCATCCGCAATGTCAAGATCGAAGCACCTCGTGATGGTTTTTCTGCTAGGACTAATCCACGGCTCACGGCGCCAGTTCGGCAGAGCGAACATGCGGTGAATGAACCACGGTTTGGTGTCGGAGTCATGTCAGTGTACGTCAGATGTCAGCCGCTCACGGGAGTCTCCACCACCCGTCAGTGCCGAACTCCAACCCTCTCGTATCAACCATTTTTTTCAACGCCATTCTCGTTTGCCCGTGGTCTAGATGGTAATAATGGGTACAACAACACGACCTTGCACATTATCTAACTGTTTCGAAATTGACAAGTTCGTATGAGAGTCGAAGATGCCGGGACATGGCTATTTTTGCAAGTCGTTAGTTACCGCAGGGTAAAGAGCGGTGGATCGTCTCGCGTAGAGGAGTGCCTTTGGGTCTCAGAAAGCTAACGGACGCGGCCGTTCCGCCGTCTCGACGATGACGACCAAGCAAAGGGGCCGCGGGGTCATTAACGACCGATCGATGTTTGGCTCTGCGGTTCTCAACCAAAGAAAATGGGTGGAACGGAGCCGTTGGCGATTTCTTGCAGTTAGAGCCGGATGAACGGCGTTCTCCCCAAACACAGGCGCGAACAGAGAGCTATGCTAGGTCAAGTGGGTTTGGTGTGCGACTGGTATGGTTTTGGGGTTGTGTCGGCAGCAGGTGTGCGCATGACTATGTCGACAATGTTTTCCTGGTGTCAAACCACCCCCTCTCCAACGCCGTCATTGCTTACGTGAGCCAATCAGCAGCAGGCAGAACAGCAGCAGAGTCATCACAAAACCCAGAGGTCGGCAACGCACATCCGGCGGTGAATTTAGTCCAAGCGTAAACGTTTTAATTATTCTTCCATCGGGGAAAATCTCATCGTTTCGATCTGCTGCTGCACAGCCGATGGGATATTTTATACTTTGGTTGAAAAAGAATATTGGTGCATATTGCTCCGGGGCTGCAGCGCGTCGTACCGAATACACGTTGTTCACGAATGAACGGGTCATTCACCAGTCTGTCTCTTCTGCTGTGGAGCCCTAGAGCGGCTTGGCAAAAGGCCAAACGCATGCTCCCTCTCCCCTCTTGCACATCTTCAATAGCTTAGCGGAACCCGTACGTGTGTTCGTTGATACATGGTGCCATGTGACGGCTTTCCGCCCGCGCGTGCCAGCCCACCCAAACGAACTTGCCAGGAACGAGCTGTACAGATCAGCGGTCTAGCGCAGGGTCTGGGCTTGCAACACAAAAGAAGGAATCCACATTTTGCCGGCCACATTGACGCCCGGTCTGGATCTCACCGTCTCCGTCGCATGGCACCCGCGGTTTGAAACTACTGCGCCTGTTTATTGACATGTTGGGTTGTTGGCTGTCGAGTGGCGCAACTGGTGCGATGCTTTGCTTGCTTGGGGCATAGGGGGCCCTTGACGACCCCCTGCTTTTGGGGCCCGGCCTGGTGGGCGGTTTGTTGCCCAGGTGGTCCAGTGTATGGAGGGACGGGACCCAAGCAAAGGGCAAGTTGGCCCCCGCGCCCCTGACTGTGCGTGTGTGCTCGACTTGGTCTCCGGATTGGGGATGCCAGTTCGTAGTGGTTATGCGTTGTGGGTGTGGTGGGGTGTGGGCCATGTATATAGTGGTCGTGTGCCTCTGCGCATGGCAACGCAACTCCTTTTTATATATATACTACGTATACAACACTTGCTTCTTGCTTCCTTCCCCACCTTCCTCCGGCCGTTAATCTTTTATTTTTCTGAATCATAAATCTGGGGTGGTTTTTCTCGCTAAACAATAATACTCGATACATGCCAACACTCGGAGTCACGATTCAATACCATTTACCGACGACATAATTACAACAATTACACCAAATACTGGAATAGCTGCCACTGCTAAAACTACAACTACAACTACTACACCGCCAAGATGCCCATCTTCCGCACCCTCACCACGAAGCTCAAAACCTCGCTCTCGGCTTCTTCCTCACCGGACACTTCGCCTTACAACTCGCCCACCTCCCCCCACCAACCATCATCGTTTGAAAAAGTCAGTGGACGCAAGGAAGGAAACACTAGTACGACGGCGAACAAGAGACCGGAAGTGCAAGCACGAGTGGATTCATTCATGACGCAAGGAAGCAACATGAGTAATGAGAGTGTGGATGAGAAGAAGCGGAGGCGCATTAGCCGATTCCGCGAGGAGCTTGACTTTGAGGCTGATAGATGAGTGGAAACAAGGGCTTGGGCGCGGGGGAAAGAGTTGGTTGGCCAGCTAATAGGTATGTTTTGATGATCTTTCTCTTTTGCTAGTAATTCTGATGCATGTGACTAACGAATTCGATAGCGGTTTATGCCTCTTCTGTCTCGGGCTCTGTTTCAGTAACATTCTCGGCTTCACCACCGTTGCTACCTTGTACTGGTGTACCTGTCCTACTGGCACTGGCACTCTTTGGTGGGCCTCTAGGTGGGCCTCCAACTTTGGGTGGAGGTGGTACTGCACTGGCCTTTTTGGGTGCATAGTCCTGCTCCAAACTCTTCTGCTCCGCCCTCTTTGAAGTAGTCGTCTAGTCCACCACCGCTCCCACTAGCGGGGTTAACTATTCTATGGGCTCTGCCCTTCTTTTTGGGCGGGGGTGCAGTGTCCGGGGCAGGGGGAGACTTTGAAGGTAGGGCCATGTTTGCCGGCCACGAAGAGCTCTGTAGGGGCACCTTGACCTTGGTATTGGGCATCCATGGACGCGGTCAATGGGCGTTTCTCATCAAAAGAGGCCGAATCGCCAGCAGAGAAGAACGTCTCTCCAGGAGCTGGTGGTGGCTCGTCCAGACCGGCGGGATGCGATGCAGAGCGCCGAAGCCAAGCACACAGCCTAATGCACCCTCACCGCCCCAAGTCCGCGTTGGCGTAATGGTAACAGGTCGGGTGACATTGTACTCGTGGTTGTACACATACAGCCTCAGTGGTCTATTGAGGAAGTCGTCAACAAGCTCACTCAAACCGGACTCCCCGCGCACTAGGCCTTCGGGGCTGCCGATGACGTAGTCGCCGTAGGGAAGTAGGCCTGCGGCGTCAGCAGGCGAATTGGGCGCCACGTCTAGGATGTGCCAGACGTCCTCTGAGATGGACAGAGGGGACCACTGCAGGGAAACGCCAAGGGTGGGCTGATCGGCTGGGATTTGGAGATAAACTTCGCGGATCTTTTGACCCTGAGATTGCGAGTCAGAACCGTACGTAGTAGTAGTAAATGTTTATCGAGTCATTGAAATATACATTTGAAGCTTATTTTGACTTCTGGTGGGGTTGTGAAGAAGTCGAATGACTTTGCAGCATGCCGTGTGATATGCAGAGTGAAAGCATGACGCGAAAGAAGACCTACCTTCGCGCTGAACACCCCGACACTGATCGTCGTCCCAGCACAGTTGCGTACCTCTGTCGCAAAGAGGCCTGGGTCTGGGTTGTCCTGTTCAACGATCCAAGTCAGCAACTGTAACCCTACAGCCACATATCCTCATTTCTCATATTCCCCTGCTTCCTTTCGCACTACCCACAATCACGTGCTCTTTCTTGCCCTTGCCCCAGTTCGAGTAACTCACAATAGTCCGTCCGTTAATACCAATCACATAGTCGAACCAAGGCTCTAGAGGGACCTCAAGGTTGGTATTCCTCAGAACTTGGAATCCATATGCGCCGTTAGTAGCGGATTGGTGTTCTTCGTTGAGAGGTGCAGCGTCGAGCCGCGAGATGAAGCGGTTTAGCGCCCCGAATACAGACATTAGAAGAGGCTCCGGTGTCGATGGTGTCTGTGTGGAAGGGCTGTTTGAAAGTGGCGATTTTGACGATGTTGGGTTGGACGGTGGGTTAATGATGACTTGGAGGTTTTGGGAGGTGGTCATAGCTTGGAGTCTGCGGCGCGCTAGTGGGGCAGGTATGAGGTTGCGAGGATGCCGTCGATGCTGCTTGCCTATAAAGCCTACCCTGAACTTGATATAATTAAGGACTATTAGGACGTGTAATCTTCTCTAATAAAAGCCTATACATGCCCTGACACGTGATTCTGGCGAATATCCCCAGGCAGTCGCATTTGGTCAGCCTAGTCCCAAAGAGGCAAGGCTATTCAGGATTGCTCTCACTCGTCCATTCTGCTTGTTCGACTGTTCATCATCAACACGCTCTCTCGTCTTCAAAATAAATTGTCGGTTGGTCATCGAGGATTCTGCGCTATCTGAAGGAGCACAGAAGGGCTTGTCGTAAAGATGAGCGAGAAAGCAGATGAGCATGAGATAGACCAGTGGGCGAGCGTCGAACAATTCCCCGAACATCTCAAAAAGTACGTGTCTATGTCAATTACTTTTTTTTTAGAGACTTATACTAATACCTCTCAGGTACTGGCATCAACGCTTCAAGATCTGGGAGAAATACGACAAGGGCATTTGGATGACAGAAGACGCCTGGTTTGGCGTAACCCCAGAGCCCATTGCAAACAAGATCGCTGCTCACATTTCAGAGTCGGCGCCCAAGGAGAAGACGGTCATTGTGGATGCTTTTGCCGGCGTGGGTGGTAATGCCATAGCGCTGGCGCGTTCAGGCCGTTGGGAACGCGTTTTTGCGATTGAGAAAGATCCCAAGACGCTCATGTGCGCAAAGCACAATGCTGAGATCTACGGTGTAAGCAGTAAGATATTTTGGCTGCCGGGAGACTGTTTCGATGTCATTAGCAGGTTCTCGGGCCAAAGCAATGTGGTTGTCTTTGCTAGTCCGCCGTGGGGAGGTTCGTATGTTCACATCAAAAGTATTTGCGTCACGCTGACAGTAGTAGGAACTGAGTATGGCGCGGAAGATGTATTTGACCTCACCAAGATGGAACCATACAATCTTGACAAACTCTACAAGAGTTTCACGAAGATTAGCAAGGAAGTTGTTCTGTACCTACCCAGGACTTCAGATCTGAACCAGATTGCGAGGTATGGACAAGACGGCAAAAAGTTGGAAGTTGCGCATTATGCTATGATGGGTGCTAGTAAGGTACGTTAGACTGATCCTGTACGTATCTTGACAGAATCACTCATGACGACAGGCTCTGTGTGTGTACCTTGGGAACTTTGATTTCGAGATGGAGCAGGAAGAGTCATAAGGCATGCAAGATAAGTGTGTACCTATGGAGAGGTATGATACATGTAAGCTATGACTATCCTATTGTCCTAATCAATCACAGGTATCACCTTCTCTAGCCAGCTACACAAGTCTCTTAACTCGGCTCCGTTCATAACGTGTCCCATACCTTCATACTCGTGTACAGTCACTTGTTCTTCCTTAATACCCAGCTCATATAATGCTTCACAGCATAAGCGGTGATATCGTTTCGGTACCATCCTATCTCCAGTTCCTCTTGCTAAGAAGATTTCCACATCGTCCCTCGCTTCCTTCGGTAGCCCAGCCTCTTCTCGTAGCTGTGTTATCTGCTCCGCCAAAGGCAGATACCCTGATAGTCCTACCAAACCTCCAAGTCTACCCGAATATTTCGATATCAATCCCGTCAGCAAAGCCATGGCATGGCCTTGGGAGAAGCCCCCCACGACAACCCTTTTCTCTGGTACGCCCTGTGCAACTAGATTGTCGACGAGGGTCGTGATATAAGCCACAGTACCCATTATCCCGTCTTTATCTTCGTCCTCTACAAGCTCTGGCCGCGAGGGTGGATAAGGAGATAGGCTTGTTGGCATATACCATGCAGTAGCTGCTAGTTCATGGTTGTGTAGGGCGTTCGGGAGGACCCAAGTAATGTGTGGTAGTTTGGCAGCAGATTGAAATTGGCGTGCTATGCCTTCTAAACCCTCTGCATCATCACCGAAGCCATGTACAAAGATGAAGGCTGCTGATTTAGTGATGTCGCTTGCGGGGTTCGAGGGGGGAAGGATAATAGGTGGTTTCCTTTCTGGCGCCATGTGTCCAGTCTTGGAATGAGATATGCTCTGGGTGAATTATTGTTGTTCAATACATGGCCCTCTCTATGACGTTTTCTCCCCGGGAAGACAAAGAGATGGAGAATACAAGCTAGTCTATACGATACATGTACCCCGCATCGGTCGCATGCAGGTACGAGACAAGGGTGTTGGTGCGTCGACATGTGATCCATAATTTCTACGCCTCACCAAGTTTCCCCCGCGCAACCTTAATCATTCCCACCACTACGAGTTCACGATGCCACACGTTGAGGTCCTCCCCAACTCGGCTGCGACCGTTGCGCCAGGATGGACATATGTTGTCGACACTGGTTACGACCCTTCCAAAGTTGCCATCAACCCCAAGAACAAGAAGCGCGCCGCGGCAGCAGCACCGGGCGGCCAACGCGGCGAAAACGAACTCTCAGCGCGTCAGCAAACCGCCATCGCGCGACGCATAGCAGAACTAGAACGCGACAATGATCCCAAGCAGCTCATCACCATACCAGGGAAGCTGAGTGTGCCCAAGACGCAGAATGCGAGAAGGATTATACAGTATCAGCGGCAGATCAAGCATTGGCTTGATGATGAAGAGGCGCAACTTGGACAGGTGGCAGCGGCATCAAGAGGAAGTGTATCACAGGCAGGAGGGAGGGGAGCAGCACAGGCATTACGAAAGCAGAGCACTATTGCTTCTATGCCAGCGACGCCTATAGAAGCAACGCCAGGGCCCACAGCCGTTGCTCAAACACCATCCCGACTCGACACCGCGAATGCAGATGATGCACTACTCTCTATCGATCGGTCTATGCCCGCACCACTCAATCCTGCTGAGCTCGAGGCTCTGCTCGCTGCACCGCCGCTTTCGTACGCTGCTAGCCATGCTGCACCTCCTCCAGCAGGGGGCCCTCCACAACGACAATTCTGCGATAACTGCGGATACTGGGGACAGATCAAGTGTAGGAAGTGTGGAGCAAGAGTTTGCGGACTAGAGTGTAAAGATGCACATGAGGCTACACGGTGCTTGAAGTGGGCATGAGCATGAAAATAACTCAACGTCTTGCTCTGTCCATACGTTTCCCACTGACTGTATGTCTTGCCATCCTAAAAGTTCCAGTCATTGAACTGTATGCTGCCCCGGCGATGGCCATCGCTTGATACGTTGACGATCCAGTGGGGTGTGGAAGCAAGAACTTTGGGCATGATCAGATTGGTATAGAGGAAGTGGTTGAGCCAAAATTGATCTCGATACCATCCTCTATCTTGCGGTATGGGCCTCCCATTGTTGCCGCCGAATTGAGTACGATATTGATGTGCAATTCGGGATAGGTGAGGACTTCTTCGGCAGCTTCACGGATCTGCTTTTACGAACAAAGGCCTAGAATTAGCATGCGCACCTCGACATTTGCGCTCGCTGGTTTAGACTTTGTCTTTTCTGGGGTAGCTTGGGCTTTTTCAGCTGAGCGACCCGCTAGGATGAGCAGTTTCGGTTAGTGGATTGGAATTGTTTCGATAAAAGTTGCTCCCATCCCATCCCGCCTTGCGTTACGCCTGTGGTAAGAATAATCTTTCCGGCTATGTTGGCTACATTTTCCACCGCCATGGCCGAGACGAGTGAGTTGTGACGGTTGTAAGCTAGTGGTGGAACCATTGTAGCGGATAGTTCGAAAGAAACATATGTATGGGCTTATTCTTGATAATGATTAGTGTCGGTCTCGGTCGAGATACCAATACACTATACTGAGTATCTATGTACCCAGGTAATTCAGGCTTCGTCTAGATGCTATATTGTACGCTCAACGACAATCAAACGGTACCGTAGCGTCTCAAGCTACACACATCCATCATCATTGCGTGAATCAAATTTGTGCGCGATGGATCTACACCATTTTAGGATGTGGAAATTAAAAAAGAAATACGATAGGACATTCCAAAAACTACAGGAACAAGTACTTAATTAGGGTATATAACTTATCATCCCGAGCGCCGCTACGCCATCCCCAAACCTCTCCCCCCCACATTACTCAACCAACCTATACAAGCCGTGTATAACCTCTACCTGTTCGCCCCGAATTCGCAATTCTCGCTTCTTCCAAAGCTTTCCTCCCCGAAAATCTCTCATCTATCGAGTAGCGCCGCAACGCTTCCTTGGATCCAAAGTACTTCACGCTCTCCGCTACTATCCTCGAAACAGCATCCACTTCGTCCCTCGCATCTGGTGTCGCCTCTTGTAGCGTTCGGCTTAGTAACTTTAGGTTCTGAATCTGTAGCTCGATGCTGTGTAGACAGGCGTGAATGACGAAGCTGAGGGAGTCTGTGTAGTGAGGTTCATCGCTTGTTGAAGTTAGTCAAGAGGATTGTTGTTGTGTGGTTTCTACATGGAACATACCCGTCATAGTCATCTTCATTGAACAAGTTGTCATCGTCAACTTTGGGGAGTTTTTCAAACTTGAGGTCTTTTGGCTTGGCTTGTGAACAAGCACTGTTCAGCTCTGTGATTGAATCAATTAGGCGATCAAGGCCTTTTGATGCGGCGTCCAAGACGCCTTTTTTGCGTAGGTCGTATGCTGCCAGGCCGTCGAGATTGGTGATGTGGGCACATACTTCCAGGTCAAATGAGAATGCGTTTGCTTGCTCGGATATCTTCTCGAACGTTAGGTCTTGGGGTTTGGCTGCTTCGACGTCTATGTATGGCGCGCACGTCTTGTTGATCTGGCTCAGCTTGTTTTGAACCATTTCGAACTGATAGAGCAGTTGTGGTTGCACGATAGGTGATCTTGGGCTAGCGTTTGGACTGCGCTTTGGTGTGGAAGCTGAATCCATGCTGGGAATGGGGGGTTTGTCTTGATGTATATCCACCTTGATGCTTGGTTTCTTCTGGTGCTGCGGCTTTGGCTTCGTTCTGACTGGTAATTGACTCAAGGGGTTGGAATCTCTGGCGTATTCCTCATCGTTGAATACTGCAGGGCCTGGTCGTACTTCGCGTACATTGTAGTCCTTTTTCAGTTCCCTCTCTCTTGCGTCGCTGTGTGAACTTGATCGTGGCTTCCGGTTTATTTCGAAAACAGGGACACCCAGCCGGTCAGGGCTTGTGGGTTGGTTGAAATATCTGGAAGACGATGATCTGCCGTATTGGCTATCATGATACCGTTTCATCTGGCGTTCTCGGTCGCGCCTATCCCACCTGGCTTGTTCTTCTAAATGGTCCACATAACCTCCTGAACGCGACCGGTGGTGGCCGAAGTTTTTGTCATATCTGTCTTCTCGATCATCGTCGGGTCGCAGGAAGTCCGAAGAAAAGTGTGCCGCCATTATCGTGATCTGAAACAGATGAAAGCGACTGAGTAGAAAGATAGTCGCGTAGACCTTGTCAAGAATGTAAATGCCAGCAATAAAGCCTGCGCCTACTGATGGGGCTGTGGTCAATTGCTGTCGCCTTCGCAATGGCCTGAATGTTGGGAGAGATCGTCAGTGGGGTCTAGAATCCTGCGGAAACAAAGAGTTCAAGAAGCAGCCACAGTCATATCGGTGGTGTTACCTAAATGCCTGACCAGGCAACATGACCCGACGCCTTTGGGGGCCGTTTGAGGCGGAGCAACACCACACAATAACCTGAGTGGCTATGCGTACAGCTAATGCCACCACGTTACCCCTCAAGTTGACAAGCTGATGGTCGCGATAATTCAGCCGCAGCGTATCACGGGTCATGAGGCCGTCCATTATGCACCCAAAATACTTCAGCCTATCATTTCTCTGTACACGATACTTGATACCCCCAAAATAATTTTTCTCAACGATAGATTATTCTCCTGTTCTTTTAGCAAAGGGATAGCTTTCAACAAATCTTATCCGCTGCGTTTCTCACTGCAACCCCTCGACTGTGCCGCATGCGCGTTTCATTCCACTTCGCCACAATCACAACAGATTTCAGCATCGTCATCGAAACTCCAGTGCTCACCCCGGAGAGATCATGGCAGAAGTTGTGGCGATCATTTCTGGTCTCTTTACGGCAGGAAACGCTCTAAACACTTTTGCACAACAAGTCCGTAAATGGAAGCAACTATCCGAACGACTATTCGATATCAGTGAGGGACTTGACTTTGCACAACTCTCTTTGGACAGATGGCAAGATAGATACGACATCCAAGTTCAACGCCCGGATTTGCATACGCGAGCTTTGTTCGGAAAGGAGGGCCATGATCGGATCATGGCTACACTGGGGATGATAAAGATTATATTCCGGAACATCGAAAACGGCATCAAGCGAGCGAGGGGCGTGGCGCTCAAGGCACAACCTACAGGTCGTGCAGGTATCCACAACACCACAGACGATGAACGAGTGAAAGAATGTTTGTGGATGATACGGCGTAGCAGCATATGGTCGTATACATTCTTTATGAGCGTCATGGGCAAAGCCGATGAGTTAGAGGTGGAGCTTAAGCGACTGCAATATAAGATCACCCTGCTCGACCAATTTTCCGACTACTTCTTCGAAAGAGAACATCCAGAAAACTTCTCCAGAATCAAGCGACTTCCAGGACGGCGTTTGTACATCAAGTTCGGCGATGGTAGAACGAACATGATACCAAAAGAAGTTTTGGATGTGGTCAGTGCACAGAGGGATGCTGAGCTCCTACATCGATGTAGTATACCCAGTCGGGGAAACCGATTGCATATCGGACTCTCTGTACCGCGTATCTACAAAAGAGACTTTGCGCTGTTGTTAAGCATGAGTGAAGAGAGCCATGAAGTACTTGTGCATCCAAAGAAGATCAAAAGAAGTCCTTATATGATTCCGCAAGATCTTGCTACTGCGGTATCAGCGCTTGCATATGAACGGCAGGGCATTAGCTATCTCTCACCTCTCTCATCGAATTCTGCAGGATTTGAGATCAGATATCCTCCAACGACTCTACTGGCCGATCTCGAGTATAAGGACGCTTTGGCGAATATCATACGGAACCAGCACACCTCCCTCAGCTCACGAAAACTCTACTCTCAAGACCAGAACGCGATAGCGAGTGGCATCGCACAGGGCTCTGCTCGACTCATAGGAAGTCAGTGGCTGACTTTCCTCGACTGCGCAAACGTTCGATGGCGCAGAACCAAAGATGGCCAATGGACTTGTATGTTGACTGCAACTCCTGGGCTATCGTCGACCACTCGCGCTTTGGAGCAATGTCGCGAAGCCAACCATCGGAGAAGAGACGAACGCGATATCTCCCAGCATATCCAAATCTTCCGCATCGGACTTGTCCTAGCCGAAATTGCGCTCAAATCTCCTATCTCTTACATTGAATTCGACAGCACAACGTACACAGTCAGAATGTACGTCAACGACGGCCGGGAAATAGGGGCACATGAGATCGCGTCGGAAGTTGAACTCAAGAGCAACATGCTGTTAGCAAATATGGTGTTCTTTTGTCTCAATGTATTGCAAGATAATCGGGTCATGGGGGAGAGAAGTATCGATGGGAGTTATTTCGAGACTGTGTCTAAGCAGGCGGAAGAGCTCGACAATGTGTTTGGGATATACAATCGTAGAAGGGGTTTGATTCCAAACAAAAGCCCATTGGGAAGTGGGACAACTACGCCAAGGTCAGCTGGGGGTGCATATGTGTATTGACAGAATCCCGATAGCCTTGTAAGGAATGTGGGGTAGTGAGGAATCTGTGTGTATTCCAGACAATGCAACTACAATGATATCAAACCACAGGGTCTTCAAGTGCGTCCTGATCGCGAATACGACAAAGGAGCCAGGTAGGCAACTATCTGGAGCTGAAAGTGCTGGCAAGGTGTTGTTAGGTCGGGTGGAGCGATACCGGTACACTGCCCCAGCCAAGGCGCTACTTAGCTGTGTTATCCCAGTGTTCACTACGATCATTCGCCATTAAGCCCTAGAGCTCTCGGCTACATTCAGCCACAAAGCCAAACATCCTGAGGTCATTCAGCCTGATCTACTTCCTTCCCATTACGAGTCCATCTTCGCTTTGCTATCATAATACTACCAAGCCTTTTTTACGCTTTTGTGTCCACGCTCTTATCACTATCTTGCCAAAAGCAACGCTACCTAACTACATGATTACCGTTGAGCCTGCGTTCTGACGATACGAGACTCTTCAGCGCCTATACTTCGCAAACTACCCTCAAAGCTCAATGGAGGGGCTGGTGGACTGTTCAGCATCGACTGGGGCTACGACACAGAAGCCCAAGTACGACAACTTCTACTCACCACAGAATGAGGAGTTCTACTCCAAGTTCCAGTATTGCGACCTGAATACAAATGAACGTCGCATACGTCTCCTTCGAGTTCACCCGTCCCTAGAGATGGACGACAAGAAGAGCCGGACACAATGTGAACTTCTTGATAATATATCAATGGCAGACAAGAAAGGTATGTAACCCACATCCCGATTCCTTATAGATATTTCTCTTTTCCAATTATACCTACTAATCACATATTGAGGCTTCTAGGTCATTACACTACTCTGTCATATTGTGCTGGAGATCCCAAGAAAACGGAGATCATCACTGTCAACGGCATAGAGTTTAACGCGTTTGCCAACCTAGGTCATGCGCTTCGACAAGCTCGGCATTTTTGGAGGGATAGATTCGACGGACAAGAGCTCCTCCTTTGGGCAGACCAAGTTTGCATCAACCAAAGTAATCCATCGGAACGATCACACCAGGTTGGCTTTATGGCCGAAATCTACAAGAATGCCACTCAAGTACTCGTGAGCTTGACTTCAGAGGGTGATCGCACGGGTGGACTTGGATGGATATCTCAAACCATTCCTCCGGAAGCAATACGTCAAGCTGTGGATACCTTTTCTCAAAGTGTTATGAGAAAGGATAACTTTAACTTTCCCTGGCACGACGGCTCCACAGTTGCATCTATCGTGGAGTACTACCAAAGGATGTCCCCTATTAGGGATATCCATGTCTCCTGGACTACCTTTGTCGATACCGTTCTGAATAGCCCTTGGTGGGCCCGAGCATGGATCCGTCAAGAGTTTATATTATCGCCTGATGCCTATCTCATGGCCAGCTTCGACTATACACATTGGCTGAATCTTGTGAGTGTCTTAGGGGAAAACCCACCGGATCTCGCTAGAGACATTGAAACGAACAATGCTCGCTGTAGCTACTCAATGTGTCTTGTTTGTGCAAATAAATCACCCCCACGCTCAGACCAACGATACAATCGGAGAGTAGTCCGCAGATTGATAGCATTAAAGATAGATTGGTCTGATGGCCTCAGACGGACACTGTTGAGCTGGTTGACGGACCGTTTTGTACTGAGAGCCTCGGACCCCAGAGACCAGATTTACGCGTTACTTGGTCTGGCCAGTGAGAGTTACGGTGTCCAGCCCGATTACGTACACAACAAGTGTATTGATGATGTTTACATTGATGTGGCAATAGCATGCAATAAGTACTACGGCTACCTCGCTACCCTAAGCGTGTCCACTGCATATGGACCTCCATCATGGGTTCCGACCTGGTCTTCAGAATGGCATCACGTCCATCTCGAAGCGTATCAAAGACAGCATCACAAGTATCCACTACTCAAGTCAGATGAGTTTGGCCGTAAAGATGGAATACTGCCTGTACGAGGAATCTTCCATGGGATTCTGTATGAGTCCAACGAGCTTTACGGTGATGTTAATAGGGCATTTCAGACGTCAAAGCTCAAACGGATCACAGTACCAAACGCAATAACAGATGTAATACCCGGGGACGAAGTTTGGATGCTTTACGGATGTTCTTATCTCAACGTGTTCAGACCGAAAGGAGAATACTATAGATTCATTGGTCAGACCAACGATCTGTACTCGGACCCCTTACCGGAACTTCCTACTCTCATTGAAGAGGTCATCACATTGACAGAGGCAAACGATCATATGATTAGGTGGATTGAGATATGCTAGACTATCGAATCAGACTGGCAGGCAGAATTGGTTAGGTAGTGTTGGCGGGTGCAGGATCCATCGAATATCGTGATATCTATACACTTTTCTGCTGTAACAGCTGATTTCGCGAGGAGTTGTTTGTCTCGCGCATGGGTTGATGTCCGCCATTCCATATTATTTATCCCATTCAGAGAACATAATCATGGATTTTGCAAATCTATCATCTGCCACATATGTCAAATCATGAAACTCCATCCATTGATTATATCATAAACGACAATACAAACAAGGCCTTGCTACCAGCATTTTAATCGTGGTGCTCGATCCAAGAATTTGAACTCTTCAGAGCGAGAGTAACGCTCAAATCTCACAACCCAATACCCCTCCATCACTCACCCCGCCATGCCATCTTGCCCCTCCTGCCCCTCCCCTCATCATATGCTTATGCTCTGCCCCTCCCGTAGCGCCGTAATCAACATTGCGATTCAAACCTGCCAAATCGGGTAACCGTGCCCCTCCTAATCCATACTAGCCCTGCACCCAAACGTGAAGGGAAGGGCAGGAAAGGGCACAGAGGAGTGCGCCATTCACTGTAAAACCCTCAACGCCTAATTATAAAATTTTCCTGATGCAGTACACGACATATACTGGAAAACTCTTTGCTTATGCAAATACTCAATTTCTAATAGGATCAAATTGCTCCTTCCTGCATCTAGCGCAAATAAACCACTCCCTTCGCTCGTCACACGCTACACCCATGGACCACTTTACGGACGCCCTTCGATATTCTATAGCGCAGCAATCCACAGGCGAAGATTCAATCTGATGCTCAAGGAAAGTTCGTATACGGGACTAAGATGCTGATCTACCACTCATCCCAGTCATCCACGCCCTTCAATCATCCCACATCACCCTACCACCTACGCCCTTCCCTAGCGCAGTGCTCAATGCCATCTCTTAACTTACCTTATACCGTAATTCCCAGACCCCAATCCATACACACCAGCATGAGAAAGAGCGTTAGATCATGTATGTTCCCCTCCCACGCCCTTTCCTCGTTCCACAAACCAACCACACCACATCAACCAACCCCTCACGTTCACGCCCTTTCCTAGCGCAGTAATCTACACTAGACGTTCGGATCTACTGCTTGAGGCAGTTTGGCATGGAAGGATGCGCGTCGCATGTTGTTTCCCCGCCCTTTTGGCGTTGACCCCTCACGCCCTTCTCCGTCTGCATCTGCGTCTAGCATGTGCACCTACCGCATAAGGAAAATTTGATCAGCGTGATATTACGACATGGTTGTTTCTACGCCCTTTAGTGAGGTAGGTTCCCTGCTTGCGCCTTTCGTCTGCGCCCTTGATAGTGCAGTTATCCACGTTTCATGCCCGATGTTTCCTTATGGAGTATATTTATTACTACAGAACGGTACCGTGATGACAGGAGACTGACATAGGTACGTTAATTACGTTAACATGATGTATGAGCCCTTTGCACGCGCCCTCTCATTGACAAACATGTCTTCATATCATGACTGCTGCAGAGCCCCGATACAATCCATGCATGCAGAACGCTTGATACAATATCTATAGGCTACGAGAACTCAGCCTCTCAAGAATGACCGTGCTCTGCAAGGAAGGGGCAATAAAACATCGCCATGCATAGAACAAAGGCTCAAAATTGGCTGGACTATAGGTGCCTAAAGACCATTTAGTAATAACATGGTTGGCAAGCGAGCGGCCCACGCAAGCGAGCGGCCCACCCCACCAACTTTTGCAACTTCAAAGCGATACATCTCAACAACGCGATAATATTATTGCTAGATATTAATACAGTAGATTACTCTATATTAATAGTATTAGTGTTGCATGTGCGTGAGTTGTGCCCAGTCTCCTTGCACCTGGTGCAGCGCCTTTGAGCCCGCTGGCTGACGCCTGATCGTGCTCCTCCTTGACGCTCTTTATGAGCAATCTGCTGGTCAGCCTTATTTTGAGCCAGTATATCCTCTCCAGCTCCTTTTGTAAGTACTCTATGCTTCTGTATACGCCTTTTAGAGCGCCGCCTACGCGCTGACGCTGCGCTGTTGGCTTTCTCAAGACTAGAGATCTAATCCCGCATTAGCTTAGAAGAGAGCATTATTACCTCAGCGCCTTTCTTTAGCTAGTCAATTGCTATAATAATTGAAGCTGGTGATGAGCTCTTGTGCTGGCGCACGCGCTCACGTATAAGGCTTGACTGAGCCTTAAGCTCACGCGCGTTGCTCGGCGTTTGAGCTACCTAGGGAGCCTCTGGTAGAGCTGCTGGAGGAGTAGGTGTACGCAGCTGTACATCTACCTTTGATAGAACAGCCTCTGGTTGTAGAGGAACAAGGCCTGCGCCGCGGAAGGCTGAGCAGATGTTGGCTGGCGTGAAGGCGCGATTGAATGCTATCTTAAATGCTGGCAGAAACTCTAGCTTAGTGATGTGGTTGATGTGGTTGCGCATAAGGCTCTCCACCTCACGGCTGTACGCGCGCTTCAATGGCGAGAAGCAGCTAACATTAAGCGGCTGGAGTAGGTGGGATGAGTGAGGTGGCATACAGAGCGTGTAGATGTTGTTCTCTTTGCAGAGCTCCTGGAACGCTAGAGATTGGTGGCTCTTATGGCCATCAACAATAAGCAGGCGACGCGCGCCTATGCTACGAGCCTGCGTGTGAGCGTTAAAGTGCTTTAGCCACTCAACTCTAAGCTCATTATTCGTCCAGCCATTGTCGCTGACTGCGATCGCCTAGTCGCGTGGGATCTCAGCTTCCTCGTACCAGGCTGATAGGTGGTACTGGCCAGCGAAGATGAGGAACGGTGGGACTGACCAGCCAGCAGCGCTGATAGCAGCGATCAGCGTTACCTACTCGCGATTGCCTAGCTAAAGAGTCTTCGGCCTACCTCTTCTTTCTGCTCCTGTTATAACTAGCTGCGTTGTAATCTTGCCTATTATAAAGCCAGCTTTATCAAAGTTGTAGACGTCCTCATCGCAGATGCTGTACTTAGCTTTTGTCTCCTCTACAAGCTTAAACCAGGTCCTAATTAGGGCTGGATCCTCACATAGAGCTCTCTGCCTATCGTACGCTTGGTTAAAACACGTCCAAAGACTGTCTGTACGCTTGACAAAGTTGGCTGGCTACTTCTGCCCAACCTGGCCAGCGCCGCGCGCAGCTAGCAGCTTATCAGCCATATCACGTATAGCTGCGTAGGTAGGCGCAAATCCACGCTGATCTAGCTGAAGTATATGGCTGATAATCACCTCCTCTTCTCTCTGGGTAAGCTTCCTTGAGTTGGGCTGGCAATCTGCGCGCGCAGGCTTACCAGCGCGTCGGCGTCGGAGCGTCGTTCGGGGGACTTCAAATGTCTGCGCAGCATCTCTTATAGACTGAATTTGGCTTCTATTAATAGCTGAGATTGCAAGGTGTATATTAACCTCAGAAGAGGTTGGTGGGGCTTGAATTGGGGGAGCCATGATAGGGAGGAGTTTACAAGGCGCAGAAAGTTGGTGGGGTGGGCCGCTCGCTTGCGTGGGCCGCTCGCTTGCCAACCATGTTACAGTAATATGCATTACAATATCTCCATCCCCTCGCCCAACTCACTCCCACATGCCCATGACCCAAAATAAAAAACTTCCCTATGTTGCCATCAAAAAAGCATAATCTTATCTTCATCCTCATCTTCACTTCCTTGGTATATACACCCAATTCCCATCCACTCCAACCCACATCACTCACTCATCACTCATCACTCACAACCTCCTTCTCCCTACAAACCACACAGCCTCTCCCCACCGCGCTCTTAATAACATGCGCATGCGCCACTTTCGCGCCCACACTCCTCGTCCACCTACCTCCACTTTCCTGCGCATCAGCTGCGAGCTGCTGTTGCAAGCCGGCCGCAACACTAGCGCTAGCACTTGTCTTGGGGAGCAGACATCTCAGGTGGAAAATGTGGCCGCATGCGAAACCAACGAGGGTGTCGCGGGAGAGTGGTAAAGGCCCGCTACCGTCGATGGTTGCTTCTTCTTCTTCCGTGGTGGGGAGGGTGAAGGGGCGGTGGCAGCCTACGCAGTGGCCTGGTGGTGCGTCACCTTCTGGCGGGACTTCGGGTGCGGGGTCGAGGTTGGGTGCGTTTGTAGTCGAGGAGACTGCCGTAGTTTTGTTGTCTGCTCTTGCCGTTGCTTTGGCCGCTGTAGCGGGGTCGATGGCCTTGGGTTCAATGTCGACCTGGGCTTTGGTGGCGTGATGATGTTTCTTCTCGCGGCTGACTTCGAATTTAACGCCGCGTCTTTGGCCGGCGCGCAAGGTATCCATACCAGCGGCTACTTCGCCGCGGAGGACGCGGGCGACGCCTTCGGAGATTGAGTATTGGATTTCGTATTCGCGGACCATGCGGCCGATGCCATCGCGGAGACCTTCGATTTCTAGACCTTCGGGGATACGCCGGACCAGCTTGATGGGGTCAATTGCTGTGCCGACTTCTTCGAGGAGGCCGCGGATGAAGTGTGGTTTGTCCATGGAGTACTCCAATAGATCGTTCCATAAGTCGGGGTCATCTTGCTCTTTTGCGAAAGAAATTGCAAAGCTAACGTCAGAGAGCTTCTCAATAATGAGATACAGGGCGCGCTTTGTTTGGCCTGTCTTGGAGAGGATATGTCTGCAATGGATTAGCAAGCTGATCGGGCCTCTGTAACATGTAAAACTTACACAAGCTCTGGGATGTACTCCCTCCTCTCGCACTCTGCCGTAGCCTTGCTCAGATCATAGCTTTGAGACTTACGCAGATACTCCATGAGGAGCGGTCGGTCATACTCCGCGAACAGCTCAACCATAAGATCCGCAAACTCTTCTGCAACAATTTTGCCATCAGCCACCAAGCGGTCCTCTGCCACCCGCTCTTTAGCTGTTTTCGCTGTTCGCTCATGCATTTCCGGCTTCCACAGCTTTCTTAGATAGAAGTGCAGGAAAGGCCTGAATGCTGGTCCTTTTTCCTGCAATTGACTTTCAACGTCAGAGGCAGGAATGGTGCCGCGGCAGCCCTCTTCAACAAGTACACTGATCGCTTCCGTAGACGCCTCTTCTAGCTCTTCCAGTTTTACTGACGCAGACTTCATCTGATCTTTGGACACGCCCATCATAATGAACCCGGGTATGTCATCCCTGACAGCCTCCACGAGATGGAAGTCCCGTATGAGGGTCATGGCAGCCTCAGCATTTTGGAGACGAATGTAGCAACGCAACGCCTCTCTCTGACGACCGCTGGCGAGGAACAGCTTCGCAAGACCATCTTGCAGTATCCGCCAATCTCGGCCCTGTACATCGCCTTCGATGGATTCCTCAGTGACATCGCCTGCAGAAAGCTTGCTCTTGATTGCCTCAATGACACTATTAATATCGAACAGATCTGGATCCCAATCTTCGAGCAAATGCTTGAAGCGTATTCGATCATGAATTATGTAGTGACCAAGAATCACTTCATATACCATCGATGGTAATGGCGGCTGCATGGGCTTCTTGGGGACGTAGGGAGATATCTCGTTGAAGTGGTTTTTCTGCGCAAACTTCCACACCCAATGTTCCCATCGTGAGGAGGTGCCAAGTACGCGACCAGCGACTTTGCCTGCTTGTTTCCAGTCACCGTTGTTGACAAGCTGCTGAACCCATAAATCTCCAATTCGACGTTTCTCTTTCTCTACTGCAGAGTTCTGGTTTGCCCTTGTAGCGGAGAGCGTAGTTTGGGAATCGCTGTCGTCTGCAAAGAACTCGTGTAAACTTCCCTGTCGCTTTATAGGGGTACCACCTGGCGACCCATCTGAGGGGGCCTGCAGAACCGACGCGATAATCTCAGGATGGTCTTCTAGTAGCTCCCAGGCATCCTTGTAATTCTCATGCTCAAGTTCCCACTGGAAATGATCTGATAGTTCTCGCTTGATGGCTAGTACACAATCGTAGGGGCTCTGGATGAAGACTTTCAGACCTGGTGTCGCAGCGTTTGGATGCGCTTGTTGTTGCCGTTTAGTAGCTATTGAGCCTGAGGCGTTACCGGCACTGGCTGAGGACATGGATGGTGCCCTTGACGGTGGCTTGTCAGAGCCAATCTGAAGGTTCATTACACTCGCTCCCGAGCTGAATATACGCGCTGCACTGGCACCAACATCCCAAATACCGCCTCCAATGGCCTCCAATGCACTCTTCTGCGCGGGAGTCATGGTCTTGGGATGAGGCACATACAAGGTGCCCAAGTGATAATCCGCAGCCGAGAGAGTTTCGAATCTGCTGACGGTCAAGGAATCAACTTCGACCTCATCTGAGGTGGCAGCATCTATGAGTTTGAGCTCTGGAGAAAGACCGTTTGATCGACGCATCCTTCCTCCCCGAGGAGTCGTTTCTGGCCCAGAAACGGGATTGTCATCGTCATCGCGTGTCCGGTATGCAAGAACAAGAAGCAAAGAAGGGGTATAGAGCGAAATGCCAGAAACAATACAGTCGTCGAAACGAAGACTGGGAAATCGTTAGCGATGAATGAATACAGGGGAGACAATAATACCGATGGACCACCTCGGCGCTTCCGACCGATCTTTCACCAACTTCACGGCCGACGCCAGCTCCTCCAGGTTGTACGTGAACAACCCAAGCTGCATCTCCCCACCCTATGATGAGCTTTTCAAACGTCTTCTTCTTCTTGCTATTCTTGGGCGTTTGGGGTGATCGGTTCTGTGGTAATGTGGACTCGGTTTTATCTGCAAGATGATGACCGTTCATACTCATTATAGCGTCGTCATCAGACTCGAGTGACCGGTCATCAACCCACTCTATCCGCGCCTTCCATACACCAGCCATGTCCTCCCATATTCGCCGATTCGGCTTCTCGATAAAGCCGATTCTCTTCCACGCGAACTCCGAGTCTGCGCTGTCGAGGTGGAGGTCGGTCCGAATGATGCGGATGCCATGTTCGTTTGACCAAGCCACGAATTTGCCTGAAAGTGACCATTTGATGGCACTTATGGCACCTTCTCCAGAGTGCAGGATGGTGTCCCTGCCTCCGTGGCCGCCCAGTCCTATTGCGCCTAGCCATCCTTGTGCTGTCTGTGATGCTGAGCTGGTGTTTGCATTTGACCGTACGCCCGTTGGCCCTCCAACTGTGTGAATGAGCTCGCCAGCTAATCCTCCGGACAAGTAGGAGCGGTCGTTCTTGTATTCGGGTGAGAGTGCAACGGCTTGTACGGGGCGGCCGAAGTTGCGGAGCGTGACATCCTTGGGATCGACGAGGGAAGACACACACACATGTCCATCTATGGAAGAGGAAGCTATGTATATCTGATTTGAAGGCGTTGCCGGTACTTGGGCTTGACGGGGCGCACGGGGAGACGATGTATTGCCTGACGTAGTGTCTGTACGCCGTAAACTTGGAGTCGTCTGATCAGCGGACCTGAGATCTGAGGCGGTAGGTACGAATGGCTGTGAAGCTAACAAGGGGGACACTGACAGCGCAGTGACGGAGGCGGCAGGATGTGCATTGTAGGTGCGGAGGATTTGGAACGACGGTATGGTTAGGGCGTGCTGGTAGGATTAGTATACTATTTGGGGGTTCAGGAAGCTCCAGGAACTCACGATATTGCCATTATGTGTTCCAACAATCTATATACAATCTTAGCATACACCATACAGCTTGCAATACAAGCACATGAAGCTTGGAGCTATGACCGTACCATCTTGTCCCCCGCGACCATAAAGGTAGCCGTCGCGTCGCCATTGCGGTATACCGGACCCAAATCCCTCGTGAGGCGACTGTACTTGAGCTTGGGCTCCTCCTCAACATCGTCGTCTTCGTCGTCGTCCGAGTCCGGCTCAACCTTCTTCTTCCCTTCGTTGGCTACCTTCTCGGGCTCCGATTGCTCGCGCACCGGCGTGCGCGGTTCGTCTGTTGAATTTTCCGCAGCCATGCTGGCGGCATGAGCTGCGGCGGGTGTGGTAGAGACCTGGAATAGCTCCGGCGCGTGGAGGTGTGCAAGTCTGAGTTGGCCGATGGGCCCTGGTCGAATCTGGGCCGATGATGCTGGCCAAGCCGATTCCCGCGGACTTGCAAGGGTCTAACTAAACTCTCCGCAAAATACTCCACCATCCAACCCCCAGAAACTCTCTTTGTTGACGACGATTCACGTTGGAAACTATGTTTGAGACACACCTCCGCTGGCGATGACTACAATCCGACCTTACGCGTTCAATGGCTTGACACGATGTCTTGCTCGTACTGCACAACTCCCGCACTATTCTGTCGCTATACAACCTCTACGCACCCCCGCAAATAGACTATTTTCGACATCGAGATATTATGGAAAGAAGATCGACTTCACCCAGAGGCAAGAGGACGTGACGCCCCACGAAGAATCCTCGGAAGAGACTCCACAGCAGTCGAAACGGAAAGCTGCACGAAAAAATGCAACCAAGACGTCCTCTCTACGGAGTGTCGCAGTGGAGGCGCAGAGATCTCGAGCCTTTGTAAAGTCAAGAGGAAAAACACGCTTCGTAGACCCAGATGCCGAGACCAAGACAGTAAGCGCATATTGTGCTGCCGAGATATATGATATCTCGGTGGCCAGCCGCCTCGTCAAAGCCCAAGGCTACGAGCTCGATCCCTTTCAGACTGGTCTCTACCCCCAAGTCATACATGTGCAGACATCGGAGCGACCATCTGAGGTCAAGGACTTCCAGCAGGGCGACATCTTCATCTTCCCCTCTGGCACTGTAGTAACTTGGAACGTCCGGGAAAGAGAAGCCCTGAAGCTAGTCAACCAAGTCCTCCCCGCCGCAGCCGAAGGCTCGCATCTCGACCTCCTAGAAACCGAAGATCTGGACTATCTTGAGGACCCCAGCAAAGAAGCCAGTGAAGTAGTCGGTGACACCATTGTGCTAGGCACAAAGGCAGAACCACCATCCGACATCATCTCACTCAACTCCTCGGACGAAAATCATCTCACAAGCGAACAACGCCATGAAGTAGACACCGTCCTCGCCAAGATAGCCTTCTCTTCCGGCCTCGCCCGCTCTACCAAACTGGCCGTCTTGGAAACCTTGCTATCTGCATACCAGCACTCCACCCGCGATATCCCCACCATGCTCGCCGCATCCAAGCCCTTCTCACCCCGCCGCAGCGCCCCCTTCACTCGCTCCTTCATCCTCCGCAAGACTGGCGAACTGCTCTCCCTACGAGCCCAATTGAACCTCTACTCTGAGCTCACAGACTCCATGCCCGACATCTTCTGGGATTCGCGGCACGAGCTCGGGCTAGGCGAGTACTACGACCAGGTTGGGCGTGCGCTGGATGTGGGTGTTAGGATCAAAGTGTTGAACGAGAAGATTGGGTTTGCACAGGAGATTGCTAGTGTGTTGAGAGAGCAGTTGAGTGAGAAGCACGGGCTGAGGCTTGAGTGGGCCATCATTGCGCTTATTGCTGTCGAGGTGGTGTTGGAGTTTTACAGGCACTGGGACGAGCGGAAAGATAGGGATGATCCCGCGAGTACTGAAGCTTTGCTCCGAAAATATCTGGAGAAGCTGGTGGATGAGAAGGAAGTCACGCCGACCCGATGATGGAGACGTTTTCGCGTACTAGACGCATATGATACCCCACTCCCATAGACCACATTCAATTTCATTTGCATACACAAAGGAAACGTCTTTGATTCTACAGACCGCTCCAGTCCATTCAATGAGCCCGGATATTTACAAAACTCGATTCTTCTTTCCTTGATCCAGGAAACAATTCTCTATTGATCATCGATAACATGCAGATACTTCTTCTCCTCTCTCTTCTCCTTCTCGCTCATGGGCGGCAAGTCGTAGTAACTCGAACTTCGGTACCCCTTGAGGTAGTCAAATGTCATTGCCTTCAACTCGACCGGCTCAATGTCCAAATCCTTGAACGTCTTGGCGTTCTTGTCGATGATTTGGTTAATAAACTCCCGCTCTACCTCATCAGCCGAGGTGATGGGCCACCACAGAAGCTTGTTAGCGTAGTGTGCAAGAGGCTTCAAGATACGCTTGGGGATGTTAATGTGGCGTTTTGGGTGCATGGTCTCCTTCTCTACAAGCTCCCTAACCTCGGCCATGGAGTACTCGGTGGGGCCGTAAAGTTCGTATGTCTGGGCCGCAGTCGTATCATCGTGGAGCATGCGTTCAAGGGCCATGCCGACATCGATGACGTGAACAGGTCGGGAACGCTCCTGCAGGTTGTTGGCGGTGATGATGTTGGATGGGGAGGCAAGCCTGTGCAGGAAACGGTCTTCAAATCCGAACATGGGCGCAGGTCGAACAATAGTCGTCTCCGGGTAGATGGATCGGGCAACAATCTCGCCCCTAGCCTTGGTGCGGTAGAATTCCGATTCCGATTCCGGGTGTGCACTATGGGATGAAACCTGAACGAATCGGTCGATATCATACTTTGCAACAGCGTCCACGATGCGCTCAGTTCCAGAAACATGTACATCCTCCAAATCAAAGTTCTTGGTGGGGTAGTCGCGACCAATGAGGTTGTAGACAATGTCAGAGTGTCGTACGCTTTCTTCAATGGACTGGGTGTTTCGAAGGTCCATTTCCATGAAAACGACTCTGCCCAAATCTCCAGCGACCTTAAGATGGCGCTTCGCCATCTCCTCGCGGAAAGGGATAATGACTGTGCATCCTGATCGAGCTGTTCCTGTCGTTAGCGCAAACCCACTCCTGCTCCCCGTGTTTGCACGCACCCAGTCGGTTCACGATATAACGTCCCAAGAATCCAGTGGCTCCGAAGACGGTTGCCGTGTATCCTGCATCTGTGTGAGCGCTTCGACTACCATGCGGGTGCGGGTCGCAGTCTACCTCCGAGCGAGGAACGTCCACCGGAAACAGTCAGAATGGGCTTTCCAGTCCTAGGCACCTGTCAGCCAGCATTTCACGCACTGTGGGGTCATGGGTCGTGCCTGGTTATCCTGACGTCCGAGTTGAGTAGTTGCCGGCAAACTGAGGTGGAGAAGGGAGCTACGCGCTTCAAGGGCAATTGAGCCGACAGCGCCACTGGCGACCGAGCGCAGCGGAGTGGCAGCATAGTTGCGGCGTTCAATGGCTACTGGGATGTCGTATAGGGCTTCTTGTGAAGTAGCTGTGATGAAGGACGTCGGTGGTGATGGGGCTTGGCCCGATGCGCTAATCGTAGCTTCCGCCGCAACGCTACCTACTGAGCAACCCATCCCGCACTCAAACATACACACCCGGCCTTGTGCTCTCCCACCACTTCTTCACTTGGCAAACTATCCCCCCAAATCTCATCAACACTCGCACAAGTAGCCACTATGGCCATGGACACGGACACAATCCCGAACCTTCTGGGTGATGCGCGGGACGAGGCACCAGAGGAGCTTCAGGAATACTTCATCGCCTTCGAGGACTTTTGGGAGCGAAAGTTGTGGCACGAGTTGACGGACAAGCTCATTGAGTTCTTTGACCACCCCGAGAGCGCGAAACAGCGGATACCCTTCTTCGAGACGTTCATCAAGAGCTTCGCAAATAAGATCAACCAGCTCAAGCTCGTCACTCTAGGCTTGGACGCAGCATCACAGTACAAGGGTATGGACATGGATGCGGTGCAGCCAAATTGCAAGAGCTGACCTTTACAGATGACAAGGAGCGTCTCACATTCGTCAATGACCTCGCAAAGAGCGTCAACAAGCCCGCCTCACAGGACGCATACGTCTATGCCACAGTCGCAGCCGCCAGCATACAACTCCGGTTACGGGACGAGGAGGGTGCGAAGAAGAAGCTGGAAGAATGCGAGCAGATACTGGATACCTTCGATTCCGTCGAGACAGTCGTGCATGCGTCATTCTACCGTGCGAGCGCCGAGTACTACAAGTCCAAGCACGAGTTTGCGGCATACTACAAGAATGCCCTTTTGTTCCTGGCCTGCGTTGATCTTAACGAGATGGAGCTGCGAGAACGCCAGTCGCGCGCGTATGACCTCAGCATTGCCGCGCTCGTGTCGGATTCCATTTACAACTTCGGAGAGCTGTTGCTACATCCCATCCTCGACTCGCTCGTCAACACGCCCCACGCATGGCTGCGCGATCTCCTCTTTGCCTTCAACCGCGGCGACCTGATGGCATACGATGTGCTCTCTAACAACATCACAAAGGTCCCGCTTCTCAAGGAGCACCAGACCTTCCTCTATCAAAAGATCTCGCTCTCAGCCCTCACAGAGACCGTCTTCCGCCGCCCGCCACACGACCGCGCCATGACATTCACTGAGATCTCGTCAGAGACCAAGGTGCAACCCAACGAGATTGAACACTTGATCATGAAGGCGCTGAGCTTGGGCTTGTTGAAGGGACAAATTGACCAGGTCGCCGAGATTGCACGCATCAACTGGGTGCAGCCCAAGGTTCTGGACATGAAGCAGATTGAGGGTATGCGGACAAGGCTGAAGGAGTGGGATGCCAGCGTCAACCAGCTGGGTAACTGGATCGAGGGTGTTGGCAAGGACGTCTGGGCGGCTTGAGTGATACCTACCCCTCACAAGTGACATGCTGTGTCTGCAAGGAAGACACTTACATGTCATGTAACCATAGATAGTGAGCATCTTGAACACATAGACGGCTTACGAATGAAAAGATTCATGACCCATTCATTGCAGGGATAAAATTGCGTGATATCTTTACACTCTACCACAATACTACAAACAACATCATCCCCTTTTCGAGACCATAGTCCCCTATTCCCATATACCAATAGCCACCACGACAGCGCCCGTAAGCCATGCCGGGAACCACACCAACCAAAACACCACCTGCGTCCACATACCACACACATGCCATCCAATAGCCGACTGCACCAGCACCTCTGCCAGACTGGCCCCCAGTATCTTGGTCCCCGTCTGCACCACCAGACAAGGATTCAACACTGCCAGCACAAGCAATTGCCCCGCATTAACCCCCATATTCTTCGATCTGCGTACGAAACTCAGCGGTACACACGCCACGCCAACCAGCACCGACAGCGAAAAGTTCAGTGTAGCCAACGCAGCGAGGAACATGCCTAGTAGCAGCAGAGAAAAACATTGCATCAGGCAGAGGACCTGTGGAGAGAAGATGTTGGAGTCGGACCAGAAGAAGAGGAAGGTGATGATGATGGGGAGGAGCGTGGTTACGTTGCAGGCTGTGATGAAGAGGCCGGAGAGACGAGGGGCGTCCCAGTTGTTGAAGAGGTAGAGGGGGATTAGACCTGCGGCGTGGGCGGTGAGAACGAGGAGGAGGGGGAGGAGGAGATGCCGTTCTGTTATTGTGGTTGCTGGTTTGGGGACGACGGCTAGGGCGCCATCTTTTTCGACGAGTTCGGTTGCGGGCTCATCAGCTTTCACAATGGAGTCTTTTTCTTTGGCGTTTTCATTTTCGGACTCCTTGTCTTCGGACGATTGAGTTGGCTTTTCTGCAGCGGGTTTGCTGGATGAGGGCTTCTGCGGCTTTGTAGAGGCGGGATTGGGAATTGGTTCTGTGGCGCGTCCACTCTTGACCCATAATGCCATAGCGGCGATGCTGAAGTTGATGGCGATCAGCATGGCCGAAGGGAGGTATGTGCCTATGCTAACGAAGCGCTTGTCCTGCAGCAAGAGGTAGAAGAAGAAACTTTGGTGGAAATGTTCCAGCAAGTTGTTCAAGCTTCGGAAGAGCGATTCAATCGTCTTGCCGAGAGTCATCTCGTCATGCCAACCGTCGCCGACGGTCACAAGCGTAATGGCGTCGACATGGTACGGTATGAAGGAAGAGTGCGGTCCAGTCGCGTGGCCTAGACCTTGCGAAAGCATGCCTCGAAGCATAGTCTGGAGTCGCTCCTTGTACGAATCACTGTGATCCCACATGCGCTGGATCACACAGCTGACGCCCATCTGCCCATTTGCAATGTTCACTACAGTGTTGAACAGATCGAGGTTCGGAAGCTGGCCGTTTACTCCGTCATAGACTATGTGCAATTTGTCGTATCGGTGGCCCCATGGACCAGCAGGATAGTCGACTGCAACAGCGCCCTGTAATGCCCCACTCTTGATCTTTAAGCTCTCGACATATCGCTGATCGTGTTCCTCATGGTATGCATCGACCCAAGCTTGCGAGCCAATGGTGCTGTCACCGGGTACGAGGAAGATGATGTCCTTACTCCAGAGACTCCAGCGCTTGAAGTAGCGAGCCAAAGTCAGGACCAATGCGACACCAGAATTGTTGACTTCGTCTGCCATGTTCTTCCATGCTCCAATTAGCACAATGGCTTCGGTAGCATCGGCGCGAGGACCTTGGAGGATGGCATAGACGTTTTCGTTTGTAATGGTACGGTTTGACACGGTGTAGTTGTAGTGCTGGGTTGCGACTTTGAGGTTCTGTTCGCGGAAGATGGCTTCAAGTCGCTGGGACCGTCTGAACTAGAGTTAGTATTTGATTCGGATGCTAATTGATGTATACATACTCGGCGATAGGCTTGTCAATCAGTCCGTGGACCTCATGGCGATAGGCTCTGAAGACATTGTGCTCGCTGCCGGTAAAGTACGTGTGTACTTGGCCTGGTAAGAGCGCATTCTCAGAAACATACGTCCTTCGGGAGTACTCGTTCAGCGGAAGCACAAGCAGCCACCCTATTCCAACGATTATACACAGTGCGGAAAGATAAGGCGGAAGCTTGAGCAGGCGTTTGTCTTGCCGCAGCGCCAATAACCAGGCTACATCTGTTAGCCACGACCCTGCAATCCCAAATCACCAAGCTTACAGAGCAAAGCCATATTCACCCCTCAATTGCGCGTCACGTAGAGAAACAGAAAAACAGGGACTGTGTCGTGTCCTTCCCTCTGCCCAGCATCCCACGCAAACCGACTTGGAAGGAGCCAAGTCCACCACAGCAGCGGGAGGATCGTCACTAGCGCAACGCGACCCTGAACCCTACCTAGTCGCATGTAATCTTCCTGTCCGCTCGATCTCACGGCTGCTACAACGCGCCTGCACATCAAAACATTCACGCCCGTGGCGTGCCCCTCCGACGATGCCGTCCATGTCTTCGCTGCCACAGTTCAACCCCGCGCGCATACGCTCGTATATCCTGCGCTTGCCCTTTTGTACCAAGATCTTGGTGGCCGCCATTCTGGGATTATGGATTGCGACGATTCCGTTTCCGTGGATTAGGGATTTCGGCGGTTTGGAGCCAAATAAGATGGATTTGACGCAGAGTACGTGTTTTTGTTGGTTTCGGGGCAATGAGGGGGGATGTGGCCTCCAACTGCGGCCTTCTCGGATGCCTAGGGTTCAGACACAATTGCATAGAGTTCATGGCAAAGGACGACGGAATGGTCGTTTGGTGGAATACAATTGGGCTGTCATCTCATCTAGCACGGAAATAATGCTAATACAACATATGTATAGTGCACCGACTCAACCTGTTCCCTCTTCTGCATTGGGGCTTCTTCCACATGATCTTTAATCTCTTCGCCGTAACACCACTTATCGAACGATTCGAGTCGGAATACGGAACCTTGGTTACATTGGTACTCTTTACTGGGCGTAAGAATAACCCGCAATGGCTTGCAAGTGCTAGAACTGACTTGACGGCAGCATTTGGAACCATACCCGGAGGTGTATATACGTTGCTGGAGAAGTATGTGCTGAGGAGCAATACCGCGGTCATGGGCGCAAGGTATGTAAAATATCGCGGGAAGCGTCCACGAATTAAATTGACATTGGAATAGTGTATGGGTGTTCCTCCTACTATCCGCCGAAGTTATGAAGCAACACAAGACGAATCCCTCGTTCAGGTACATCACCACTAGCCGTCTTCCACACGTCAATTGCTAACTCTCGCAGTGTTGGACCCTACAAGATTCCCACCTGGACGACCCCACTCATCCTCATTGTCCTCACCAGTATCCTCGTTCCCTACGTCAGCCTAGTAGGCCACCTCTGCGGCGCAGGTCTCGGTTACCTCTGGGCCTCCGGCTACATCAAGTTCCTCGTCCCCCACGAGAAGATTCTACGATGGATCGAGACCAAGGCGAATCTGCTAGGCAGAATACCACACTACGTTAGTGTAGACCAGAAGACATATGGCCGTTACGGCGTCCTACCCACAACGAGCGTACCGTTGGGGAGGGGAAGTCCAGATGGCGGACAAAGACTCGGGCCTTAGTCTGATAACGACAAAAAAAGGGACAGTCTTGTTGAACCAAGTTGATGTTTGCTGTTGCATTGCTGGCGCGGTTTAATGCCACTACCCATGACGGCGTTGAGGTGTCCTTTTTTTTCGCTTGAGAAGAGGTATTAATATGGACAAATAACCTTACTGTATAGATATGTATTGAAAGCGATATGGCGTAATTATAATGTTACCACAAGCAAACCACCAGTCTTCTCACTTGTTCGTTTTCCAAACTGGTTTTTCGTCTTCTGGGTATTGGTTCTACAGTACAGACTAGGCCCACCCAAACTACCCGCAGCCTGATGCCCCTCACTCAATCAAAGTCTTTTCCGTGCCCCACCATGGCACTCTTGATCTGCTCCACGACTGGCTTACTGCGCACAACTACGGATATATTTTGGCTAGTTGCAGAAACTTCCATCAATCAACTCCAACCCGTTGGTTATCTACGGTCCGTCTCGTTGGTGTAGTTGGTTATCACGTGGGTCTCATATCTTCACATATGACTACTAGTATTAGTAGACATCCCAAGGCCGCCAGTTCGAGTCTGGCACGGGACAATTTATTTTTTGCCCTTGCATAATCTACGCTTGGATATGTAGAAAGAGAGTGTGTGTGTCAGAGTGTTGTTGCACTCCTTTTTTTTTGCATATTTATACATTACTCATTTGAAGCACTTAGAGCAAATATTCCTAGATGAAGAGAAATGTTGTATTCGTGTACTTCCTACCGCTCACAGCAGTGTAGTTTACCAAACTCTCTATGCTAGTACTTATGTTTTATGATTGTATATGTATCTATGTTCTCGCTCGCAAGACAACTCTAATTCATGTTTGCATAATCGTAGCAAAGACAAACACATGGCAATCATTCTACACAAACCCCGCATGGCTGGGCTACCTACCAGAACAGGCAAGTTTTGCAAGAAACTAAAAAAGGGCGTAGATTATGGCACTATCAGAGGGGCAGAGAGAGTAAAGGGAGCGAGCGCGAGGGGCAAGGAAAATAGCGCGGGGTTGGGGTGGTTTGGGGGGGCAATTTCCTTGTACGAGCCTACGGGGTTTGCGTGCAGGATTCGGGAGGTGGGGGCAGGCAGTGAGTGTGACGAGGCTAGGCTGCTTGGGGTTATTTTTGTTTGTGAGGAGTATGGAAGAGTGTTGCGTTGTTGGGAGGGAAGATGTATTCTGAGATGGGTTACTGCACATGTTTCTTGCGTCTACTTTGTCCAATAACTACAGACTATATGTGCAGGATTTTATTGGCTATAGATGTGTTGTTGTCACTTATTAGATGAGATACGCCCTCATATATCTGTTCCTAGGTCCCAGCATGCCCACCACTGATTCCTCCATCTCCCTGGGGGCACATGTATTCAATGGCTTTGCGACTTATACTGTTAGTCATAGTCGATGACTGCCCACTGGATCGACGATGTGGTGTGCTCTTGCCACCTCATGACCATCTTAGCCACTCGCACTGGCATACTCGCTCCAGCAACACGAGCTGTTGTAGCAGCATTACCAGATAACTATTTCTGTTGCACCAACCCTTCAAACAACTCATCTCTTTTCCTCCGAGCCTCATCAAGCCTAACCTCGAGCTTGCCTACTTCTTTCCTCGCAGCCTCTCTGTCCGCAGGCAATGCCGCAAATTCGCTTACTTCCATCTCCAACCCCTCTACCCTCTCTCGCAACTCATCCAGAGCCTTTTGCTGCTCCAACATATCGCCTATCGCCTCTGCAGATGCGATATTCGAACCCGGTGTCATGTTTCGCGATTGCGAGGATTGAAGGGACGAGAGCTTGTCTTCGTATTCGCGGATCTTGGTACGGAGGTGCTTCACCTGGCGGGTTTGTTCGGTCGTCTGGCGCTGGAGGTTCGCGGGGGTGGTGAATGCGGGATCGGTTTGGAGTTGATGAAGTTGGGTGCGGAGGAGGGAGTGCTGCTTGTCTACATAACCCTGCAGTGCTTGTATATGTGTGAGCTGATTGGTGAGGGTCTGTGAGGTGACGGTGTGTTGGATAAGAGCGTGTGCAATAGTTTCAGGGTTCGCGGTCGGTGTGTTGAGGATCACAGCGGTGGACGCGAGCGCATCAAGTGCTTGCTCGCCTTCTGGTGTGAGGTTTGCTCTTAGCTGCGAGAGTATGCGCTCGTCTTGTTCGTTCGTTTGTATCTACGGCTGTGAGCTCGTTGCATGGTGCGCGGCAGCTGAAGCGGACCTGTAGTTCTCATACCTCGTCCAGCTCCTTTAATGCTTCCCGTTCTACTCGCTCTAGCACAGCTCTCTCCTCGTCCGCCCTCTCATTCGCCATTGACAGCTCGCGCAGCACCTTGAGCGTCTCATCGTTACGCTCAAATGTGGGCACAGTGCGACCTGCATATTTTGTACGACAACCACGAGTCTATGTGCGCCCAGTCCTGAGCTTGTGCGCGCTGCTGACGCGCCTTGGAGGGCGAGAAGAGGTCGGATGGGGTTAGGTTGTCCATTGTTTGACGCGCGCCAGTGTTTGTGGTATTGAGTCTATTCAGGGCTAATAAACCCTTGTTGGAGACCTCAACAACGAGGTGGGTCCAGTGCCAACATCAACGGGTTCATATGCCCTAGTCAAGTCTGCATGTATGAGCGGTGACGTTTTGGGGCTGCCAGGAGACGCGGACTGCGGAGAAAGGTGACTGCTGTGCATTATCGATAACCTTAAATTTCATTCGAGATTGCAAGTGCCGACGTCGGAGTTAATCTGGCTTCTAGTATGAACCATTGACAGCGGAGTCATTACTCGATCATATTTGGTTTACCTGCCCCGTCACTAGTGTTTTATCTATTTCACAGTCGCTGTCACCACTTGTCCCTTCAACCAACTTATAAAATGTCCCCGATGATTATGGAAAACGACGTTGAGGTGGGAGAGAGTTTGCCTCCGGCGACGGAGCACGTGCGTTTTACTTTCACCGTTCAACACTGCAGTGTAGACTGATGCGCGATAGGCTGTTAGTGTTTCTTTACCTACATGGCGCGCGAATGTAGGGTACGAAGAAGGCGAGGAATGGGTCATCAGCAAGATGAAAACCGGTTACCCTAGGTACGTAGGTACGGGGATACACGGGAACAATATACTAACTGCGGCAAAGATTCTTCATTCACAAGATCATACAGGCTTTTGCCGCAGCTATTGTCGAGAAGCATGGGAAAGAAGGTGAGAACGCAATGCTCTTCCCCACACACGCAACTGCATCAAGATGTCAAGAGTTCTTCCTCCGCCAAGCGCCAGACCTAGATGCATCGCAAGTCCGGATCCTAGACTTCCTTCCAGCAGCGGAGAAAGCACGATCAGAAGAGTTGGATGTCATTTCCCCCAAAGTCTCAGCCGTACTTTTCCCACAGGACCGCTTCAGTATTGCAAAGACGTTCTGGCAACATTCCGGAGACGGCGTGTCAAGTCGGAGAGCAGAGTACTGTTACCAGCTCTTCAAAGAGGACATCTTGGTTGAAGCCTCGACACTGAACCAGTCCGCAAGAGTATGTAAGGGTCCAAAACGTTACCAGAAGAAGACCTCCATCGACCTAAGCGCCCCAGGCGACTTGAAGAATGGTAATGGAGAAGTCCAGGATCCTACGCAGTTCGTGGAAGAGAGATTTGGACGAAACTTGAGCCTCACAAAGGCGAAGAATGCTAAGCTGGCGATTCGAAGACGCATCGCCGGATCATTGACTGCAGATGTTGAACTAACCGAAGCCATGACCCTGGATCACGATGCCGCAAGACAAAGGCCAATCGCAGGTTTCTCAGAAGACGATGTTTACCTGTACCCCACTGGCATGAGCTCAATCTTCAATGCCCACCGAAACTTACTGCGAGCCAAAGGTTCCCACAGAGCCATCGTCTACGGGTTCCCCTACATCGACACGCTGAAAATCACCGAGAAGTTCGGTCCCGGTTCCCGGTTCTACGGTTTCGGCTCCTCAGAAGAACTAGATGATCTGGAGCAGCGACTCCAAGGTGGCGAGCGCTTCGTCGCCCTCTTCACAGAGTTCCCTGGAAACCCACTACTACGCTCCCCGGATCTAGAGCGCATCCGCAAACTAGCCGACCAATACGATTTCTGCGTCGTAGTAGACGAGACGATTGGAAACTTCATCAACGTCAATGTCTTACAATACGCAGACGTCGTAGTCAGCAGTCTAACCAAAGTCTTCAGCGGCGACAGCAACGTCATGGGCGGCGGGTAAGTAATACTCATTCCCTCCAAGCCCTCTCTCTATCTCTCATCTCATACTAACAACTCCCCCTCCTACACAGCCTCGTCCTCAACCCAAAAGCAAAATCCTACCCCCTCCTCAAACGCACCTGGGCCACCGACTACGAAGACAACCACTGGGCCGAAGACTCAATCTTCCTCGAGCGAAACTCCCGCGACTTCGTCTCCCGCATCGACCGCATCGGCACAAACGCAGAGGCAATCTGCGACGTCCTCAGCGCCCACCCCCGCGTCAAGCAAGTAAACTACCCCAAAACATCACCCACCCGCCCCTTTTACGAAAAATGCAGAAACCCCAATGGCGGGTATGGGGGTCTGCTGTCGGCAACGTTTTACACCAAACAGGATGCGATTGCGTTTTTCGATAATCTGGATACGGTTAAGGGACCGAGTTTGGGTACGAATTTTACGTTGAGCTCGCCGTATGTGATTTTGGCGCATTATGGAGAGTTGGATTGGGTGAGTCTTTCTTTTCTTTTTGTGCTGTTGGAATGGATGGATGGGATGCTAACGTGGTGATTAGTGTAGGAAGTGGGGTGTAGAAGAGGATCTCATTCGTTTTAGTGTTGGGTTGGAGGAGACTAGTAAACTGGTCGATACGTTCAAGAAGGCGTTGGATTGTATACCTAGTGCTGGGGGACAGCAGTCGTAGGGTGGCTGGATCCATAGAAACAAGCAGCTCTAAGTAAAACAAGCGACTTCAGTTCAACCCATGGTTCACAGAAATTGACGACGATCACAATGGAAGCAGCAACATCGTCATCAGGAGCAGCGACTGCGAGAAAAGAACCCATATCCCATTATTAAATAGATCCGCTCAACGCCTCCGTTTCCTTCCTTCCATCTCTCTACATATGTGAATAGTTAGGTTGCTCCAATCATGATTCCTCCAAGAATCCGTCTCATAAAATGCCCTTGAAAAAGATAAAAAATGCAGCTTCCGTCATCGTTATAACATTCAATGTCGTGAAGAGAGAAAAGCAAAAGCAAAAAAGGCCAAAACGCAAGTCATCTCGAGTTCCAAAGTTTCCAAAGGAAAATCCCCAGTGGGGAAGGATGTACGGGGGGAATTAACAAGAAAGCAAAAACACAAAGTTCAAAAAACATGGCAAGTACAAGCCGTACTAATACATCTCCTCTTCTCTCTCCTTGCCATTAGGTCGCTTCAGGCTCGGAATGGCACTTGCGCGCCCACTCCCGGTGCGACTACCGCTCCCAGACCCGCTCCCATGACTACCAGCTATCTCGTCTTCGGTCCTGAGATCACGCTCCTTCTCGAGCGCCGATCTCAATTCAGCGTTCTCTTCCACCTTTTGCTCTAGTCTCTTGCGCGCGCCACTGCGATCAAGAAGGCGGGCTTCCCGCTCTGCCTTCAACCGCCGTTCGAGCTCCTTGAGACGGTGTATCCACTTTTGTTCGCTGGTCTGAAGAGGGCCGGCGGCGGGGTAGGGATGGCCTGGTGTTGAAGTGGAGAGGTGCTCGACTACAGAAGCCGAGTGCGCACGCAGTAGTGTTTGCGCCATGCTGGCGCGTTTTGACGAGTTGGGCGAGCCAGCACGGGACGACGACCGGCTGACAATGACATCGTTTCCAGCCTGCGTCGTTGTGGTAATTGCGCGAAGAGTCTGGACTTCGGACCGCAGCGTCTTGTTCTCTGACCGGAGCTTGGTGAGCTCCGCGTTGTTCATCTCGACAAACCCACCGCGGACGGTGCTGGGTCTTCCAATCGACTGTCTTTGGGCTAGAACAAGCTTCTCTAGCTGGTCAAGTCGCTTAACGCGAACATCAAGGCTGTGCTCCAGAGTCTGGTAGTCGCGTACCAGATCCTTCTCGATCTGCCGGATCCTCTGCTTGAAGCTACCAATGATACCCTCCACGGTCCTGACAGCAAAAATGATGTTCTTGTTGAACCCATTCACGTTCTTGGAAATAAGCTCCATAGAAGTGAGTTCTCCGTTGATAAGGGCGTTGTTGCGGGACCATTCGGTTCCGCAAAGGGTAGACAATCGGTTCCAGAGAGCATACAACAGGTTGTTACGCTCAAGGAGCTGCTCCTTGTAATTTTTCTCCAGATGGTGAATCCTTTGACGATCTTGACTGCGCAACGTCTCAAGTTCCAGAACCCTTGATTCGGCCTGCTGGATTGCTCTGACAGTCGATTGATGGCCACGCTTGGCGTTCTCCCAAGCTGATAAATCTTGTCGGCGGGCTTGACGTTCCCGTTCAAGCATCTCAGATAGACGACGACTTTCCATTCCTGTGTTCTCCAAGAGTGTGTCACGGTTGCGCAAAAGCCTATCTTTCTCAGTAAGATCAGCTCTAACAGTGTCGAGATCTTGCATTGCCCCTTGGAGGTCTCGCTGAAGTTTCGCAATGTCCTGGAGGAGAATTGTTAGCATATGTCTAAACCATCAGGAGCATCGCTACATACCTTGAACAGACTCGCCCTGGTACCGTTGGGGTTACCCAGGGTTTCACGAAGAGCAAGTTCAAACTCATCGTGTCGTTGCTTCCAGGTGGATGCCTCAACCTCCTTGCTCGAGAGGTTCTTCCGTAGCTTTCTGCTTTCCTCTTTGAGCTTAGACAGTTGAGCGTTAAGCTCCGTGATGATCTTCTCCACCTCTTGCTTCTCTTGGGTTTCCAGCGCATCGCGTTGTTGCCTCTCTTCTGTCATGCGCTCCTCAAGATCGCGAGCACGTTCTCTGGCTTCTTGCAACGTGGCTTGAGTGTGGTTCAGGGCACTCTCGAGCTCACCAATCTTGATCTTATCGCCTTCCTGTTCTTCACGGAGGAAGTCAATCTCACCCTGGCAAGACTCAAGCTGGACGTCCAGTCGCTCATTCTTGGATCTCTCTTCACTGAGGAGCTTGTCTTGTCTATTCAACTCTTCGTTGGCGTCAGAAAGCTCAGCCTCAAGGTTCTGAATCTTGCGTAGGCTTGCATCGCGATCGTCCTCAAGTTGTAGTAGGCTTTCGCTGACATTCTTCATCTCCTGTTGCAGAGCGTGGAAGTCTTCAGTGGTGTTCTCAAGGTCGTTGTAGAGACGATCACGTTCCGTCTGTTTTTGGTCGAGATCGACCTCCAGCCTTTGCACTGTGTCCAGCGCTTCCTGTCTGAGCTCCTCGCATTCCTGTTCTTTGTCTTGTAGCAGCTCTAATGCCTCGTCGCGCTCATTTGCGAGCGCCTGGAGATCTTCGGTCTGGGCTTCAATCTCCCTTTCCAGCTCCTTGACCTTGTTCTCCGTAGTCTCAAGCATATCGAGATGGCCATTCAATTGGTCGTCAAGCTCCTTGTATGAGAGCTTCAGCTGTGACAACTCATCTCTTAGAGCAGCATTCTTAGTTTCGTAGTCGTCAGGATCGCTCGCTTGTGTCAAACGTGTACCACCGCTTGCTCTTGAGACGGACCTCATATGGTTGCGGGAGATTGAGCGTTCCAAGATGCTGTCACCGGCGGTCGATGAATTGTCACCTCTACGGATGGCAAGCTTTAGGCCCTCGTTCTCCTCCCTCAGTCGTAGGTTTTCTCGGTTTCTGGACGTGAGCATGGAGGCCTGCGCGTGGAGGTCTCGCTGCAACTTGTCATTGTCGCTCTGCAGGTGTTCCACAAGAGTGCCGCTTGTGCCGCCCATCGACGCTGTCCCAGCTAGGTCATTACCATCAGAATCGGCGTTGGAATGCGAAGTGAACGACTGCTGCATGCGCCGTGTACTGTTGAGCACTTTGTTCGTTGTGGAATTTTGTTGTTGCATTTGTTGGTTTTGGTCCCTCAAACGCTGGACCTCTTCACGGAGTTTCTCCGCCTCTGACTCTGCTTGTTGGCAGCGGGTTTCAACTTGCTCACGACGGGCCCGCTCATCCTCGAAATCCTCTTTCCACATAGTCACAGCCTCATCGTAACCAGATTCTCCTCCACCAGGACTCTTCTCCCGCATTGTCTTGATGTAGTCGGCCATCCGTCGATTGTCAGCCTCCTTCTGTAGAGCCTCCTGTTGCCATTGGTCTACAGTAATCTCTGTAGTCTCCAAGCGCTCACGAAGAAACTCAATTTCTTCCTCTAGCTCAGCTTGTCTTGAGGACTGTTCGTCGCCCTCGTCCTCTGAACCACTGCCAGGTTCCTTGGGCGGCTTGGCCTGTCCCTCTTCCTGGGCCTTGAGCCTTCGCTCTAGATCTCTAATCTTCTTCCGCATCGACTGGCTCTCCTTCTTCTCTGTCGCCAGATCGGTCTGCAATTGAACGTTTTTCGATATCATCTCCTTGACGCCTTCATCCGATCGATTCTGAAGCGCTTGGTCAAGGAAATGAATCTTGAGCTTGAGGTCGAAATTCTCCTTGCTGAGTTTATCGATTTTGCTGTTCTGTTCCTTTAGTGTCAGGTTATGTTTGCTCCGAGTGAAGGGGTTTGCATTGTGCCGTTTGTCTGGCGATCGCGAGTGCTTAGCTCGGAAATCCCGTGCAATGGAATCTGGCACTTGTATGTCTTGAACATGTCTGGTAATGACTGTGTCGGTAGGAGCAGCAGGCTGAACACTGGGAGCGCGTGGTGTCTCGGGTGGCGTTGCACTGTTTGGAACTTCTTCGTCTAAACGGCCTAGACTATTGTCTTGGTGGAGAAGGGCGTTTAAAGAGTTTGCACTAATGCTCCTGCCTTTATCCCACGGGTTAGAATCACTGTAGCCTGACATGGAGGATGCGATGCTACCCAAACTCGGTAGTCTTGAAAGCCCAAGACTCATACGCGCTGGACCGCTCGAGCGCGGGATGGCGCCACCAGTCTGCAACGAGTAGTCGGCACCCAGGCTCTCTGTACTCGCGTTGTCTCCAGATGCGTCGGAGCGATTTGTGAAGGAAGAGACAGACGAGCGTTGGCTGGAACCGCGGTGCTGTAGGAAGCTCGGCCGTTTGTTCTTCTGGTTGTTCGCAGGGGCTGATGGCGGGGGCATGGCTATACTATCTGCGCTTGTGACGTTTTCGTTTGTGAGCGAGGACCCTTCTTCGACTAGTGAGAAATCAGGGGCTTTCACGGTCGAAGCGCTGGAAGTCGGTCGTCGCACATCCCCATCGTCCTGCTGGGCGCCCTGAGCAGCCTGACCTTCTTCATGCGCATCTTCCTCATCTGATTCGTCCTCCTCATCCTCATCTTCCTCTTCTTCGTCAGTATTCTGGTCCCCTGTAGTGCGCGATCGGCTTCGTTGGGCGGCTTCTGCGGAAGGCGATGAGGGCGCGGCATCTGATGTTGAAGTGCCCGCGTCCAGCGAGTCGTCGGGTTCATAGTCCATTCGGTGGGCGGCGGGCGTCTTGTAGGCGGCGGCTGGTGTAGGGGCTTCAGAGAAGGAAGGCGAGTTGCTATGCGCGTTGCTGGATTGAGATTTGGACGGTGTGTGACCATGGCGCACCTCTAGCTTCTTAGGCTTCTTTTTAGGCTTTGTCATCTCCTCCAAAGTATCCATGACCCTCTGCAGGGCCGAGTCATTGTTGCCATTCTGACTTGACCGCTGCGAATTGCCCGGCGAGCCGCCAAAGAGATAGGTATCGTCCACGCCGGGCGGCCCTTGTACTGCTTCTGGCTGTGGGGCCGGTTCAGGGATGAAGCTCGATTCAATGTCCATTAATTGGCGGTGCATCTCGCCGTCGTCAAATACGCTTTCCACATTGTGTGCTTCTTCGTCGGCAGCATGAGGTGCGAGAGTGTCTTCCTCAGTTGGTAAAAGCGGGAGGTCCGATTCGGGACGGTCAGAGACATGCATATGCCCAGCATCCGATCTATTGTGCGCCATGTGCTCCTCTTGTGTGGGCGCAAGCGTGGGGGTCGAGGGTGTGGAGTCTAGTTCGTCGGTCTGAGAGTGCTCAGCATCTGAGGCAGGAGCCGTGTTTGCTGTTGCCATTTGGGTACGTGCGCGCGCAGCAAGCAGGGCAGTCGCGTAAAATTAGGGCAAGTGCGAGGCCTGCTCATTAGCATATTGCAACTGCGGCCAAGTGAAAAGCTCAAAAAGAGTGTGACGATTTCCTACCCTCGTCGGTGACAACAGAGCGCGCGTTGTTTAGGCCCATGCGCTAGTATCGATTCGTCACCCATGGATGCTGGCTACCACGTCGTCGGATAGTCTCCAGACCCAACCGGGTCTTCTACCGACATACGGGTTACGTACCCCATCAATTGCTTACTAGCTGATGGCCTTAGTCCAGCGTTACATCGTGGCCTAAATCAAACTTTGTTGTCTTCTCGTCAACAGCACGACAGCATAGGCGGCATATACATGTTTCACGAGCAGTGGATCCAGCATTGAACTACTGTAGAACAGATAGTATAAACAGTGCTTCAGAATGTTTTAATCAGGGTCTTCCTGGCCATACTTCATTAAAGTCCTATCGACTTGGCCTGCGCCCCATGTATTCGTAAGAGCATTGGCGACTCTCTCCTGGAAAATTGGCAGCCTCACGCTGATCATCCAGCAGTGTATCGAAGCTCGCCCTGTATGTATCCGCTTGTAGTGTAATGTACAACAAACGGGTGAAAAAGCAACGCATCTTGCCGTTGCCTTGATCGACCCAATCCTTGCTTGGAAGAACGACTTCCAGAGCCACCGTTGATATTATGTTGTGCAAAGTGTCGCCTTGTCTTCCTCGTGAATGTTCAGAGGCCGCCTACTGTGCACGTTTCTTCTCTTTCCGCGCCTTCTTCTCTGCCTTCCTCTTTTCCTCCTCTGGAGTTCGGTGCTTTTTAGTCTTCTTCGCTGGAACTTCAGTCGCATCACCGTTCACATCAGCGTGCTTCCTCTTCTGTTTCTTGGAAGGTAGGTTGAGTCCGTTTGGCATCCCGAGTCCCGCTGGCTCTCGCAGTTTTTCACTCTCGCTTTCCGAATCGCCGAGATTGCCTCCATCGTCACCGCTGAACCCAGTTGGCAGGAAGCGCATCTTCAATCCTTTGACCTGCGGCTTTGGTGCACGAATCGTAGACCGTGTGATAGATGCCGCTGCTTCTGAGCCCGTATTCTGATCTGCTTGTAGGGAGCTGAGCTGAGGTAGTTGTACAATCGATCGTAAATGTAGAATCTGTGATATCCGTGTGGAGACTAGCAGAGTCAGCGAAGTCATTACAAGCAACGTCGATGAACGAACCGGGCTTTAGGCCATTTTTGTGATGCACAAATACCTCACGTTCAACTTCTTCGCTCTTTTGCATTTGGGGGCAGTTATAATCGATGCCCTTGTAGCTCAGTACAGCCTCTCCGTCCATGACTTTCTCCATCTCGAGCTCCTCTAGATCTTTCAATGAGACACCACCAGGAGCTGTCATATACCATACTTGTTTGCCCTCCAGGTTATCGAACAACCCTGCTGACTTCGATGCGGTCGTGGAGTTCACTGGCACGGCAGTGAATCCTTTTGGGGGCACGTATGTCTGTGTTGACTGAAATTCTACAGCATGGGTTTGTGTTGTTGTTGTTGTTGTTGTTGTTGTTGTCTGTCGGGATTGAGCCTGAGATGACGCAGGTTTTGGTGTCTGTTGCGGTTCATCGTCGGAGTCAGACTCGTCACTAGAGCTGTCTGAACCAGAGCTGTCCGAGCTGTCGCTCGAAGCATCCTTGCCCTTCTCTTTTACTGGAACCTTCGCTTGTATATCCTTCATCGGTACATCTCCACTATCGTCGGATTCATCTGAGCTCGACGAGTCTGAGACATCCTTTTGTGTTACGGTCTGCTTCGGCGCCGGTTTTACAGGTGCGACCTTGGCTTTCGGCGTTGGTTTAAGAGCAGGCGCGTCTTTTTTGCTGGGCTTCGTCTTCTTCTTGGCAACACCGTTTACGTGGATCCCGATGGTGGTTTTGGGCTTCTCGGCCTTCTTCGGCTGCGCGGTGCTCTCGCTGGGAGAATCATCATCGCTGTTGACAAACTCTTGACTCAATTGCGGTTTCGATGAGCTAGCTTGAGGTTTTGACTTCGGTTTAGAGCCTGGTAGAGGCACTGGGGTTTTCTTCATGGTGCTCATCGTGTGTGCGTTGCCATGCTCTTTGCGACAAGAAAGTTGAAGTTATTGGAACTTTTTTACGCCGCGGTTTGTCGCGCCCGAGCGGAGGACGACCCGCCTGACGCTAGTCCGACTCTGAAATTAGCGTGCTAAAAACCATTGGTGTGAATACTTCCATTTCATACCATGTTCAGAACTCCAGCACCAATATTCAAGGTTGAAAAGATGTCAGGAAAAAGAAAGAGAGGGGAAGATCCTAGTTCGGGCAGTGCTACCAGCGGGAAGCCGCTGACCGCTATTGCAGCAGCTCGACTAAGGTCATCAGAAGCCGCCGCAAAAGTTGTAAAACCAGCTGAGATCCCGCTGGAGCAGGTTGCTGTGCCAGCAAGTCCATTATTACAAAGCAAAGATTCAGATGTTGAGGAGGTGGAATCAGAGGAAGAAGTTGCGCTCGTCCAGCATAATGTCAAGCTATGCAATTGGCGTAGCGAACCTCAAAATATACTTTCCGAAACCGACACCGAGCTGAAAATCAGTCTCAGTAAACATACGACTATCGCACTGATAGGATGTTTTGATTTTACGGTGTTACGAGGCGCCGTTAACATCAACGGTGCCAACATAGGTACGGTTAGTCGAGACGGCCAGAAAAACAGAGTGCACCGAGCATATGTGCCTGCAACACATCCTATCTTAAAGATCCGTGGACTAGATGGCACAAACCACATTCAAATCAAGACTTGCAAAGAACCGGCACCGCTAGCATCTATCAGTCCACTTTTCAAAGGGCTTTGGAATGAGGACAGACGTTATGGGAAGAAGCGTTCGTTCCGTATCGTAAGTTTACCCTTTTGAATTGAAGACCTATAGCAAATCCATCGGTTTCCTGTCTTGAACTTGAAATAATGTTTTATCTAGGTGACCCACTCAGATGTCGACATACTCTCTCGACCGTTGCGTCCTGAAGTGACACCGGAAGACTGGCTCCGCGCGATAGAAGACTGCACCAGCACTCCCTCCATCACCATTGTAACTGGATCATCAAGCTCAGGGAAATCTACCTATGCTCGTCGGCTCGTCAATCGCTCCCTCACAGGCCTAGGCAAGACAGCTCCATCCGTTCCAGCTGTGTGTTACATGGATCTCGATCCCAAGAAACAGGAACATGCACCCGGAGGCCAAATCTCGCTCGTCGTAGTAAGAGACCTAAACCTAGGCCCAAGTTTCACGCATCCATCAGCCATACCAGCATCAAAAGAAGCGACGACTGAGATCATCCGAGCACACCTCATTCCTACAAACTTTGCAAACTACGCAGAATACTATCAGTCATGCGTCGAGGACCTTTTCCTTGCATACAAGACTCTTCGCTCCCGCGATACCTCGCTACCACTCGTCATCGACACACCCGCTTTCCTCTACACTTCGGAATTCGAAATACTGAGCAAACTCCTGACGAGACTCAAGCCACACAACATGGTCCTTCTCCACGACACACGAGCCACTGATACTGAGACGTCTGCCAGGCTTCAACTGCTCCAAACAACTGGGTCGCAATATCACGGTACTGTGTATGGGATCACCGCTCAAAAACCACTGTCTGTCCCGATAAGAACGGAGAACGAGCTATGTGCCATGCAAATGCAATCCTATTTCCACCTTAAGTCGAGCAGCATGAGCACAGGTCAACCGCAAACACTAAGCTGGACACCAGAACCCCTTTCACATCTCGTACCATGGGAGTTTTGCTACGAAGAAACTGCTGAGCGATCCCAAGACCTTGCTGCTTTTGCATTGTACTCTGAGCCCGTTGAGTCAAGCTCTCTAGTGCACGCGCTGAACGGCTCCGTCATCCAAATCATACAGTCTACTTCTTCTGTTGTTTCCAACTCCCTGCCCAGGACACAGAAATATAGGATCCCTTACCTTGCAGAGTCTGAGCGCACGGGTATGGTGGAGCCGTTGGATCCACGGTTGACCAGGTTGGTTTGCACTGCGTTGATTCGTGGCTTCAATCCGGATAAGAGGGTAGTCGAAGTGCTGGTACCGAAGACACACGAGTCGCTATTGTACAACCTGTCGCCCGATAGGACAGTGTTTGTCGGCGGGTGTAGCGACGTACCTGAATGGGCGTTCTTAGAGGACGCATACGCGAAAAAAGCAACAACGTTACCACTTTGGGTAGAGAAAGAAGATGTGATAGACAAGATGGGCTATATGAGCACTGTACGAAGAGTAAGGAGATTTCAGACCTAGTTTAATGCTACAACCCCTAGCTGAGAAGCTGTGTTCTCAGTGTGGCTCACGAACATGATGAACGCTAAAATATGCACGTGAGGGATGGTTTGGGTTTCTTGAATTTCTTATTGCGTGTTGTTGAGTCACACTATCGGCGAAATATGTACAAGTTGATTCCATACCATGCAATGACTGTGTCTACAAGATCATCTTCGGGGGAGCTACGTGTTGTCAGCGAATATCACAGACATGATGATTGGTGAACTCACGGTCGAGGATGGGGCAAGGCAGGTTGCGCTCGTACTTTGAGCCTACAAAACGCGTCAGTACGTAAGAAGGTTGATTCCGCGGCCGGACCGGAAAAGTATCCGGATTCAAGGGACGAACCTCCAGGTGCCGTGGGTGGACGGTAAGGATCGGGATGCTTCCACTTCTCAAGGAGGTCTTCGGTCTCCTTGATCAGTTCCTGCGTACAGCATCAGTAAAAGTCGCCCATGAAGCCATGCTCTGTGTATAATGCTTTGTAATCACAGGCGTGTGATAGGAAGACACACTCTCATCTGTCGAGGCTCCTTGACGTTTCGCTTGGCCTCGAACAGCTCACGGATGTAGAGAGCCTGTCCGCGCCAGAGGTACCGGTGGACGCTCCAGTCGAGGGCGAGCTTGAGGGACCTCCGGTAGAGGTGTCTAGGCCTGTATTAGCTTCTGCGCGCAGGGCGATGCACAGGAGGGCGGGCGCACAGGACGTGTATTTTGGAGCTCATGACGGCAATGGCCCTTCCAGGCGTGTGTGTGGTAGAAGGAGTGGGCGTGTTTGGTGGCCGCAATGCCTCGTAGTCGTCGCAGATGTGATGCTGAGGCGGCTTGAGGTTGCGGGCTTGGCGGTCGTCCCTGTGACGGAGGTTGGTTCCCGGTTGGGTGGACGTCAGAACTCGTGCCGGTGCTGCCCTGTGCCTGCCAGAACCATCAATTGCCTCAGAAGAGTCGGGTACTCTTATATACCAAGCGTCGCTCGCACCCAGACGTCCGTCTCCCTTTCAACTTTCTTTTCAATCAGCCCTCTCGCTTAGCTGTCCATCATGTCCGGTCAGCAGTGCCTCCGCCGCCTACCAGCTGCTATGCGCTCTGTGCGAGCTTTGCGCGCCGCACCAAGGACCATTCCAGCTGCGCGCACCTACTCTGCCGTCGCCAAGGCAAACTCGTCCGGTCTTCTGGGTCAGTCTTCAAGGTAATATGGATGTCTACGCCCGTTGTTAGGCCCATGGCTAACTTCTCCCCCTCAGACGACCTGGACAGCTCTCTTCGCAGCGTCTATGGACCCTCGAACAGACACGAAACTATGCCGATACCGTCGTCAAGGTGCCAGAAATGGCCGAGTCTATCACTGAGGGAACCCTGAAGCAATGGTCAAAACGTGCGTCCTTTCTTTGGACCAAGCTACCCCACAGTTACCTAACATGATGCAGAGGTCGGCGACTACGTTGAGCAGGACGAAGAAATCGCTACCATTGAAACCGACAAGATCGACGTTGCCGTAAATGCGCCCGAGGCTGGTACCATCAAGGAATTCCTGGTCAATGAGGAGGACACCGTTACGGTTGGACAAGAAATCGTAAGGCTAGAGGCCGGTGGGGAGGCACCAGCGAAGACAGAGGCCAAGGATGAGCCAAAGGAGCCGGCTTCCTCGGAGCAGGAGACTTCATCGCAACCTGAAGGTCAACAAGAGAAGTCTGAGGCGCCAAAGGAGGAGTCAAAACCTGAGCCTCCCAAGCAAGAAGAGAAGCCCCAGCCCACTAAGGAATCCAAGCCTCAGCCGAAGAAGGAGTCCAAGCCTCAGGATGAGCCCAAGCCGGCCACGCCTGGTAGCCGCGAGGAGCGTCGCGTACGTACAATCTGTTGAATTTGCGCGACACATGCTAATAATCTGCGCAGGTCAAGATGAACCGCATGCGTCTCCGCATCGCCGAGCGCTTGAAGCAGTCGCAAAACACCGCCGCCTCGCTGACAACTTTCAACGAAGTCGACATGACCTCTATCATGGAGTTCCGCAAGTTGTACAAAGACGAGATCCTCAAGAACAAGGGCGTCAAGCTCGGTTTCATGTCCGCCTTCTCGCGCGCCTGCATCCTCGCCGCACGCGATGTACCCGCTGTCAACGCCTCCATAGAAGGACCAGACGGTGGCGACACCATCGTCTACCGCGACTACGTCGACATCTCTGTTGCCGTTGCTACCGAGAAGGGCTTGGTTACACCTGTTGTCAGGAATGCGGAAAGCTTGGACATGGTCGGCATCGAGAAGGCCATTGCCGACTTGGGCAAGAAGGCTCGCGACAACAAGCTCACTATCGAAGATATGGCTGGTGGTACCTTCACCATCTCCAACGGCGGTGTCTTTGGCAGTTTGATGGGCACTCCCATCATCAACCTTCCCCAGACCGCTGTCTTGGGTCTACACGCCATCAAGGAGAAGCCAGTTGCGATCAACGGAAAGGTAGAGATCCGACCCATGATGTATCTTGCGCTCACATACGACCACCGACTGCTCGACGGCAGGGAAGCCGTTACCTTCTTGGTAAAGGTCAAGGAGTACATTGAGGACCCAAGGAAGATGCTTTTGTAGGCGTTTAGTAGGGCTTTTCTTGCTTCTTGTCCATGTTCAAGTAGGGCTTGGTTGAGGAGGTGTGCTGGGGGCTAGGTAGTAAAATAGATGTGGGTGGTCCACTTGAATGAGATAACTGTACATGCATATTTTGGTCGTGTTATAACCTTCATGGGTTTATTATGTTACTTGGACGAGCTTTTTGGTCGTGCAGTTGCGTGGGTTGTGTATCGCGCCGCGTTCCTATAAAGATTGGCGACGTAGCATTTCAGCTGTTATTTCGCATAAATGCATACACTTCTGGAAAATAGAGACAATATCGCTTCTACACCATCTCAATTCCATCAGCGTGCAAAGTTATGCCCGCAAAGTTATCGTATTTCCTGCGTAGTCGTGAACCACCCAACGCGTCCTCATCCCGCCCCTGCACGCAAACCAAGATTAATCAAGAAACGCGCCACCACCATCGAATTTCGACCCAAAAAATAATTTACCGTAAATTTCAACATTCAAAATATGGATTTTGTGATTTTTGTGTAGTTTGAAGAGTGTGGTGTTGTGTAATGATTTTTTGAAAGAGTAGTTGCTCGTGGATAAACTGTAAAAAACCTTCAAGACTTTCGAAGAACTTAAGCAGAACGGAGAAGTGCAACAACGAAGGAAAGCCGTTAAAAGGTATACTAAGAAGCAGAACAAGTATAATGGACGATTAAAGAATATTTTTTAAGTAAGAAAAACTATGTTGTGTTACTATTCTATCAAGATCTATGTATGTGCACTTCTCTAGTAGATATATATCACAGACACCACAACAGCAGCTACTTGCAACACCAGTTATTACAAATAGACATGCCCACGGAGACTCCTAGAGCATGTATCTAGTTCTAAACTGTATATCTACAATGTTTCACAAGAAGCGCATGTCTTTTCGCATCACACACAGTAGAACCGTGCGAGTAGATTCTCCTACACAGACGTAGATGCGCACGTCATAGCTCATTTACACGTAAAGTTACAACTTTAATCTTAAGTAGTCTACGCAATTTAGATTGCACAAATATGTATTCTGTTCAAGATCAAAATTTACGCATCTAATTCTGCTTCTACGATCGATCTATAGTGCTCGGTTTCGCATCATGCTGGAAAATGTAGAGAATCCATCAAATCCTCCAAATCCTCCATATTTCTCATCCGCTATCTTCGTCTGCGCCCACCGATGGCGCCTAACTCTATCTTTGTTTCTGGTGTTGCGCGAATTCCGAGTAGCGGCTCGACGGCGTTGGGCGCGTTGAATGTTGAGACGCATAACCGTTGTCATGTGACTACGAGTCGTGGTCGACATGCCGCTAGGACCGGTAGATGAATGCGGGGAGGCGCGCCTTGGAACGTGGGTCGAAAACGGCAAAGTGGAAGAAAAGACGGTGAAGCAAGACTGATAAAAGAAAATCACAAAGACAAGAGACAATGATGAAGTTGATATGCTCGATTCAGCTCATGAGCCCGCGGTCATCGAATGCGACCAGCTAATATACAGCTCTGGTATAAATCCCGTAAAAAGCCGAGAACCCAAAACCCAGACCGACTCCCATTATCATTGCAGATGAAAAAGACCCATCAAGTAACCACGCCGTGTGAAAAAGAAACTCAAAAGCAAAGCGCGCTTAGAGCTCCTGCGAAGGACCCTTGCCAGGCTTGGCCGTCTTCTTGGGCAGAAGGTCTGGAATGCTGTTAGTAATTGATGCGATTCGAACAGGCTGTGAAGTGACGTACTCTGGTGAATGTTGGGGAGAACACCACCCTGGGCGATGGTGACGTGTCCAAGAAGCTTGTTCAACTCCTCGTCGTTCCTGATAGCGAGCTGGAGATGGCGGGGAATGATACGGGTCTTCTTGTTGTCGCGGGCAGCGTTACCGGCCAACTCGAGAATCTCAGCAGCCAAGTACTCGAGGACAGCGGCCAGGTAGACGGGAGCACCGGCACCGACACGCTGAGCGTAGTTGCCCTTGCGGAGCAGACGGTGGACACGACCGACGGGGAAAGCGAGACCAGCCTTGGAAGAACGACTGAGAAATGTTAGTCAAGATGCGATGGAAGTAGAAGAGTTGCGCAAACACGCGTCATTTGCGCGAAAGACGCGTCAAAAAGATGCGAATTGAAGTTGCAGAATGCGCAAGGCAAACTGAAGCAAAAGGCGCGATGCAGGAGATGGGAAACTCACGATTGGGCGCTGGACTTGGAGCCGCTGGCCTTGCCTCCGGATTTGCCGCCAGTCATTTTGAAGATTTTTGGATGGGGTTGGTTTTAAAAGTGAGGGAGTTGGTTGAGTTGGGTGAGTTGGGGCGTGTGATTGAGCTGGTGGTGGGCGTGGAGTGTCGAGACGATGGATTGCTTGCTGGTGTTGGGGGGCGGGGCCGTCTTATAAGGACGGCGGAGCGTGTTGTGAGTGCGCGAGATCAACCATTTGGCGCTAGCGCGCAGCGAGGGCAGCGACGACTTTAGCGCCTGCCGCACGTCTGCGCCATCACTCGCGAACCTCGCTTGGCCGCCCAACTGGCAAGACGGCGCGCACGGGCCTCCAGCCGCTGCTGGATCACAACATCAGAGCGCGCTCCCCATAAGTAGCGCGTCCCCCGCCGTCGACGACCATTCCCTTCATCCATCGCAAACTCCCACCCCGACACTCAACCACTTCCATCTCGTTCGAATCTCGTGCTTTTCAACCAACACTCAACTTTTCGCAGCAACCACTCCAAACACTCAAAATGCCTCCCAAAGCCCAGAAGACTCCCACCACCGGCGGCAAGGCCCCGGCTGGTAAGGCTCCCGCCGAGAAGAAGGAGGCTGGCAAGAAGACCGCCGCGCCCTCTGGCGACAAGAAGAAGCGCACCAAGACCAGGAAGGAGACCTACTCTTCCTACATCTACAAGGGTAAGTTTGCTTCCCAATTGCGCGTCATCAGCGCGACTTTGGTGCCTCAGCGCATCATCGCACTGCATCCGCCTCATCCGCTTCCATTGAGCAAAATTTACTGACGCGTCCTCTAGTCCTCAAGCAGGTCCACCCCGACACCGGAATTTCCAACCGTGCCATGAGCATCCTCAACTCCTTTGTTAACGACATCTTCGAGCGCGTTGCCACCGAGGCTAGCAAGCTCGCTGCCTACAACAAGAAGTCGACCATCTCATCGCGCGAGATCCAGACATCGTACGTTTTCAATATCGTCTCATATATTCCAAAGCGTACCCACTAACATGCATTGCAGAGTCCGTCTGATCCTGCCCGGTGAACTTGCCAAGCACGCCGTTTCCGAGGGTACCAAGGCCGTTACCAAGTACTCTTCATCCACCAAATAGAGTGCCTTTTTTATTCGCTGGATGTTTTCTTTGGGTCTTTCTTGTCTGTTCGACAAGTGGTTACGGGGTGCGGTGTTCACGGGTCATTTGCTAATGTGATCATGGGTCGGTTTGTCTGTCATCGAATCATCTAGTCATATTTGACTACGAGGTCCATCTGGGTCTGTACATTATACCACAGCAGACGGGAACGAATCAATTCTTTCGAACTTCACACTTCAATCCAACTTGGCCTTTGACACGACATGTATCTTTCCTTCACTCCTTGACGTCTGACCTGCAGATCCTGAATATCAAACCTCGACATTACGTCGCGCAAGCTGAGCGCGGGCCACGCGACGTGCCGGCAGGTCGCGTTCCAGACAGTGCACTTGACGCGCCCGCTATTTGGACGCGCCTTGACAACGTCGTCCCTCGCAACAGCAATAGCGCATTTCGCGAAATCCGTTCTGGTCAAACTGATGCGCGTTTTACAGTAAACTTCAGCTTTTGCGATATCAGATATGTCATGGAAATGCAGCACAAGACACTTGGCGTACATGCGCCATGTGGAAAACTAGTCAAGCAGATATTGATGGTTAGACACAACTTATGCGGATATACTGGTCCCAGACTCCACTCCTGTACGCCCAACATGCATGTACCCCCTGATACGATTGCAAGCCCAAAATAAAAACGCCGACCCGTCTAATCATTTGCCTATTGCAAACCATCCTCGTCCCAGCTCTCCACTTCGTCGATGGCTCCCTCGCGCTCCTGCCCTCTGGGCGCTGGCTCCTTGTCCTGCACATGCACCACGCTCTTGCCCTGGACGCTGCGGACTCCTTGTTTCCAGTCCTCATAGTCGTCCTCTGATGTGATGAGGAAAGCGAGGAGCATAGAGGGGTCCATCTCGCGGATTTGCAGGCGACGGATGCGGCGCGTGTGGCAGGTTGCAAGCTCTTCTAACGAGTAGCCGCTTGGTTTTGAGACGTCTGAGGGAGCCGTTACTTCGTTGGCTGAGGGGACGATGGTCGTTGATGACGAAGTCGAGGTTACTGAAGTTGCTGATGCTTCAAGCGTAGAAGGAGCTGCTACTTGTTCTTCGGTCGACGATGAAGAGGGTCGATATGGCAGAAGCGGGCGCGTGCTGTGAGGATCAAGGTAGAAGAAGTTATTTGCCTGTGTAGCAACAAAGTAGTGTGATGCTGAAGGACGGCCACTTTAAACGTCAGTATAACGATGTGTGTATGCGATCAAGCGCCTCACCCTGCGATACCGATGCTCTGCTTCATCTGCAGGCTTGCTTTGAGCGCCTCCCAGTATACTGGCGTGATCTTGTCGATGCCCAACCTTGTGCCGACAAGAATCAGCGTAGGATGCCACTCGCCATCATCGTCGACGGCAATCTCCTTGAGCTTATCTTCATACACGTCGGCTCCATCGCCAGAGACGTAGACCTTCAACCCCGCCTCTCTGTTCTTATGAACCAAGTCTTGTATGCAGCGCGCAGCAGCCGAAGGTCCAAACCATTCGCCGGGATACTTTCCACACACAGCAGCACCATGTTCAACGAAGCGGTGGATGGAGAAAGGCGCCCTTGGATCGTCGGCAAACATGGCAACTACATCGCAATGCTCCTTTGCATCAGGCTGCTCCTGGTACCGCCAGTCCCGTCCGAGGCGTAGTATCTGCAGCGCATTAGCCAGTATGCACTGGCCGCTCCTGATCATGCAGCCAAAGCCTGTGTCCGAGGTGAAGCCTGGAGAGGCCAGGTTTTGCATGCGCACGCGGAAGCTCATGGCACTTGTTGCCTTGGGGTCTTGACTCTTTTGGATGGGGGTAAAGCCAGAGCGGTACGTCATCCAAATGCGCGACTCGAAGTCGTCCAGAAAGGCAGAGGGCCAGTTGCCGTATTGTGCTGGGTCTTCGCCATTTGGAGCTTCCTTGCGGTCCGTCTCTTCGATGCTTGTCCGTATCCAGCTTTCATCATCGGTACGTTCAGATGGTGGTGTGCCGGTCCCAGCTGGAGAAGTGTCGTTGGGTGTAGGCTTCCATGGAGGAGGCCGGGGGTCGTAGCGCTGACCTAGCAGCCATATGGGGTCGTTTGAGTCATTTGTTGGTGGAGGGTCGTAGAAGGTGCGGACGATGCTTCGGCTAACACGTTCAAAGTCGTTCATGATGGCGGGAGTGATGAGTGGGTGATATGGCCAGGGCGGCGTTGCATGCGGAGGTGCTGCGGAGGTGCTGCGGAGGTCCGAGTTGAGGCTGCCTAGCTGGCTACCATGAGTCTTTCGTTGACCGCGCGATGCTATCCGTGCATGTCCAGAGAATGGAACATATGTCAAGAAGGGACAAACGGGGACTGAAAGAGATGTGAAGCCTGGTGTGAGGGCCTGGATCTTGCCGCGAGCCCAGAGGTCATATGCGGCTCTATCCAAGTCGCCGCGGGGGAGGGGTGGCCTATCACCTGGCTGTGTCAGTGAGTCCAAACACGCTTTTGGAATGCGTGGCGCGAGGATGTGATAATCTCAATATCACGTCTCCATTCAAGTGCACCGTCTTCACGCAGCTACGATAGAGGTTCCAGTTGCGAGGGGCTACTGTAGGTAGCTGCAACCCCCAGACCATGGCCAGTATCATCGGCATATCGTCATAAGCTCCGGCGAGCTAGTCCTGCGAAGCGTTGTTAGCCCCGCCGCCACCCACCAGGGTGACATGGATGCGAGTGCGCATCATCTCCAAACGTTCATAATCGCACGTTTTCGCCGCAGTATCTTTTTTCTCGTTCAGCTTGTAGCGCAAACGTCTTTCGCATAGCAATCGCCATGGCGCGGGGCAAGAAGCAGGGGAAAAACAAGGCCAAGGCCAGTCCAGGAAAGAACACGCCACATCGAGCGCCCTACAAACGCCATTCGTCCCAATCATGGCAGGTTCGCGACGAGGGTACGTTTGCGCTCTTTCCACAATGCGACGAATAAGATTACAATGTTGACAGTACCTGCAGCAGTCGCGTCCAAGTTCTCCCTTCAAGACGAGGCGCGCTGGGCGTCGAACCACCGCACCGCTGCCTACGAAGCCGGCAAGAACCTGCGCCATATGCCGCCCATACAGTTTATTAGCGCCGGCCACCTCGAAGGCACACTGAAGAAAATCGTTCCAGCCGTCGAGTCCACCCAAGTTGAAACGCCAGAGTCCAGCGCAGAGTCATTCACTCCCTCCTCGCCCCTGTCAACACCGGACAACACCAACGCCATGGCACATATGGTCATTCGGAGTCCGTCGCCTGCACTCTCAGAAGCCTCTTCTAGCGCAGACGAGGTTTTGTTCAGGGGTCGCGGGAACCAGGCTCAAGTCACTACGGTCGCCCCTGTCACTGTCATTGCCACTGCCACGAAGCAAACCATAACGACCCAAGATACGGTAGATGGTCCTGAAAACCCAGTTGTGTCTGTAGCGGCTCCAGAACCTGAACAAACCTTGCCAGACCAAACAAAAAATGCTCCCGTGCCGGAGAAGGTTGAGCAGGTTGAATTAGAGGTCGACTCAGACGCTGATGAGATCGTAGAGAAACAGTTCGAAAAGCGGAGAGGAGGCAAACCAAGATGGGAGGGCACTACCACAGAGTGGGAGCATCGCAGCAAACCAAACATTGGATGGTTGCCTACCAAAAAACGCCCTGACATGAAGTCTTTTCTGAGTGGCAAAGCAAACTCTCGCGATGCTGCTATGGAAGATTATTTGCAGAATGTGGAGGATTTCGGCCTCACTGACGATCCATTAGCTGCATCCGGATTTGCTAACCGCGAGATGGATCTCGACGGAGGCAGCCACAATGACTGGGTGTCAACCTCCGAAGCTGCTGAAGACGCAAACCGAGCTGCTGAAGACGAGAACGAAGCCGCCGAAGACAGTGGTGACTGGGAGTCTGATATGCTTCAGGATTTCGACAATCTGAGTACCTCTTCTGACCTTGAGGATACCGTCGTTCGAATCCTCTCAAAGCGCATCCGTAAATCTGGCCTCCAATACCTCTGTGTGTATGAAGGATCCGTCATCGATGAAGCTCGTTGGCTACCAGCAACCTTCTTGAGGGCCACCGCCGAGAAGAAACTTGTTCGAGAATTCGAGGCAGCCCTCCGTGAATGTGAAAAACATATGCCTATAAGCAGTGACTCAGAAGATGATGACGACGACGACGACGGAGAAGAAGAAGAAGAAGAAGAAGGAGGAGGAGAAGAAGAAGAAATCGATGACGAAACACTTGCCAGGGTCCTACAGAAGCAGGAGGAGCTTGGCTTGGGTGGGGACGAGGTATTGCTCTATGGTGATGACGAGTTCTTTGATGGACCTGTCAAGGATCGATCATTCATACCGTTCAGTAGATCGAACAAGAAATGCCAGGATCGTCGTGGTCGCGGTAAACGGGATCCGTCATTTCCCTCTGCTACTGCCATGGCTGATGCTCTGGACATGGACCCATATAGTGGCTTCGATGTTATGGATACCGAGCGGCCTTCCTTAAAGCCTAAGAAGAAAGGTCGACGAGGTCAACCTCCCCCAGAGCTAGATGACTCTGACTTGAACGAGCAGCTCCAGAATGCTTGGGCAGCCGACAGAGTAAAGAAGCGACTTAAGAAGGCTGAACGAGAAGAGCTTCGCCAGCAGGGATTGTTGGGTCGCAAGGGTAAGAGTGCTAACCTCAAGGTGAAGTACCAAGGTGGTATTGAAATGGAAGACATCGTCGAAGAGCTTCGCGAATTCATGCTCGGTACAATGGAGACGTTGTCGCTTCCTCCGATGGATGCATACCGCCGCGCCACCATTCATCAGGTAGCCGCGTTCTTCAACCTAAACTCTCGCTCTCGTGGCGATGGTATGGATAGGTTCACTCTGCTTTCCAAGACGACTCGCACTCGAACCCTCACCGACGACGAGTTCAACATCGCCATCCAAAAGAAGGGCTTCCAGAAACGTCTACGTGGTCCTCTCTACACTGAAGGTAGCGGCGGCCGGGCAGGCAAGTTCAGCACCGTCAAGCACAAACACGGTGGTGTGCGCGCCCGCCCTCAGCTAGGCTACAAGGACGGTGAGACAGTTGGCGCAAATGCCCCGGAGCTTGGACCGGAAAACAAGGGTCACGCGCTTATGATGAAGATGGGCTGGGCCAAGGGCGATGCTCTGGGTGCTGGTGATAACAAGGGCATTCTGCAGCCTATTCCTCATACTGTCAAAACCAACAAGGCTGGTTTACAGTAACCCTCATGCTGCCACCTCTTGTCTTGGCAGCATTTTGAGTTTTTCCATAGATCACAACGCTTACCCTCAACGCTCGTCGTTTGCGGCATCGTTTGTGTTTCTACAATACTTTTGTACCTTCACAGGTTGTATTTCTACTAGCGGATCTTTTTTTCTTGATGTACGATTTCTGAGAGGCTGATGGCACTGCATGCAGGGCGGTTCATTGGCGTTTTTTTCTTCTTCTTGTCTCTTACTTACTATTATCGGGCATGGCCTCGCCATGGTTCAACCTGCATATTGCCTCTTATGTCTGCCATGGCTCCGCCGTGGTTCATTCTGCATATGCAGCTGTATATAGAGGATAACATTCTCCTCTGCATTGAAAGGCGCTTCTTGGCCGCTCTATGAGATGGTTCACCCAACTAATGGGCTTGATGTTTGTCATGATGCGACATGCTCATCTATACAACGGTAGAGTAACCATACACTACTGATACAAATCTGGCTTCTTTTGTGATGGTGCGTGATGTTTTACTTCAGCAAGCTCGTTTGATCAAACTTTCGATCTGGTTCGTGTGGCGTCGAAGGTCACAAGAGAAGTGACGAATCTGCACATCAGTCCACACAGCATGTATGAAGGCAATTGTGCATTGCTACTTGATTGACTACATACATCCCAGTATTCGCTGACCCATTGATGACAGGTGATGCTACAACATGCGAACATAGGCTGCTAGTCACCTCTCAGACCGCCGTTCATGATTCCTCCAGTGTTTATTCCATACTCACGGTGACTATCATTGAGAACGAGGCGCAAACACCTGATCTCAGACAGAAGACCTACAAGGAGACCTTTGGGGCCACGCACACCTTTTTGTGGACCTTCCACGCCTTCTTCTGGCAGTCAACCGAGCAGTAGCTGCGGTTCTTGCACTTGGCGCATATGAGCAGAGCCTGGTCCTGAGGCCCACGCTTCGCCTCACAATTACCGCATACATTGGGCTTGTTGCGCTGATCACGCAGTTCCTTGATGACAGTCGACGTCGATGAAGTGGTCATGCCCGTGTTGAAGATGCCACCAGGGCTCATGACGTTCATGAGCTGGTAGCCACGGCCATTGTCGGGTTCACTGGGCCTGGAGTCGGCCTCTTCGGTGAGGGTCTTGGACTCGATGTCGTAAGGCACGCCGTTCACGTAGCCGTTGGGGCCGAAGAGGGCCTTCTTAATCTGCTGCTGCGCCTGAGGCATGAGGCCGCCTTCAGTGTAGACCTTCTTGAGCATGGCCACGTAGGTATCTGGCAGCCGACATCCAAGTGTCATTGCGCATGCACCGAGTAGAACATAGACGTAGCAGGGGTCTTCCATCCAGTACTCCAGCATCTCCTCTTTGGATCCAGCAAGAGCACCAAGCATCTTCGCCTCCTTTTTGGCGATCAAGTCAGCGAGGATACCACCATCCAGATGCTTGCGAACTGAGTCAAGGTGGGAACAAGCGGGGCCATAGATGAGATATGAGACGCCTTCGACATCTTTCTCGCTCTTTCCCTTGGCTTTGGCAATAGCTTTGGCATTCTCTTCAAGCTTGTAGAGGCCAGCGTCACTGGTGAGATTTTCGACGATGTTGAAGTCATGGTCCGACTGGAAGAGGCCTGTTGATGTGTCAGTACAAAGGGGTCCGAGTAGAGCGAGGTTGATGCCTGCAGTAACCCCAAGCACCCATGATGAAAGATTTCTGTCGTTGTGTGGTGAGGTGTTCTACGGGTTCAGGTCAGCAAGAAAATGGTGTGCGGAAGAAGCAGTCATGACTCACCACGGTGAAGGCTTGATGTAGCGTTGCGGAGCTGTCAGTGAATGTGAGAGATGAAGTGAGGAATTGAGGTGTGGGACGAAGGCGAGAGAGAATGATGAGAGAATGAGGTCAGGATTGAAATAGAGGAGAAAAGACGAGCGGGGTAGTAGGCGTCACGTCACGTCATCTTTTGTGGCGCGTTGTTTGACTATGGAGGAAGGACCGACCACGCGTGTCCCCGTGATCCAGACATGCGTACCTTCCAGGACCACCACCGACGATGGATCTAGTCATTTCCACACTCCGTATTCGCTTTCATTTCAAGAAGGTATGCAACATAGTCAGCGCTATTCTACTGTCATCTATCAATATGAGAAAGTGCAGTGGAGTTGTAACATTAAAAGGTTGAAGAGCCGATAGATCACGTGAGCGATAGACCTTCAATTAGACGATGTAGTTCTGCAAGCCAAGGATGGGTACCGTGGTACTGTAGTGATTTTATTCTCTTGCTTGTTTGTTGCTATGCCGAAGCTTGACGGAGAACCTCCCGAAGGAGCGAATGACCGTCAATATGGTAATCGCTCAATCACGAACAGCTTCGTTATAGTGATAGCATACCTATAGGCAGCCAGTATTGGTTCTTTAGAATCTCACGCATGTCCATTGCTGCCTAAATTCAGATGTCGGTTCACCTATGCCTAAGTAGAATTGATCATGCAGTGTATTATGTGCGATATCAAGAGCCTACACGGCTACTAGAGTGACGCGAAACTTTATAAATTCGTCTGATCCATGTTATGGTCTACTCCACCTGTGGCAAACATATTATCTCTAGCCAAGAGACATAAACCGGAGTCACCATATTAGGGGGGCATCGAGGAGTGTTTGGAAGATATGAAGCACGAATGGCGTAGAAGTGGCATGGGTGAGGATGTTGATGGTTGATGGCAGAATCATACACGATCGCTATAAGTGCGTTCAATGTTGCTTGTGAGGTTGATATAGCGGAGCTGGGTCACGGTTGTAGTGAGAGCGTTGAGCCAAGTCTTCCTATCCAATCAGCGACGGTGAAGAGCGGATTACGTTTTGTGCCTCGGCTTCTTCCCCAGATGTTCTTCACGCTGCTCCACACCAAACGGAGCACAGCGCGGAGAGGGCTAGCTTCTGTTGTAGACCGAGGCCAAACGTCTTGCGACCCGCATAATGTAGTCTATCCCTTATTGCCGATTCTCCTTTCTCCCAGAAGCCCTACACAACACAACACCCATCTCGATTTATCCCTCCCTCGGCGTCGCGCACGCCTTCCTCACCCGCCTAACATGCCACACGCAACCCTCACGCGCGAGTCTGTCGCTTCGCATAACACGCCCGAAGACCTATGGTGCATTATCGATCACAAAGTCTACGATCTTAGTGATTTCGTCGACGCGCATCCCGGTGGTTCGGTTGTCCTAGAGCAAGTAGCCGGTCAGGATGCGACAACTGCCTTTTACAACCTCCACCGACAAGAGGTCTTGGAAAAATACAGCGAGCTATGCATCGGTACAATTGAGGGAGAGAAGTCGGAAGTCATCATCCCGCAGCCGGGTGACTTGAGCCCAGTTCCATACGCGGAACCATTGTGGCTGCGACCGCAGTTCAAGAGTCCTTACTTCAAAGACAGCCACCGGGCATTGCAGAAGGAGATTCGCAAGTTTGTGGACACACACATCACACCCGAGGCCCAACAAAAGGAGAAGGATGGCACATACATTAGCCAAGAGCTGATTGACAAGATGGCCGAGAACGACATGCTAGCCATGCGTCTTGGGCCAGGCAAGCACCTTCATGGCAAGAACTTGATGGGTGTCGTCAAGGGTGAGGAATTTGATTACCTCCACGATCTTGTACAGGCGCAGGAAGGCGTTCGTGCCAACGCTCGTGGGTTCCAAGACGGCAACATGGCAGGCATGATGATCAGTCTGACTGCTGTCTTGCAGTGGATGCCGGAGTCTGAGCATAAGACACGAGTAGTCAATGAGGTGTTGACTGGCAAGAAGAAGATGTGCCTGGCAATCACCGAGGCCTTTGCAGGGTCCGATGTAGCTGGTATTAGGACCACTGCGACATTGTCACCAGACGGCAAGCACTATATCGTCCGGGGCACCAAAAAGGTTGGACACAACTGATTCAATATCTATGTGGCTAGTACTAATGAGCGAATAGTGGATCACTAACGGCATGTTCTGCGACTACTTCGTCACCGGATGCAAGACTGACAAGGGCTTCTCTGTCCTACTGATCGAACGCGACGAAGCCGTCGAGACCAAACTGATCAAGACGAGCTACTCGACAACAGCCGGTACCGCATTCGTAGAGTTCAACGATGCGAAAGTACCAGTACATCACCTACTAGGCGAAGAACACAAGGGTTTCATCGTAATCATGTCGAACTTTAATCACGAGCGGTTTGTAATGAGTTGTGCCGTGATCCGACAATCACGAACAATCGTCGAGGAGTGTCTTAAGTGGTGCAACCAGAGGATAGTCTTTGGCAAAAAGCTGATTGAGCAGCCAGCCATCCGTCAGAAGTAAGTGCTACTGCTAAAGATAGACTACGCCTGTCTTGCCCGTGCATCCCGTCGGATGAAACCGCCTTCCCCACTCTGTGCTTCTTCTAGCACTAAAGCCCACAATTGCCGGATATGGTGACTAACGCTACACCCCAGGCTTGCAAAGATGATCTCACACGTCGAGGCCAATCAGGCCTGGCTCGAGTCAATTGCCTTCCAGATGACACACATGTCGTACGCTCAACAATCAAAACTGCTGGGCGGACCTATCGGTCTGTTGAAGTCATTCGCCACTCGGTCGGCGCACGAGATTGCGGATGAGGCGGTCAATATCTTTGGTGGCAGAGGACTGACACAGGGTGGAATGGGTCGGGTGATTGAGCAGTTCCATCGCACATACAAGTTCGATGCCATCCTTGGAGGTACGGAGGAGATACTGGGTGATCTGGGCGTCAGACAAGCAATGAAGAACTTCCCGAAGAGCATGTTGTAGGATGTAGTTGGAGGGCATGTATGAAGGTAGGTTAGCAAGGTGGCACCTGTCAAGCCGGTAGATTTAGTCTGTAAACCTTGTTGGAGCTACACCGAGCGCCCTAGAACGGTTCCAGAAACACTGGTGACATTACAGGACTCTGGTGGTGAACGGGATGTGCCGGCGAAACCCATGTTTGGCGGGCGTTTTACCATTTGAGGCGTGCGCGTACAGAATTGATGGTGGTGCTCCCGGTACCAAGGTTCCAGATTGCACCGATCCTGACGGTAGTTGCACAGACGATGAGCGGCTGACCGATGAGTGTGAGTGCGCGAAAGATCAACCGTGTATCCGAACCTACACCGGGCTATTAGGCATTGTGCATGGGCTTGTGGCAAAGCACACAGTACACAACACATTGTAGCATGTGAAGAGTGGAGAGCGGAAAGCGCGCACAAATCGATAGCCAGTACGCCCACGGCGGCATCATGCAATGCTCAACACCAAGACCCACGACGTAACGGGTAGATCACGATAGTCGCACACGCTCGCACGACGATGCATTCCCCTCATGCAGCGGCCGCCAATGGCTTTTGCGGTCAGAAGCCGAGCTGAGCGCCTCTGGCACGATAAGCTGGTGTCCACGTGTTACACGTCCCGATGCGGCAACAAGCGAGTCCCTTGTAGACAGCCATGCCCGGCTGCATGAGACACGATCTGGATGCCATGTCGCAGCTATCAGACAAGAGTGAGGCATGTCGGCGATACGTGTCATATGCAGAAGGCAAGTTGGGCGAGGCGCGGTATGGCGTGTAGATGAGGTGCGCGGCTTCACTCTGCTCCAAACCGCACGCCCAGGTGTTGGCGATTGAAAGCAAGTCAATGCACGTCTCGGTGAGGGTGAAAGGAAAGGGCGCGCTGCTGTTCCTGAACAAGGCCCTCACAGGCAATCACCAATCATGCACGGCATGTGGAATACCATGGAACATAGTCGGCTAGTCACAGCCGCCGCCCTGCACCGCTGCGAACGCATGCCGGCTCGAGTCGTGTGCAGCGCCATCGGACCAAGGCACCAGTGCAGTGACAGCATGGGCTTTTGCATTGTCATTCGGCCACTTAGCCTCGACCCTGAGCTCGCCTTTCTTTAAGAAGGCGTCTGCGTCACCTTTGCCTACTCGATCCTCATCTGTCACTATCACTACTTGACCACTACCCAACACCCTTCACCCCCAACCTTGACCTGCCCTTCGTTGACCACCCGCCCGCGACCCAAGACCCTACCACGCTTATACACCGCCCCCAGCTTACTTGCAGCGTTGCAGCCTCCCATACTTCACTTGCCTTGGTTTGGCTTGCCACACCCAGCACGCGCCTCACCTACCATCCCCGACCATCTTCGTCATCTAGCCGACCAAGTCGCCGCGCCCAGCGTCATCACCACTCACAACTACATCATCTACTCGCCAGCTTCTCCTCCAAAACGCCACCATGCGTCGCACATCCAGCATCAGCAGCATGAGCTCCTCCAGCTCCGAGACTGAAGAGACGATGCAGATCTTTGTCAAGACCGTGTCCGGAAACAACAGTAAGTTGATCTCGCGCATTGTTCCGAGGCTCGGAACAAGCTGCCCCGGAGACACACAGTGAAAGCAACCAAAACACCAAACTAACATTCACTCTCCTATAGCAATCCCCCTCACAATCCCTTCAAATACCTCAATAAGCACCCTACGCTCCCTGCTCGCCCTCCGCACCAACCTCTCCACCCCCGACGATCTCCGCATAGTGCACGCCGGCAAGCACCTTTCATCCTCGGAAACCACATTAGCCGACTACTCCATCGGCGCAAACTCTACGCTTCACCTCGCTCTGCCACTTCGTGGCGGCATGCCCCCAAAGAAGATCCGATGCTCCTTCAAGGACTGCAAGGACCGCGCACAACCCATTGTTGGTGACTGCGGCTTCTGCGATGGCCACCACTGCAGTAAGCACCGCATGCTTGAGGACCACAAGTGCGAGGGTCTAGAGGACTGCAAGAAGGAGAGCCATAACCGGAATGCGGATAAGCTCAACAGCGAGCGAACAGTGGCTATCAAGGGTGTTTGATTGAATATCCTCCATGGGTACTCAGACCACCTCCATGGCATATATGTACATATGTACGCCTTGGACTGGCCTGTGTTTCCCTGAGCGATTTGGTGTGGCTTGAGTAGAACACCATCTGCAGCTCTCTATGTTTTCCACGCGGTGCAGTCGTAGCAATGATGGGTCTTGGTTTTAGCTTGCGTGGTTTTTAGGGCTTCTTAATCTTTTGGTTCCGGGCGCAAGGCGTCCACGGAATGTAGTTACTAGCGCTTTGTATTTGTAGCTGCTAGGCCTTACAAACAACCGTTCATATTTCTAACACACACTTGATACTCCGCTGCAGTGATGGTTGTCGTGTGCATTACTGAGACATATCTCACAACGACCAACTTGACTCATCCAGGGGCGATTGTACAACAACCACACCACAACAACCCCTACCGGTAGTTCTATTCGCCAACGCAGCCTTGCATGCACAACACATCCAACACATCCTCACCCGCGCGTCCGCATGTCAAGCATAAAACGCAAAACAGCAAAAAACCCGTCCACTCGGCACTTCTCCGCCTCACTCCATACGATCGTCCTTCGGATCCGCGTTAAGATCAACAGGAATACTTACCCTTTACGTACACCATGGGCATTTGATTTGGCCAACTGTACAACACGAAATGTGCCGGACGTGAAACCTTGTTTTGAAAAAAACAACGGCGGCACAGGGCATGTGAAAGAAAAGTGCCGGTATGGAAACTAGCTTGTTTTGGGAGTGACGTCTCAGTGCTGTGAAAGCCGAGGGAGGTTGGGGATAAAGGAGGTAATGGGGTGTGAATGTGTGGTTGACTTTTGACTGAGGGGGAGGAAGTAGATGGAGATGGAGAGGAAGATGGTCGGTTTGTGCAGCTTACGCATTTGGTTCTCCTTTGCGATTTGCTGTTGATGTGTCAATCAATGTTGCGACGATAAGCTTCACAGCTTGAGCGCTCAAAACAACACGACTGTTGATGTGGATGAAACTGGGTTCTGCAGAAAAGAAATGATGGGATCGAGATATTCGTTATTTTTGCGTTCCAGATGTTGCTTTTCCGAGTTTGCGAAACTGGTGTGGTGGTTCCTTTGTTGCAGTTGTGACGTTGTCGACCCCTAGGAGAGGAATGGGAATATGAAAACAGTGTTGCGGGAGGAGGATCTCCCTTGCACGTGCTGTTGTGGCGTTTTGTTCCATATCCATGGTTGGGCGTGGCCGTCTCCCGGATATACAGTAGACCTAGTCCTTACCCTGCTCCTCTATGATAGCTGTGCAGTCCGATTAGTCTATAGCACTGGCATGCCAGCGGAACGCAGTTCGATCCGCCAGGAGAGTGCTTGTGAGAAGAAATCTAGATGCATGGATGCAAGAGAAAACCCAGAAGAGAAGAGGCTCGCGGATCGCCGATTCGTCCCGCAGAAGCATTGCTTGAGTCGACGGCTTGTCAAGTGCTGATCAAGCAAAAGATGACGGAGAACCCTCGGTTATATGTGACGTTCTTTTCGAAGAATCTCCTTTTCTCGGTCTTACCTGGCGGACGTGCCGAAGCGGCCGGAAGCCCTGGAGCTCGGCGTGTGCTACAAGCTCATGGCGTTGCAAGGGTTGACAGTAACGCCGTTGCGAAGGATCAGGCACTGAAGGACCTCAACAACAATTTCTGGTGCTCAAGGGATGATAACAATGCCCATCCTAAACTTATTGCTCGTGCACAGCTCCAGGAGGCACGGTTGAATGAAACCCCTTTTCGTCCGTGACTCGGAATCGCAACGCCATGGGCAGCGCATGGCTTTCCTCTCCCGCTCAGCCTCAGCACGTGTTGGGCAGTGCGAGTCCAATTCGTCCTCTATTCTCGCCGTTACCGTCCCAGTCGAGATTGCGCTTATCGGGGGCTGCCTGCCGCCTTGGTGGTGGTGATGATGGTTCTCGCCGCCCTGTCCTTGCAACGCCATGCAAAGCCAATCTTTCTGCCGAGCTCTTAGGAGAGGAATACGAGACAGGCATCGCACCGAATTCCGCTCAAATCACATTGTGGTCGTAGAATTTGTGTGTTGCGCTCCGCTGGCCCGCCCCGCCCTTGCGGCTTTCGCTTGCAACATGCGATTTTATGGGTGCGGAATCGGTTCTCGGGGGTAGAGCTTCAAAGTGGCGTGATGTTGACATAATAACATCTGCATGTCGCTTGTTGTGGCGTTCCGCTCGTGTTTGCTTCTTCGGACTTGAGCGCAATTGGTGACGACCAAAATAGGGTTTCAGGGCATCTGTTAGTAGGTGTTAGGAGGAGCGGAGTGGGAGATAACAGTGGAATTTTGTTTTGGTGGAGGGCTTGGCACGTGCAGTGGCGGAAGTTTGAGGCGTGATACAGTGGCTGGACAGGAACTCACAATACGGTCAACGGATGACTTGTAGTACACGACTAACAGCTACGACGACAAAGTAAGGTTCTTTAAGGATGAGCCTGCTCAGCTCGGGCCCTGTGCACATGTTCCGGGTACGTGCCTTCCGCCAGTCACCACGACGAAGTGATTCAAGCAAACGCGGGCGATCCGGCCAGATGGCACTTACATACCTACCTACCGTATACCTAGTACCTAGATGTCCCTAGAACCGGTTTTGTTGAGTGCTTCCAATTGATTGTCAAACGGCCGACGGCTTACTGTCGTCCGTGAGATTCTCTCCATGGTCGGTATCGCAGTCCGACCAGTCACTATTCGTCACCAACTACTCGTCACAAAATGCGGAGACCCGCCCGTCGGAGAAATCAGCCTTCAACAATCGCGACATATTATCTCCGCGCACGCAACCGTGGTAGAGGGGCCAAGTGCTGCTGCAATACTCCAGTTAATATCACCGGGTTCGCATTCATGATGCCTAGTCAAACACTCAAAGCCGGCCACCGGGATATTATCGTAACAATATGGTTCCGTCTCCAGTTTTCTTGTCGCTATCTATTTCCCCATGGGAGAATTGCGGGACTGATACCGTTGGTGACGTAGCCCGCAGAACTAACAACCTCGCCTCAGGACAGGGAACGTAGTTGTTTCAACGGAGGAACCACACGGCCGAACGTCCACCATCGTGATCAAGTCTGACTTTGGATACTTGTTGAAATCAGATAAGACAAGCCTATTTGTGTAATATATTGCGCACTTCTCCGTGCACGCGGGATGCAACTTTGTTTGTTTCGGCACTTGGGCAGCGACTCTGGACGGTGAGATCTGCAATCGCCCGGGAAGATGTCGGGCTTGGACTTGGACTTGTTTCCAGCCATGTGCTCGTCTCGAAGGGGGAGTGACACTCTAATCGGGATGATGCTGGCTGACTCAGTCTAGCACATTCCCTGCTCTTTCGGAAAACTGGAGTCCGTATCTGCGCCGCGCTTGTCAAGACGGAATGAATCTTTGGCACTCTAACAAGCATATCTGAAACCGTGCGTCGCCTGACGAGTCATCGCAAGGCCAGACGGTGAGGGACTTTGAAAGGTTGCTGCAGCCACAGCCGCACGCTTCCGTTTCGGTGTCGGTGCTGGCGACGGCGCTCACGTACATCACGATGATGAAATTACGTACATGTTCTATCCCTACGTGCTCCAAAGACTCTGCCTGTGAGCGTGTCGGTGCCGTGTCGATGCCAAGTGACTAGGTTTGGTTCTCTATCGCAGCGGCGGAAAGAAGGAAAACTGCACGCGTGGACGTGGGGACGAAGCATCATTTCCTGGCTGTCGATCGCTGGGCATTACCAAGCCTTGTGGCGGTGTTGAAACTCAAGATAACGAAGCAACAGACGGCATCGGCCCGCCGATCTTGTTACGCCGCCAATTTTAGCGCGTTCCTCAAGTCATGTACATCGGGCTTGGGGATGGCGTACATGATACTGCAACTTCCACCACACTCTCTTTTGAAATCCGGCATCAGTGTTGAACTACGGGCTTGGTCATCCTCTTTCCAAATTATCCACGGACAAACTTGCTCGTCTCCAGCCGCTGCCAAAAGCCTCAGAAGTCTCGGCGGTAACACCGTCAATGTACTGATACTCAATCCTTGCATGATAACTGGGTCAGCCAAGGCGGAATGTACATCACTGCCTTTATGTTTGCTTGGCTTGGTGAGACGTACCGCCCCAATCGAGCTCTATCATCATGCTTCCCGCCGACACTGCGCCAAGGGCTGAGGGCCCGCTCCGCCATCTACGAGACATTGCTAGGCCAACCCCTATCACAGTCTATACAACGTTTATACCCACCGGCAACTTGTTTTTTGTGGGACAAGTGATGAGCCAAGAATGCACTACCTAGAAGCAATCCCGATTCTGCACGCAGAGCCCCAGCTTAGGGTGTACCTACGTACCATGGTAGGCCTGGCCCAATGCCGCCAGTGCCGCCAGACGTTACGCACAGGGAGAAAGAAAGGGTGGCGACGCCCAATCATACGAGTCAGCTAAAACACAGGGAAACCCTCCCTATGAAATACGGGGGCATGTTCTTCTAGAACGACAATTGGATGTGGAAACCTAAAAGTAAAGTGAGCTGGGGTGTATTCGTCCGCACATAGTTCCCATCCGACTAGCACCGTACATGGATCAAAGCTTTGGGCCGCAGCACATGAGAGCCTCTAACAAAATAATGCAACATACCCTGCGGTTCGCGGACTCCCAAGAACCCGTACTCTCTTGGCTTCTCTTGGGCCTACACCCCTACGTTGCTTGTGCCCGGCGGCACTCCCTCATTACACAGCGAGTTTGACCACCACGTCACCAAGGGAAAGCCAGCCATACTCTACCCGGGTATTACGCGCGTGCTTAGCAGATGTGGAGCCGTAAAAGAACGTTCTATCAAACCGATGCCTTAGGCTCATACCCCAGATGCATGCCGTTCTGCCACCACTGTACCTATATCTAGGCCCCGCCGCTTTGACTATTTTACGATTCCATACCAGCCTTCATCAGTGCGTCTAATTGAGCGCCTCCCCTCCAACACGTGCTATCTGTGTTGAGCACCCTGCTGCATACCCCATAAACGCTTTCCTTGCCCTTCATTTGCTCCTGCCACCCGTCTCCACGACTTGCCACCCAGCAACACCAACAACATGACGGCAACAATATCCTTTCACAAGGAGACTCGTCCTAACAACGAGGGAACTCTCCCACTGTCCGAAGCACCAACTGCAAACAACTCTATGCGGGACCAGTCTCCTTCGTCGATTGCGACGATTGAGGAGCCAGACTGGCCACGATCATGGCGCGCCTATGCATGCTTGCTAGGATGCTTCTTTCTCATGTTCAACTCGTGGGGCCTCGTCAATGCCTACGGCACATGGTCTTCGTACTACGTCGGCCACTCATTGCGAGGAATTGATCAACTTGAACTGAACCTGATCGGATCGACGCAGTCCTTTATTGTGCTTCTTCTTTCAAACGTTGTTGGCAGACTTCTGGATGCTGGTCATTCTCGCAAAGTGATCGGATGCGGTACTTTCCTCGTTCCATTTGGCTTGTTCATGCTTTCCGTTGCGCACCCTAGCGACGTCGAGGCCCTCGGAAACTTTGGCTCAATTTGGGCAACACAAGGCCTTGTCGTTGGCCTGGGCATGGGGACCTTTTTCGTATCCAGCTCTCAAGGTAAGACGCAATCTTCACTTGCCATTACTTCCAACTAACTCGAGTATAGTCGCTTCAACATGGTTCCCTAAGCGCAGAGGCCTTGCCGTAGGTTATGTTGCTTGTGGTGCCAGTGTAGCCGGCGTGATATATCCCTCGATGCTGCGCTACCTGATCAAGTCGGTAGGGTTCAACGATGCTGTGCGCTACGTTGCGACCCTCACATCCGTGACATGCATCTTTTCCTTTATCTTCTGCACACCCGATCCTGCCCACGAGCATCACGAACCGAAGACATGGGGAAAGCTCACAACCTGGTTCGATACAGAAGCCTTCCGCAACAAGGCCTTTTGCTGGTTTACTGCTGCCATTGCTTTCATGTTCTTTGGCTTCTATCCCGTCTTCTTCAACCTCGAAGAGGTAAGTTCGCATCCTTCCTTTGAAAGATGATATCAACTAACATTGTATAGTGGGCATCAGTACGCGGATTCGGTACTCGCAATCGATCTTCTTCCGAAATAGCTCCAGTGGACACAACCAACAAACCCCTTCAGACCTTCTGGCTACTTGTCATCATGAACGGAGCTTCAACTGCTGGACGGATGCTTCTTGCTCACTTCTCGGACTGGGTTGGTGCTCTCAACATGCACATCGGCTCCCAGTTTGTAGCTTCAATGCTCACACTTGTACTCTGGTCCCAAGCTGGGTCAGAGACTGATGCTATCGCCTTCTGCGTAGTTTTCGGTATCTTCTCCGGAATGGTCATCGGCCTACCTCCTGCATCAATCGGCCATATTCTCAGTCGCTCCTACGCCGAGCCTGACAACATTCAGTTCGCAAAGAAGAAGCTCGGACATTGGACAGGCATGATGTACACCTTCGCCGCCATTCCAGCTCTGACTGGCCCTGTCATTGCTGGTCATCTCATCACAAAGTACGACACATATATCACTGTGCAGATGTGGTCTGGCACCAACTTGATGCTCTCATGTTTCTGCATGATCATCTCTCGATGGAACTTACCTTGCGACAATGGCGAGCATGCGAAGGACGCAGTTATGCGCGCGATGAGCTTCGCGGAGACCACTGAGAAGCGTAGTGCCAGCGAAGCACCTACTACGACGAGAGACCCTCTGTCGCAGGCCCCAACCCGTGTTCCAAGCACACGCTCTCAAGCTTCGGACATGGTCTGACCGTTATGAACCCCTTAACGACGATTTCTTCTCATTAGTGCTTTCCTTGCATGGCGTTCGGGGCGATTTTGCTTAACGACGTGAACGATTACGTATTCACCCCAGCGCGCTGGGACATGCCCCCAATTTCTGTTGTATTTCCTCGGTTTGTTTTGTATTCACATAGTAGATTTTGGTATATCCTGGGACATGTCGAGAGTTCCCACAGCGAACACACTTTGTTTCCGAACCACTTCGAGACAACGTAGGCGCAGGGAGCTCCTCGATACATGGGTTGAGCATCAGTTTACGGGTTGCACGAATAGTATAATCAAAAGTATCGCTTTGAACTTCTCCTGCATCTTTGTGAGTGAATGCGATTGCCTGGTTGAATATGACGTTACGTCATCACCAAGGTACCTGCCTGCATTGCTTGTGGTCAGCGTCGCGGCCCTCACTTCTTCTCACTCTTCCTTCGTCATCATAGATTTGCCACCAATATTCAGCCGCAACACTGGTATACGATGCGGCCTTTGAATGCTCGGTGCATACTATGCGCGTACGTGGCGATCTTGGATAAAGGTATCTTCCACGAAATCATAATCAATCACCGTTCAGATGTCAGCATGCCCGTCGATCCACGTGTCGTATACCTTCTTCTACAAATATGCCGGCATTTGATCAATGGCCTGATTCGATTTTTGGATCGGGACTCAGGATCGCCACATCGCAATGAAGTTTCCATCGATATACAAACCGTCTCACATAAACACCCTGGGAATCCCGAACAAGCTCTGGTAACCCGCAACTCCGCGCTTTCCTAGTTGCGCTCATGTCCACGCATCGATTCTGGGCAACTACGTACACCAGTAAGCTAAACTTTCTGTTGAGCGCCTTGGCTGAGACCCTGATGATATCGACATGTGACGCTGACCATGGGTTCGCTTGGACGTTGCATTTAAGCGCCACAGCGGTAGTTACACTGAGGATGGAAGGTTGGTCATAGTGGACCAGAAAATCAAGAATTGCACGATTTTGTCGGTACAGCAGGTCTTGGCATCTCGAGCTGTATTTCACACCTAAACTCACGTGGATAGCAATGTTAGGTCCCTGATATTGGAAAGAAGCTTCGGATTTCGGAGTTGGTCGACTACATGGTCACTCAGATACACGTAAGCCTCAACATCGGCCCTTTTGAACAAAAGCTCTTCTAAGCCTGTGAAGCAAGCCTTATCCTCGACGCCAAGATCCCGAGTCGTTTGCTTCATTGCCGCACTGCAGGCTGCGAAATACCGCCGACTTAGAACTATGACCCGGGTTCTCATACGTATAGCATACCGCGCCCACGCGTATCACTAAGTTAAGCAAAACAGGGAACTTCGGATAGATATAAACTTCGAACACAACATGCTAATCCTGGCAAATGTTTCGGGCCTTGGTTCTCCAAAATATCACTGCGGTTCTCACAAAACGTTCTAGACTACCGAAATATTTGAAGGGGGCAACTTGGCAGCGGAACAGCGACCAAGAGACGGCGTTGTTCTGTACCGTATACTGCCAGAGGCTCCAAGTCCACGCGGATATTAAAAGAAGGGTACACCAATGCTGCGCGAAGTCTTGTGACCTGCATAGAGGAGTTGGGATGGTGTAGGCCAAGACGCGATGTGGCACATGATGTAGATGGTGTCAGTCGCGGGAAAGAGATGGCGGTACACAACAAGTATTAGCGACTACCTAAGCACCTAACACCCAACGTGGATATCAATATCGATTGTTTTAGTAATGAGAGTAATCGGCGTCGTCGGCCTGGTTAAACGGACCAGTCTAACATAGGTACTCACTCTTGGCATTCTGTACACGACCTCTGAGGCATTAACGAACATCACAAGCCTCGTCTTCCTTCTGTGGTACTGGGAATAAAAGTCCGGCGGTTAACACCTTCAACACTAAGCCCGACCCATCCGCAGTGAACCAAACACTTCAACACCACCGACACCACCACGATACCCACCACAACCACACCAGCCACACACCGCCCCGTTCTAGACTCTTACTCCGTCTTTGCCTCACTCTGAAACCTGGCAATGAAGCCACATGCACAAACCTCCACACGCAGATCATCCGGTGAAAACATTGGAAAAGAAAACGCAACTATGACAGTATTCCTTACTTCCCTTCGGCTACCGTTTCTCGCTGCTACCGACCGCCAAGAGACTACATAGTGGCGATCAGTACATCAGACGCACAATGTCATGCGCTCGCATTCGGAAGTTGTCAGAGCTTCGGTTGTTACTCTTCTTTGTGTGTGTGTGCGCATAGCTTGGTACCATGACCATGCTTCTTCCTGCCCCCTTCTTCCTTTTTCATGCCCAGCGATGACGCAGGGACAACCAAACGCATTGCACAGCCACAATGACCACGTATCACGACTTTTTCGCCAACGCTGAAGCGTATGCCGTAAGACCCGGCAGCCGATTGATCCTTCCAATGAATCATGGGTAAGCTTTTTGGGTGCCACGTATGCAAACATCATGGCGTATTGGAATGCAATATGGAAAGTATTTCATATCGGAAGTTGGCAAAAACCATGGAGCATTACATGATGACGATGGGAAAAAAAGACCGGGAAAAACTAGACAAAGAAAGCCCAGAAACTCCGCGCCATGCAAAGTATGCGTACACAGGAATTAGGTACTACCCACTGCCCATCAACCCAAATCGGTGATAAAGATCAAGCCATCGCCAGACTCCATGCCAACCGAGAATGAACAACTACAAAAACGCATGTGCTCTGCTTGAATATGATCCAGAAAAGCTCATACCCCGACTTCTGTTGTTATCAGTTCGCGAGCTTCGCCATGCTTGGTGTCTGTACTCCGGGTTGCGCAGTATGACCCGCAATCTCGAGGACGCTGCTTGAGCTTTCTCCGCCCCCTTGCACTGTCATACCCAAAGCCCGTCGAGCGTACTCTTTCTTGCCGTTTGATACACTGTCGACTGGTGAGTGTGGTTCTGTTGGTTCTTGCAACCATGACACACTTGTGCAGCGGTTCACAAGTCTGACGGTGGTTTCGTCGACAGGTGCGAAGTGATTACCGCTCGATACCAGAAGATGCAGGAGGCGGAGTAGCTCATCGCGCTTGTAATGCGGCGGCCTGCTGATTTGACTGTGCAAGAGTATCGGATGGAGGACCCGTAGATATGTGTGGCGTAATGCATTTGCAGCAGCGGAGTCGTGGGGCAGATCTATAAGATTCCGCAAGATAACATCTACTAGTACGTGGAGATCATTTGTGTAAAAGTATTCTGCCGTAGAGGGGTTGCCGAAAAGAAGGTAAAGTACTTTGAGGATAAGAAGCTGAAGGGACGTCTCCGACTCCCGATTTAGAAGGAGAATCAAATTGCATCCGAAGGTCTTGTAGGTTAGGCCGTGGGTTGATATCGCTTTGATGACTCGGTTTGTTACTCCAGGACGCCCGTTACCGTGATGGCTGGTAGATGCTACCAGGTATTGCTCATTTAGAACCAACTATCACGGTATTAGCTTTGAAGATACCGGCCTCTTTCTATAAACTTACCAAGACACGTATGACGGGGTAGTGGTATGGGTCGTCGGCATCGTCAGAGGCGCCTTCTATTATCTCCAACAGGTAGATGATGAACACGTCGTTCACTGCCACTACATCAAGTATCAGCCAGTGCTCCAATGAACGAGACAAAAAGGATGCGTCAACATACTGAAGTCCTCGTAAGTTAATCGCTGAATGCGAGACGACTCATATAGAAGCTGAAGAAGCAATTGATGCAACGTCGTCTCCTCCTGTACACTTTGCATCTGTACCAACTCGACTAGTCTGGCAAAGGTGCCCTCAGAGTGCATCATCTCGAAGACCTCGTCATCTTTGCTATTGCGGCCGTCGTACAAGAGGAATGCGGCCACTATGTGGAGTGTGGGATTGTCTTCTTCCTGGTTCCCGGGTCAGCCTCGTACTCTCCCCGCAACCGTACCAACTCTAGCCTCATGGACATACTTGTAACAGACAATATATTATCTGCTTGCGCACATATTCCTTATTGGAGGCGAAGAGATCGCCCTCGAGCATGCGGAAGATACATTTCGCGATGCTGAAATCGGTCTGCAGGTATTCGGCTACTCGTGGTCAACGTTGCTCTCCGCAGTGCGTTCAGAGCGCGTACATCTGTAATTTGTCGTGACATTAAGAAAGGATCGTAGCGAGTTGTCAATTATTTCATGCTGGTGGCAGCGCGTGGATACGATATCGTCGAGTTCTGTTGCGGGCGGGTTAATCGAGGCTCTCTCTTGGTGGGGTTACAGACTCGCGCTCTTACCATCCCAGAACTGTTGCTCATTCTCGAGATGATACGACACCTCAAATGCCATGTCGTAGTCGCGGATCTCTTCTTACAATCATCCTCCCCAATAACGTAGGCTTCAAAAGGCTGTCGAGGAAGGCGCAGACTGTATGTTGGTGGTCAGTTGTTCGCATTGACTCGCCGGAGATTCACCGGCGTTAGCTAGTGCGTCACCGAGTCTATTTTGGGTGTAGCTGGTCACAGGTTTCAGAGGAGAGCAACCATCAAGACGTAGCTACGTGTCTTCTCGGATAACGTCGAAAGCAATTTCATGTTGGTGAGTGGGCTGGGACCGCTAAAGTTTGCGATGCGTACCAGTCTTATTGGTGGCTCTACTACGAATCGGAAGCCCTCTCCACTCGTACGACCACGGGAACAGTGCAAACAAGCTTGATCATCAAAACGTCGTCATCCTTGATTCTCTAGAATGAATCAATATGAGAGGAAAAGTGTTCACGGTCTCTAGAATTGGGAGAAGCGTAATTGGGTATCTGTCTGCGTTTTATCTCGTCCGAACATCTATTCTAAATCAAACCCTAAGATCGTATCTCATCTTCGCCAGCTACTATACTATACAAACTCACAAAGTGGGCGTGAATGATGAGACCTCTTTGCCTAAAACTTCACGCCCCACTTTGTTGCCAACGCCTTCCTCAGCTCATCTTCCCTCTTTCCCAGAACCGGCAAGCCCCTCTCCACACAGGCCCTTTGAATCTCCTCTTTACTAAGAGCTGCCCAACCACCATCTCTCTCGATCAGTCTTTGGTCTGTACTCAAGTAATCCATCTTTTTCTTTATGTTCCTCACAAGAAGCCGTTTTGGCGGCGTAAAGGGTACCCAATCGAACAGCGCGGGGTAGCAGTCCTGCTGTGCTGCGACAAGGGAGAGTTCATAAAGTGTCAATTCGTCCCAGGCTTTAGCGGATGGCGTCATGACTGTGCCTACTGTGTCATTCTTTGGTGGGTTAGAAGGCTCGTGACCTTGTGTAGACCCGACTGGTTGGCGATCCTTCAGCATGAGACGCGTGGCGTTGATACTAATTTTGTGCAGTCGATCTTGCCGCTTGTCTTCCATTTTTCTAAGGGAACGTTCGACCTGTTGTGGAATCCTACACGCCTCAGGAACCAGAGGTGTAATGTACATGACAATAAGCGGTAACCACTCTCCAAGAGCCAACACGAGAAGCCCGAAAGGCGGCAACCTCAGAATATCGGCTTTACTTCTCCTGACAACCTGCCATTCTGCTCTTGTCAAGACTTCGGTGATGTCCTTATTGGGTGACTGCGCAGCTTTCTTGCGCAGTGTCTTGGCAAGTTTGTACGTTTGTCGAACATGCGAAAGGCCTGTTTTGTAGAAAGTGACATATGCACGACCGGCACGCCATAGCCACTTGACAATATTCTGGTCTGGATTTCTTGCGGGAACGGTGATTTCAGGGGCGTAGGTAAAATGAGGTGGGTTGAGTCTTTCTGAGGCTCGTATAGTCGTTGCAGTAGTCGTTTTTGAGGCGGGTGAACGCGCAGGAACGAGGGAAGGAGTGGGTGCTTTTCGTGATGTAAGCTGGGAATTTGCGATATCTTTCTTCGTAGGCACGTTCGTCTTCTGTGTCTTGCCAGGTTGTACAGGTGGCATTGCGTTACCGTATCCTGTTCTCTTCGCTGGTGCTGCTGTTGATGAAGCATGACGCCTCATCTGCCCCATGGATATCCCCGCATGACAGTCACTGTATACAGTACTCCGTGACATGTCGTACCATATCTTACGGCTCAGTGCAGGCGCAATGGCCCGTATATGCACGCCTCGGTGACATTGTATATTTGTTAGGGTGATGCTCGAACGCGCGGGTATTATGAAGGTGGAGAACATTGGTCGTGGTTTCATTGTGGATGTGGGGAATAAGGCATAGAGCCCGGATGCTTGGTCGCGGGGTAATATTCGATCGTTGACTGGTCTTGGTCGTGACGCTCTCAATTCGCAAGATTCAAAATTGGGGCGAGATGATCCCTGTTCGTAGCGGAACACGATGACACGATGTCATCACACCTCGTGTCTGCGCTAACCGGATTGGTGGGCTAACGTAATCAATTGAGCAATTCTGCGTAAACTGTTGCACATAATTCCGTAATCCTGAGGTCCATATGTTGATTTCTAAAGTCCCGAATGGAACTGCCTTTCTAATTGGCGCCCACCGGTTGCGCCTTTGTCCTACTAAGCAATGCATAAACCCGGAATGGCTGTAGAAAGTCCCTACCAGCCACCAAAGGCAAATGAGAAACTCCAAGCCCATGTATAATCATAGCTTCAATGATGCGCCCCCAAACACCTCGCCAAACGCAGCAGTAAATAAGTGGGAAAACAAAAGACTACAGTAAACTCGGTTCAACAAAACAACAGTACAAGTATACAGAAGAACTGAAGATATGGGAAAAAGTGATCATAACCACAAGTAGGAGTGATTAGAAGTAAGGTTCCGGTCAAAAAATTGTCATAATGACACTCGGGTTACTGATGACGTGGGGATGGGTTGCGCGCTGTTGCCGCAATTGTGGTGGACAGGGAAGAAACACACGGGCCTTGAGCAGGGATTTTGCTACTTTCGGAGGACTCTGAGTAGAATGGCGCAGTCGGATTGATTGGGAGCTATAGAATGGCGATTGCATTTGTAGATGGGGCAATGCATGAGACAGAAGTTGCTGGTAGCAATGTCGGAGTTATGGGATGTTTGAAGAATCATGATTTGGGCCGTGTGGCAATGGCCTAATCAGCGCTGGTATTGGGCAAGCTGAGCCATGATCTCGCTCATGTCTGGCGCAGGTCCAGGTTGGTTTGGGGTCTGGACTGGCGGCGCGACTGGCTGACTCTGGTTTGCGAATAGGGAAGCAAGCGCGGGAAATTGGTTGCCTAGCTGTGCAAGATGTGGCTGATGTTGGGCAGCGAAACCTGGAGTTTGAGCAGGGCTAGGCACCTGGGCGAGCAATCGTGCAAGATCAGCATTCAGTCCTGGATTGGGCTGTGGTTGTGCGCTCTGAGGCATGTTATTGCCGGACATTGCACCGAGCAACTGCGACAGGCTAGCACCATCTAGAGATGCGATGAGGTTGGAGATGTTGGGCTGGCTGGTCGTCAGAGCTGGGAAGGGGTTGCTCGGCTGAGGAAAGTGCGGTGGCAGGTTCTGGCCGAAGGCGTATGAGGTTGAGGGTGGCAGGACGGGACGAGATTGGTTTTGTTTGGCATTGTTGACGAGAAGACCAGCTGTTGTGGGGTCCAGATCAGCGTATTCTACGATGCCGAATTAGTATACTTTCAACTGGTAGAGATGTTTACATACCGTTGAATTGGACATTGTTGGCACCTCCTCGACGGTCAAAGATCTGAACGCTGACTTTGCCCTTAGTCAACCCTGTAGTGTCCAACCTCACTATTGCTAAAACGCCTTCCAGGATCTGTCTTCGAACCACAGCTGGCTCAGGAAAGCGCCCACTGAGTATCAGAACATTACTCCGGAGCTGTTGTGTACGGAATGTATCTTCGACGTAGCGTATAAAGTCCCTAATATGACGTTAGTATTGGCTTGCATTCGACATATAATGGTTCGGGGAGAACGTACCGAGGCAAACCTTCGTTAAGTACAAGGATCTGGATATCAGGAACTTCATGTGGTAGTCGGCGACGGAGATCCAAACCATCCTCGGTGTAGTCGCGTCGCGGAGACGGGCTCCTATGCCTGCGGGGAGGTGTTCTTGACCTGCTGCGGTACCGTGTGTCGAACCTGTCGCGGCTCCGGTCGCGCGATCTGACGCCCCGAGGCAGTGCTCGCGGTGATGGCGATCGCATGGGCCGATAATCGTCCCGATCGCGAAAGCGCCGATCTCGGTCTCGAGGGGACATGGAATTAGGGTGGGCTCCGTAGCGACTGTCCCGGGGCGGTGGGCCTGTACCACCTCTGGTATAGTCGGGCGAACGTGATCGGCGTCTTGGAGGCGGGTTCTGTGGCTCGATCTTCTTGGTGTTTCGCTGAGGTTTGGATATCTCGAGATGCATTTTCCTGCCACGCACTGCCTGTCCTTGCTCGGCGTCCAATGCCCTTCGACATGATTCCGAGTCCAAGAACTGGACGAAGCCATATGCCTGCTTTATAGATATTTGCGCGAGTTGGCCGTGGCGATAAAATCGATGGAATATGTCACGCTTGGTGACCTTCTCGGTAGGGAGGTTGCCGATGAATAGACGGGAGCCCATGGGAAACTGGTCCCACTGGCCCTCGGTGACAAACCTCCGCTCCTGCTCCAAAAACTCCTCATATCTCCTGTTCACCTCTGGTGGCCACCGTTGGTCCTCATCATCAGGTGTCTCACTACGCTGGCCTGGCTGCTGCTGTTGCGCATGACTGGGCGGATTGTGGGCATTCGAAGGCTGTAGAGCGCCATTCCCCCGTTGCTGGGCACTAGGCGCTCTCTGATTTTGTGGGTGATAGGACGCGATGTCGTCGCTGGGATGATAGTTGGGATGTGTAGCGGGCTGGTCTTGAGTGGGCGGTCGAGGAGGCAGAGTGGTGGTCGACGGCAACGAGGCATTAGGAGCAGCATATTGACCCGTAGGCGCATTGTGTGCAGCAGGCGTCAGAGAATCCAACAAGGCTTGTACGTCAACATTGGTGGCAGCTTGGGCCGGCTGCGCAGCATAGGCATTGTCATGGGAGTATGGGTACGCAGAGTGAAGATTTTGAGCCGACGCCGGGGGAGCGTCAATGACAGCAGTGCGCGCGTGGTGGTGTTGTGCGAAATTCTGCATTGAAGAGGTATCATGCGCCTGCGTACCCATGGTGGTGCCAAAAGCAGATGAGTGATGGAAAGCGCCGCTAGCTTGCATGGCATCACCTCCCCCTTGCGCTGCTATATGCTGGTGCTGGTAGTTTTGTGTCGACGGCTGGTCGGCGAAGTACGGCGTGGTCGTCGTGGTCGCGTTCGCGTTGGACGGGTGCGACTGTTGCGAAAAGTGCGAGGCTGGAGTGGAAGCAGGACCGTTTGAGAGATTGAGATCATGATAGCTTGCATCCATGTGCTCAGCCAGAATGGGAATGTTGGCGGGCGAGGGGACGTTTTGCGGGCGCGGACTCTCTGGCGTCAGTGACTGGTGCCGTATGTGCTCAGCTTCTTGCGGCGGGCTCGAGTTGGGTCTCATGTAGACTGTAGAGCTGCGAGAAGCGAGCGCAGAGCTGGCAACGCTGGCGGAACACGACGGAGTGAGGGAGGTCAACGCAATAGCATCTACAAAACGCACCGTCGCGACAAGGGTAAGAGGGCTTGGGTGGAGCTACTAGTAGGAGAAGAAGCTGGAGGAGATGGGATGGCGGGGTTGGCAATACGTGCTATATGAGAATGGATGATCGGAGTTGGGTTAGAAGATGTGGCAGAGGCGCGCAACCGTCGAATTCTAGCAGGCCGCGTCCACAGGCACGGAAGCGATATGCAGGCCTGCAAAAGTGGTAAGAGCAAGAGGATTGGTGAAGACGGCGAGCTCAGGAAGAAGTTGTGCAGCAGACAGCAGACAGCAGACAGCAGTGACTGGACTCGGCCCTGTAGGCTCCGAAAGAGAGCCTGGAATCTCACTTTGGCTGGGACAAGCTTCGCACACGTGACATGGTTCTTGCTAGTGTTTCTCCTAGCCGCCGCAGACATGGGTGACACTGACTTTCGCGCACCTTCTGGCTCTAGTCTACACCTTTCACCGTTGCTGCATGATTTCATCTTGACAAAGTGCAGCGCACCAAATTTGCACCGCTAGTACTGTATTGATTGAATGCTGCTCGCTTTGCTGCGCACCCGCCTCCTGAGCCAGGCCCCGCTCGTGACCGCGAGGGGATCTGTGCCTGCAGTGCGACACACTCACTCATCATCGAGCAGCACCGGCGGCAGTGCAAGCGACGACGAGCTCCAAGCTGCACGCAAGTGGCTCGCGGAGCTGCATGCGGAGGCGATCCCTCTTCAGAGCATTGGCGAATTGAGCTTTAGCAGATCTTCCGGGCCCGGTGGTCAAAACGTAAATAAGTATGACCAACTTTGAACTACTCCTCTGCGTCAACGGCGCCGCTAAACCCAGTGTGCTCAAAGAGTCAATTCCAAAGCCACCCTCAAAGTGCCGCTGGACACCCTTCTGCGCCATGTGCCTGTCGCTCTCCACAGCGACATCCGACGTTCGCGCTATGTAGCTGCAAAATCAAACACCTTCATCGTCCAGGCCGACGATAGTCGCAAGCAGAGCGACAATGCACAGAGCTGCTACAAGCGTCTCTACCAGGCCATTGCCGAGGCGGCACAGCGCGCTGTGCCTTCCGAGACGTCTGCGGAGCAGGCACGGCGTGTCAAACTTTTGTACGTAGTACATACGAACTTTGCTCTCGCCCCGTCTCCGACGGCCCGAAAGCTGATAAGCCTGTCTAGACAGCAGTTTGATAACGAGCGCCGCTTGAAGCACAAGAAGCAGCAGAGCGCTAAGAAAACCTCGAGGCGAAGCCGGGGTGATGATTGAAGCGGTCTGCGGGGAAGCATGCCGTCTGTAGTATTGCTCGCCCGCACGCGCAGGTGACGTGGTTCGACAGTAGCACTCATCTCACGATAGAGCGAATATAGCCGCAGCGGTGTAGCTCATGGCCATAGCCCGATAAGAGATAGGACAGTACTTGATGCAGGGTATGCTTGGTATAATCTGTCCGCTGACCAGACGCCCCTTGAATCCTTCACCTTTCCGTCGCGGAGACAAATTTTTGCAGCCCTTCATTCGCAGCCCAGTATTTGATACCTGTCCGAGCCAGCATATCCGCCTCATGCTTCTTGCCCTGATTCCGTAATGATTCGACCACGCTAGCAATTTCATCACCGCTTCCTTCACCATGCTCCATTCCTCGCACGTGTTTCCGCAGGGCTGCACGCCATGCCTTGTGCAAGCCCGGATCGGCATCCGCAAGTAACCGATGTAGAGATAACAGATGGCGAACAGCGACTTCGGAGACCCTGGTCTTCTCATTGGGATGCTGCTGAACGGTAGCGCTTATCAGGTCCAAGGCCTGGCTTAATGCGGCGGCCAATTCTGCGCCGGTAGCGTTGCAGCCGAAAAGTTGCATGCGGAACCTGCAGATGTCTGTCTCGATAGCGTGCGGGTAATGCTCTTGTAGGTAATCAAGCACGTGCTGCAAAATATGGGGTATGCATGAGAGCTGTTCAAACTCGGCAAACATGTCGAAGAGTCTCTCGGCCATCCTGGGCTTGCCCTGGAACTGCTTCATGGCTGCATCAAAAATAGCCAGCGGAATAGCGCCTGTGAGGACTGGAGCAGAAGCCAGGTTCTGCAGCGCAACCTCATCTACACCGTCGTTTTGCTTCAAGCTAGGGTTCACGTCCTCTGCCGTCACCGTTGGAAGCCTAATCATATCCTCGTCGCCATCCTCATCCGTTTCTGCCTTTTTCGTACGGTCAACATCTAGACCAAGAATCTTCCTCCGGCCTGCAATCTTGCCAACGTAAATGGTCTCCAGTTTGGCGTATTCCACCCACATGGTTTCCGAGTTCTTGCAGAAGCGCAGGCCACGCTGCATGTAGCTTCGCGCATTCGTAATGTCCGCCTGGGTCTCCATGAAGTAATTTGCGGCGATGATCCAGATGTCTGGCTTGGTGGGGTGAAGGCGAGCGACGGAAGTGAAGATGTCGTTCAGCCTCTTGTATGCCTTGTCCTTGCGTGCAAAGTCGATATACTGCATCCATAGTGTGAGGTCGCCCGAGAATTTCCTCGTCGCGCGATTGTAGAGAAAATATATCGTCCGCTGTCCATGGCCCTTGTATCGAGCACCCAGGCGCTTTATGCGTTTGCGGCGGAGAGCGTCGACGTTTTTCTCGAATTCGATATATCGCATGTAGTCTTCAGGATGTGAACCGCGGGCATTGATTATATGCTCGAAATCGGAGCGCTTCTTTGCAATGGAGCTGATCTCTTCCTAGACGGCCTGGTCAGTATTGACGCTGTTGCGCCAAGTGTCTGCTGCGCTTACTCGTGTGAAGATTTTCTTGCGCTCAAGCTCGTTCAGCTCCGTCGCCGACTGCTCAAGGTAGAAGCGCGCCTTGTCACTTGGGCCGGCCATGTTTGCTGTGTGTGGTTGCTGGGGAAGTTGTAGACAGGAATCAGAAAAGTTGTCCGCCCCAGAAAAGTTGTTCGCCTAAGTTCCCAGGTTCATGATCCTGCTCATAGCGTCTTGGCCTACGGAGCGCGATCCCTGGCCTTACGCAACAACTTCAGGAGGCTTCCGCGTTTGGACAACTGGTCTTCCATTCTCCACGCTCTTTTGCTTTTTTCTCTTTCCCAATGTACGAAGATTGCTGAGGGACGACTCAATTGCTTCAACATGGTCAAAGATAAGGACGGTGACACGATCGCAACGGTACGCGCAGCTAGCCGTCACCCCCGAGAGCTCCGCATGCTCACAAGATGTAGTTCAATGGAAGATGGATAGCCTATTCGCATACCGCAATGGCCTACTGTATGTCAAGATATCAAGCTGCAATATCACCAAGCTTATTGTAACTGCAGGTGCCTTTGTTGGAGCCCTAGTCGTCGGAATGTACGCGCATTACTGTCTGATCCTACCCCACGGCGCGACTAAACATGCATAGAGGTCTTCATTACCATAAGATTGTAGAAAATGAGTTTTATGTTAGTACCCGTACTTATCAGACGGACGAATAGAACTGACGATGAATGCAGGGCTACCCGGATGAGTGGTTCCCCTCTGTGTCGGCGACCATTGGCGACCGCTATCCCGAACGTTCCGTCTTCATGCTCTTCATTGCCCTTACATCTGGTACGCGACATACAATGACTGATGGAGAACCATACTAAGCCACGCAGGCCCTCGATTCGCATTGGTCGGCCTTTGGTATGCCCTGACCCGTCGTCCGAACTCGTCTCTTCCCAAGTTTGTCGCTGGTGTTGGTATCTTTCGGACTTTGACCTGCGGAGGATGGACATACGTGACCTCTACCGATGATCACGACTGGCATGATATTTTCATGATATCCTACCTAGTTGCCACACTACCATGGACCATTGGCTGCATTGCTCTGAGTCCCAAGAACCCCACTGCACTCAAGTACCGCAAGACTCTTGCTGGCAGTTTCTTTGGCACACTCGTGCCATTGATATACTTTTTCATTCAGCACAAGGTACACCGTGTTGCAGGAGGTACGTCTGATCACGTCTTGTGGATTATACATGCTAAAAAATGCAGCCTACACCATCTACGCTTTCTTCGAATGGGCACTGGTCTTGCTCGACGTAGGCTTTGATGCCATCACCATGTTCGAGTTCCAACACCTCGAGGTGGTTGTAAAAGATGTACGAGGTGTATCTCGCGTGTACGTTCCACGACTTCCGAAATAGATAGACACCCCACCACAAATCTATAATATTACGACCACTCTCTGATCCTCTCTTCTTGTAGTGCGGGCTCCAAGCCAACGTCCGACGCCGTCCTAGAGTAAGTGCTCGATTCTAGGCAATCAAGCGAGGCTCTGACCCCCTACTAGGAAGAACAAGGAGATGAGCGCTACCTTTTCCGGTGCATTTTCTTGGTTTGGACTTATCTATACGGCTGCAGATGTGTACAACGGAGTGAGTTGGACCGACACCCGTGATATACAGTCCTAACAATCGCAGTTTGTATTTTGGTCCATGTTGACATCACTCGGCGTATGCGTCTGGTGTACGTTTTCTGCTCATACTATGGAGGACCCGTGCTGACCATATGCAGACTTCCCTCTCTGGCACATGGGCATTTCCGGTTATGAAGCCCTGGTCATGTGTACCGTCTCTCCGTTTTTCCTCGGCATCAAGCCTGTCCGCTTCCTTGCTACTCGCTACCCATGGTTCTTCCACCTGCTATCGCTTTCTGGTCTTCTCGCTTTCCTCGCAAAGACACCTGTCAACCGTCTCTTCGCCGTTGGATTCGGTCTATCCATGTCCTGCCTTGCATGGTCTGCCACTTTCTTCGCAGAACGGTCACAGCCGCACCGTCTTGAGGCTCGCATCTCGGCTTTCTCTATTGGTCTAATAGCCTCTAGCATTGCAAAGTTCGCGTTCTGGACAAACAATCCCATTTGGCCGATTATGCACGAGCCAAACGGTGGATGGAACAAGACTGGTGTTGTATTGGCTGTGATTGCCATGCTCATATCTACAAGGTCAACTGCTGGCGCTGGGTCTGATATCCCGGCTCAAGGCCCTACCAAGGGATCCTCCATCTTTGCAAGCTTCGGTCTTGCCGGTGTACTCTTCTCCATGCACTCGCTACTCTCGGATTCAAGCACCATGATCTCTTGGGTCTGGGAGGGCTACCCAGTTCGTGGACCGCTGGCCGTTCCTCATGGTAGTGTGACGTTGATGGCCATGGGCTTGGGCGTGATGATTGGAATGTTCGCACCAAACCTTTCGCGGTCGTGGGCTTTCTACGGCGTAGGATCGATTGGCGCTGCCGTTTTGACAACGACGAGCCACTGGACTGGATACTATGGCGCCCTCGTAATAGCTGTCTACACCATGGCAGCAGCACCTGTCCTTATAAGCCACGCAGCCCGCCATGCACCAGGTCGAACATTCGGTCTTGCTTTCTTGGTCTACAACTTTACGGTGCTCTTCCACGTCTGGGTCGTAGCCTATGCCTTCGTTCCCGGTGGTCCTCTTGTTCGCGAACGCACAGACTGGGTCATGACGAGCATGATGCTTCAGATTGGTGCTGGTATCTTCAGCGTCTCCGCCCAACCACCAGTACTCAAGAGCTACAAGGGTAAAGCCGTTGTCACTGCAGCTGCTAACAGACAGCGTTCCTACTATCTCTATATCCTCAGCGCTCTGGAGCTTGTTGCTATCGCCGTAGCATACCTACGCTTCCCATCGTACGACTACAAACCCTACCACCCCGAAACCAAATCCATCACAGCTGGTATCTGGACGATTCACTTCTCTCTCGACAACGACATGTGGTCATCCGAGCACCGCATGCGTGATCTGATCAAGGAACTGGAAGTCGACGTCATTGGGTTGCTAGAAAGCGACCTCCAGCGTATCATCATGGGCAACCGCGACACAACCCAATTCCTCGCCGAGGATCTAGGCATGTACGTCGACTACGGCCCAGGTCCCAACAAGCACACATGGGGCTCGGCTCTGCTTTCCAAGTTCCCCATTGTAAACAGCACACACCACCTCCTCCCCTCTCCCGTTGGCGAGCTAGCCCCTGCCATTGAAGCCACCATTGACGCCTACGGTGAAATGATCGACATCTTTGTCTTCCACTCGGGCCAAGAAGAGGACCCAGAGGACCGTCGCTTGCAGTCGGAGTATCTAGCCGAACGCATGAAGGCCACGCCTCGCCCTGCCATTCTTCTCTCCTACCTCGTCATCAAGCCCGGCGAGGGCAACTACAACACTTATGTTGGTGAGAAGAGCGGAATGAAGGATATCGACCCTACGGATTGGGATAGGTGGTGCGAATACATTCTCTACAAGGGATTGAAGAGGAGTGGATACGCCAGGGTATCGAGACATACTATTACAGATACAGAGTTGCAGGTACGTCGTCATGATCCCCTATTCAACATTTCCTCGGGTATATACTAATAAAAATACTAGGTCGGCAAGTTCGTTGTTGGCGAACCAGAGAATGGGAATGATATGGTGCATGAGAATCAGGTTCCTCCTGGTCTTAGGTTCCCTGATTTGTTCAAGGGTCAGGGTGTTCGGGGACACAGGTACCATGTCTTCGACGAACCTAGGTACTATGCTTGATTGAGTGGATGGGAGAAGAGGTTTGAAGAAAAAGAGGATTGCTGATAAAACTGTTGGTAGTGGATGGAAAGTTCGAGTGTAGATTATATAAATATGTCGAATTGTCAATTTTCTTGCATTTGATACCACGTCTATTCTCCTCCCGGGGGACACACAAAATACACTTTGTTTGAGTATTGATTCATGAACAATACAGATTCACATCTTCTATATCAAAAAAGCAGCCGCCTTTTTGCGCTGTAGCGAGCTCTTCTTTTGCTTTGTGGAAAAAGAGCCATGAATAAGACGCCAGTCCCGATGCAAATAAATGCGTGAGCCCCCTTTCCCGCCTTTCCCACGCCGACCGTGTAAAGCCCAAAAAGCGCAGAAGCCATACTTTTTCCCGCTCATGTCCATCCCTCATCATCCATCGTGTGTGTGTGTGAATATAAAACCTCCCCAGAAGCGGCAGATTTATACGCCTCTTCACTCAGCGCGCCCAAAAGACGTAAACTTCCTACGCTCATTTCGCGACGGCAGCACTCAAGACCTGAGTCCTGAAGAAGCCGCCCTTTGTCCGCTCGATGACTTGTTGGTAGACGGATTGTGGTGGGTGGTTCATAACGACTGTGCCGGCTTGGTAATCGATCTTTGCGTCTACGCGTGTGTCGCGGATGAGGTTAACAATCCACTTCTCACCCTCGTCTTGCGAGAGGCCGAGGCGGGTGGAGAGATCCCTGGTTAACAATGTCAGTACTGCAATATGTTATGTCTCGTCTGGCAATGACTCACTTGATGTCGATCCTCTGGTGGATCTTGCAGTAGCTCTCCGAGATGAGATGTCTCGCGGCGTCGACGAATTGGTCTGCTGCACCCAACAAGAAGAAGTCGTTCTTGAGAATTTCCTCTGTTTCGCTGAGCTTCTTCTGTGCCTCCTCAAAGTCAAAGTCGATGTACAGGGCCTTGATGAAGTCGGTGACTGGGTCGCTGTACTCGTAGCCCTCTTGCCGTACAATCCTGATCAGGTCCTTGAGCTGCTTCTGGTACTGGTTCGAGTTCCTGCCACGGTTGCGGGCGGTGATGACGGCGGCGGCCAGGTAGCGCAGGATCCATGGGCAGTTTGTCTGGATGGTGTTGATGTAGGCGGGCGAGAAGAACATGTCGGTGAGGGCTTCGCGCGAGGTTTCGTGGTTGAAAAGGGGGAACAGCGACCAGTGGATCAACCAGGTGCGGTGCTGGAGTTGTGCGAGTGGGTTGTTGAAGAGGCGTGTGTCGATGATCTCCTTGAGCTTGTTGATCTCCTCTATGGCGGAATCCCAGTTGACGGAAAGGATCTCGCAGGCGAGCTTTCCCCAGGTGGCTTCGCGCTCCTTGTCACCGTCTGTGGTCTGTACGGGCATGTTAGCGACCTGAATTCCAACACTGCTATTCTCTCGAGACACATACAAGAACCCTGAAACGATAGAGCAGCTCAGCAGCATGTGGGTAGACACCACATGAGTACTGGAACTGACCAAACTCCAACAATTGGTTGACCATCTCCATCTCGACGCCATGGCTCTCCTTCAAGTAAGCCAAGTTCTGCTGCTTGTCACTCCTAAGGTTCGTAACAACATTCTCGTCGTCGAGCAGTCCGCTGATCTTGCTAGTGGCCTCCTCAAGCTGGTCGCGCTTTTGCAGTACAGCCTCGCGCTTCTGCTTGAACTCGTCAGACATGTCGTCGAGTCCGTGGACTTCCTGGTGTAGCTGTCCGACGAAATCCGTCATGTTTGTGGGCTTGAGGAGTTCGAGAAGGAGTTTCTTCTGCTCCGGGGTCTGGTCGGCTTCTTCATCGCTGGAGAAGTTGAGGAGCGGGTAGACGAGGTGACGGTCGAGGTTGGGCATAAGCTTGGGGAGGAGCGAGTATTGCTCGGCGATGTTTGTCGCAGCGTCGGCCATGTTGGGTATTTGTCGCAGAGTTTCCGTCGCAGCTGCGGGGTGTGGGTGCAACAAAGGCGGCGTGGTGGGTGAGGATGGCAGGCCGGGCGCGAAATTCGTTGTCGGCGACGGCCGTGGTGGGGTTGGTGAATGAAAAACGACTGTGCGCAAGCGAGGACCCCTGTACGCTAAACTTCTGGTGTTGAGCCGCAAACCATTGCAGCAGCGGGCATCCTCGTTGTCTGCATCGCGATTCTATAAACGTCGTGTCTGCTGTTTAGGACGTTTGCTGGCTTCTTTTTGTATCGCAATGACTCGGTTACAGTCTGTGGTCCCTCTGTTGAGGCCATTGGCCACTCCAAGAGCAGTCGCATGTTGCCATCACTTCCGATTCTCGACGGTAACATCACGGCAAAGTAGAGGTAATCTAGTGCCATTTGACATGTTACGTATAGTGATTGACGTACTTTAGAATTCCCACCAAATGTCAATTCTGTCAAGCAGTCCTCTCTCCCACCAAATGCATCGCCCAGACAGCCACGGACGCCGCGAGAAGCCCAGCGGGCCGCCGACCTAGCAGCAGCAGAATCCCTCACCGAAGGCGACAGCGCGCAGTCCCCAGAGCAAAAGCACATACTACCCTCCAAACACCCTCGCGCCGACAACAAACCAAACAAGCGTTCATCGCAAGACAAGCCAGCACAGGCCGACAACGTTACACCTAGACCCTTGGACGCGTTCGACAAAGTAGCCGATACAACCCAACAGCGGAAGAAAAGTCTACCCAAAAGACAAAATATATCACAGACATCCGAGCTGGTCCTACCACCGCCCGCATACCATATATCGAGATCAATCAACAAGCACCTGCCAGTCTACACAGACACAAAGCGCGGCGGCAACCTGCGCTTGACCATCATACGGAAGGTCGCGGGCGATCTGGTCGCACTGAGGGACGAGGTGAAGGATTTCTTAGGTAACAAAGGCGAAGAGGTTACGATTAATCACTTGACGAGTCACGTCCAGATCAAGGGTCATTGCAAGAGGGAGGTTGAAGAATTTCTAACCGCAAGGGGTTTTTAGAAACAATGGAGAGAGGGAGAAATCATGGCTGAATAGGTGTAGCATAACGTGTATCATATGGAATGACGCTAGCATGCATGCGTGGGAGTTTGTGTGCTTTTCATGACATGAATTCTACCGACATATTTCCTGCTGTTTTTGATGACGTTGGAGTTGTAAAACTACTTTGGTCTTTGTGTATACGACATGGGAAACATTATGGAACAGGCCAGCCACGTACGTCAGATGGATCTAGATGTTACGAACGCGTTGTTTCGTCCACTGATCAAACCACCCAAATCGCAACGTGGAAATCTCACGAAAGTTCAATCATCAGATCGATTGATGTCAAGAGTCTATTCGTGGTCAGCACAGAAAATTCCATGACATCAATTGGTGAATATCAGTGATGCCGTCCCGGGTGCACATGATCCCATCGTCCAGCATCATGATTACATTGGCATAAGTATTACCACAGTTGTGGAGCCACGGTCTGTGTTGTGAACTTGTCTAGTTTGCTGGTTCTAACGTCCTTTAGAGTTTGGACGAGCATAGGTGCAGGGGATGCATTGACTACCACACACTCGAGTGGGTGGGAAATCTTGATTGTTGTGGTTTAAAAATATCTCGTTTACGGGTTGAGATAGAGTGGGTGGCATGAGATCACGATATGATCAAACCTGTGATCATAGGCATCAAATTTGGTCGGCTCAGGCGCGCAGGTGTGGTCCAGACCATGCCCTGATTGAGTGTCGTGGATGGGACGACGGGAAAGCCAAATGAAAAGTGCAGAAAGTAGGTGGTCTCTGTTTGCAGGGCCAGGAGTACTACTACCCAGCCAATATATAGTCGAACACGTTCTAGGTATGGCAACCGAGCTTACAGTCAGCTCGCACCCATATATACCTGTCCCCCTGGCTCTACTGCGAAGCGTGAGCGCTGCTAGTATGATGTTTTCAATGACTCGACCGACACCCCACTGAGTAACACAGGTACGTACCTCCCACGGACAAGTTAACGCGCTGCCTAGACACCCATCATAGAAATATACGGTCCAGTTTTGCTGGAACATGCGACCTTTGTCTTGCTAGAGCTTACCTACACATTATAGACGCTCTCGATCTCTACTTACTTGGGCAGCCCTCTTCGTGCATGGATGGCATGGACTGACGTTGACTTTACCTACATTTATCTTATCACAGACCTACCTCCTGGAGCTCTTCCGACGCCCCGGAACCTGGTACAAGCAGTGCGGAGGAAGCAGCCGCTGGGTAGTACTTACCCAGGTAGCGCCTGGCAGCGACCGGCCAAAGACATTTGGTCTACAGTCTCCGCGGAGCAAACATTTGTTTGACCAATTTCGCTTGGCATTCCCTGCTATAGTTTGTCGTATTCCGAGTGTTGAATGTGACATTTTCGGTATCAATACGCGGATCGGTCGATGGTGCAAGGCCGGTTGAATGCGGAATACCGTTGTTGTCGATGTGCTTTCGCTTAAAGCCGATCTGACAGAGAGAATCCGATCCCACTGCACCGGTGTGTGTAGTCGTCTTTCCGTGTCATCGGGGTGCTGCAAGGACTTGACGTAGACGTGTAACGTAATCGAGCCTCGACTAGGTATGTCTTCCTCTGCTCTTCCTACCGTGTCCCTCAGCAACTTTTTCCGTTTATCGTATCCGCGAGAGTTTGCCGGTCATGGTCGACGACATGCAAGTGACAAAGGCGATGTATGCGGCCTGGAGTATGGGGCAGATTATCGGTACGTGGCAAAGCACGCCTTGGGATGGAAACCCATCGTGGTATAGGTCATTCCTGACACTGTCGACAGTACGATTGTGAGCAATTTGTCATTACAGCTCCCATCCTTTTCCATTTGTTCCTTGTCTCGTTCTACATTCGAGGTCCCGATCAACACCCGGCGGGATTACTCCAACGCCCCTGGCCATCACATTGTCCATGAGAGCGTAGAGACATTCAACGGAACGAGTGCATTATGCAAGCGCGTAAAAGAGGCTGGGGATTGATATACGTTGTTGAAAGAGCTCGGAGGTGAGCGACTAGGCGGACCCAAATTGCCATGGGACACATCTCGAATTGACCGTCGAGCGGACGTTCCTGCGAAGAGCTGCAGCCACCCGTGCATGATGCGAGTAGATGTTGGAGTCCGGATGCAACACGTATTCGGTCAGCTACGGCCCGATACGGATATACTGGCGCCCGCTACTGCTGTGAAGGATACGGAGATGGTCTGCGCGCTCGACTCATCCCTTAGCTATGAGGAACCGCTCGTCTACGGCGGCGCTGCTCGGAAACCATGGGCATCGATGAGTGGAGATCCGACTACGGGGGCTAGCGGGCTGAGGATACAAAAAGTATCGGCTATGGAGAGACTGTGAGTAGCGATGGTGTTTATAAGCGCCATGGGTGGACGACGACATATCAAGTACAGTAGGTATCGACGATAAACGGGTGACGACGGAGCGAAACCCACGTACACAGATCATGATCTGAGCACCTCTTGGCAATGGAATTCCAGGGACGTAGGCAAGGTTGTCAGTAATCAATATCTCATCAATATTGTTGTTTGATTTGTTTGATTCGGAGCCAACCAACTAACCAACAGTTAGCCACTGTATTTCTGTCAATCAATCAACCAATCTTGAGAACAAAATGTTGATAGGATTGGTGTTGTTTGATAGTAAGCGAGGGAGGGGGATACCTAGGTGAGGCCTCTGGGATAGCTGCTCAACGACGAATTCTTAGTGTTGGATCTTGCTTACTAAGCCTACTCGCGTGTAAGTTATATGACCTAGGTTCCATCCCATCTCTCACTCACTCCAGGCTAGTACGTACGAGGCTTAGCGCCCACAACGCTAGCTGGCAGAGACATAGATCTCAATTCCTGTAGCACAATACACAACACGATTCACACATGTTCTATTCCTAGTGCTACTGACATCAGGCTTATAACATTTAACAACACCTTACTTTCTCGCGGCTCCGGCTTACTTTTAGCCTTATCCATGCCCTCTATACCAGCAAAACGCAAGCCCGAGGCTGCCGAAGAAGCTGATACTCCCTTCAAGCGAGCACAACGTACGCGCAAACCTACGCTCAAAGCGCTGTTGGGTGACGGCAGCCAGCCAACCCAGCCGATAGAGCTGCCAGAAAGTACGCCGGATCCGCCTACAGAGCCGCCTACACAAGTTATCGAGCCGCCCACACGGGCTATTGAACCGCCATGTAAGCCTGTACAACAACCCGAGGAGCGCCCTCGGCGGGCATCACCACTGCCTATTTTGGCTGCCTCACAAGCCTCTCGGCTCACTGATGAGCCAGCCTGGGAGTCGCAGTTAATGTTTGATAAGCCAGAGGACTCTATTGTACAGCCTTTAGCTTTCTCTAGCGCTGCCACTGAGGCTTCGGTGGAGGAGGATAGCGCTGTGAGCGTCGATTTTCGCGACTTTGAGGGCGTCGATTGGTCGCGATTAAAGGGGTTTGTCGCGCCGCTGAGCACTCCACGAGGCAAGGCAAGCTGGATTTTTCAACACGGCTGGCGTGTCTGGAAGGAGGGTACTCACCACCCAGATGAGTTGTACTTTGTGTGCAAGTACTGTCATATTCATAAGCTACCTAATGGTGTACACCGAGTAACGAAGTCAACCACTGCCGCCAACGGGCACCTCCAGCTTGATAAACCTGGTCATCGGCTCAGCAAAGATGGTCCAATCCTAAGCAAACCTCTCCGCAAACATGGACAACAATCACTTCGTCAGGCAGCTCTAAGCGGTGTCAAATTTAGTCTAGAGGCGTACAAGACTATAGGAAACTTCGACGTACAAGAATTTCGGCAGGCAGCTGCGCTCTGGCTGGTCGACAACAACAGACCACTCCGCGAGTTTGAGACGCCGGCTTTTCGCAAGATGATCAGGCTTGCTAATCCTGAGGCAGAGGCGGCGTTATGGAGGTCTCATAACAGCGTGTCAGCGTTCGTGATGAGGTTGTACAGTTGGCTACGGCCTCAGGTGGTGCGCGCGTTGGCTGAAGCCGAGAGCAAGGTACATATAAGCTTCGATGGGTGGACGACAAAAGGCGGCAAACGTGGCTTCTTTTCTGTAGTTGCTCACTACGCCAACAGTAAGGGCGCGATAGTTGACCTACCCATCGCGCTGCCGCAGCTGGTGGGTGCCCACACTGGTGAGGCGATAGCTGACGCTGTAACCAAAATCCTGCAATCCTTCAGCATTAATCGCAGCAAACTCGGCTACTTTGTGCTCGATAACGCTTACAATAACGACACCGCTGTTAACAAACTCGCCGCGATGTACCACTTTTCTGCCTCCGATCGCCGCCTCCGCTGCGCTTGCCACATACTTAACCTTGTTGGCCAAACGATTATGTTCGGGAGGGATGCTGACGCGTATAACAACGCCCTGGAGAACACAAAGATGGAGGATTTTTACATGAAGGAGTGGCGGAAAGAAGGACCGCTTGGCGTGTATCTTGATATTATCAACTACATCAACACGCCGAAGCAGTGGAGTATTTTTGAAGATTGCCAACGCGAGGCAGTTAACAGCATGCCCACAGGCGCCAGCGGCGGCACTCGCGAGCCAATTAAGCCGTGTGTTACACGTTGGAACAGCTATTACGACTGCTTTAAGCGCGGAGTTCAGCTCCAACAAGCTATCAACGCATACGCCACGTACCACATTCGCGAGACTGAACAGGCTGACGAACAGGCAGCTATTAGAGGAAACAAGCTGCCTGATGTGCCGCGGTGGATGAGGTCAGACGGCCTTACGGCGGCTGACTGGGCGGTGATTACTGAGTACATGGCGATACTGCAGCCGCTCAAGTTTGCTACAGATCGCCTCCAAGGCCGCGGCAAGTGTGGCCGTTTTGGCGCACTCTACGAGGTCATCCCAGTATTTGAGAGTGTGATAACTGAGCTGGATGCACGCCTTCGGCCATACGAATCGGTCAACCACGAGCCATCTGAGGCGCCCGAAGATCACATCCCGATCAACCTGCGAGCCGCGAGGCGAAAAGCGAGCAATTACTTTACTAAGATCCTCCAAAGTCCCATTTACTACGCAGCTACGGCACTACATCCACGATATAAAACATACTCTAAGCGCTTCTGGCGCGACAAACCTACACAATTGAGCACCGCGCACGCGAAGTTTCTGCGGGTTTGGGCTGCCTACAAGCCTGCCGCTGCTGCCACAACACCAACCCCTGCGCCAAAACCTACCATGAGCAGCTTTGACGACGCTATCGACGCTATACTAGATGAGGACGGCGAGCATACATTGGAGGTGGAGGATGAGTACGATAGCTGGTTAAAAGAGCCTATGTGGACGTCTGATCAACACAAGGAGGGTCCAACAGCTGTACAGTACTGGTTATCGTTGAAGCCGAAGTATCCACATCTTTCACGATTGGCGATCGACGTGTTGACTATACCCGCCTCCAGCTCTGATTGTGAGCGCGTTTTTGCGGGAACTGGCGATATAATTGAGCCACAAAGGCGGAAAATTGGCGCGCAGTTACTGGCTGCTTTGGTGTGCTTGCAACGGTGGACTCGTGCAGGTTTTACAACACCAAGCACGACAACAGCAGCAAAGCATACTGATGAGGAGCTCACGGAAGAGTTTGCGATAGGAACGTGGGAAGAGCCGCCTGCAGAATTGTCATAGAAACGTCCCTTCAGAACCTTAAGTCTATCAATATTCAATCAATCAACCAACCAAAAATTGGCTCTTCAGTCTCATCAACTCAAACAAACAAACTGTAGCCCTAAGAAATGAGCCAGTCAATCAACATCTACGCCTCAAATGTTGGTTGTTTTGTTTGTTGACTTCTCTGGACGTAGGTCATCCTTACGTCTCTATACCAAAGGGCGACCTGCTTTGGCAATAGTCACATTCCATTTCATGGCTTCATATACATGTCGGCAGAGCACGGCCAGAGCGAATAGGACGTCCGTATTGGCTTTGTTCCTCTTGGAGAGATCAAGTTATAGTCATGTTGTTTTCTCGATACGAATTAGTCTATTCGGACTAGAAGGACTTCCGGCCTTTTGTTGGTGTATTTCACCGACGCGTCTGGTGGAACTCTGGAACGGGAGCACGGGATCATTTAGGCGAACTAGCCCGGCGCACACAGCCTGGAAGTAAAGCACGTAGCGTGCATCTGGTATCCACCTTGGTCAGAGAATTGGAGCCGTTTAGGATCCGAGCGTCTGGCTCTCTGTCAGCTGTGACTGGCTACGGGATCTTTTTCCGTGGCCACCTTCACCTAGCAAGGATGACCGAGCTCAAGCGGGTAAATGACACCGTTAAGGAGCACCCGCACCTGATAGCATCAATCGTGGCCAGCATGGACATTGCAGATTGCTGTCTACACAGTACGTATGGCCTAACCGCCGACAAGGTTACGTTGCACCTCGATCGAGAGCTGCCCCACGGACGTGCCGTGCATCAAAACGTCGTCAACTGCAGTAAGTTATAGGTTCAGCTTCCTTTCAGCACGTCAGTGGTAGGGGCACAAAGTCTGGCAAATGACTAATGCTATCAAGATCATACTAAGAAGACTACCAGACGTCGAATCGGTAGAAATCTTGGATCTCTAGCTCACACCTGCCTCGGTTCCAAAAGTCCTGTTGATGCGCTCTTTGGCCTCTATCAAGATAATCAAAAGGCATTGCCAAACCAAATGCCACTTGTTTGGTAGTCTCCACGCGCAGAAAGAAGAAGCAGGCGAACCGGTAGCTGGCCCTAAGACGAGAAGTACGTGGTCGTGGTATGATTAGCCACCCCTTCTCGATTCGTGACGGCCGCTATCACCGGGCGAAACCATCTCGAGGCGAATGGTTCAGTCCATCTCACTTACAGCGCGAATAGGCACAATTCGATTCGAATTTTAGTTCGAATCCTCACGCATGGGGTGAATTCCGGGATCCAAACTCAAAGGGCTTCGCATGTGCTGACATGATACAGTAAATTCCGCTCTCGGAGCGGCTGGTGAGTGGATCCATCCAGGTTGTGACGACAAAAATCGGCTGATATGTACATAGCCTTACATGTCGAGTGCGGCGCGTCAAGTGTGCGTATCGATACTTACCTATCTTGGTCCTCCCTTCCACACTGACATTCGAGCCAGGTGACGAAACTCGCCCCGTATGCAAGGCCTGTGGCAAGAAGAACCGCCCTTGCCAATGGGAAGAGCCCCATACCAAGTTCAAGGATTACCGGCCTGATGGACCCTCATCGATTAAATCTGCCACGGGCGGCACCGACGAGGAAAACGATGCCAAGGGAGACGTGATGGATGTGGATGATGTCAATAGTGTCGAGAGAGGACATGACATGGTTCGTGCCGAACGTGCGAGCGAGGGAGGCCGCAGCCGGGACAATTCACCGAGAATACGGAAAAACAGTCGGGCCGACGGTTTGTCAGAAGGCCAGGCCAGCGTCTCTTCCCCGTCGGCGACGCTGTCGCCGCCTTCGCCCTACTATGTCCAAAGACCAAAGAGTACGTCGGGTGGTGTGTCGGTGGCTAGTTTGCTGCAGTCGCACAACCCGGAAGGCTTACCAGAGAGTTCGCTGCCGTCGCATAGCCGGGGGAGCATGCAGCACGAGGCACACTCGCGTCCCTCTGAAAGCACACATAGACCAGATGCCATGCCAGAGGGCACGAGAGCTTACTCGTCACAGCCCACTCCTCTGACCCATGCAGAGGCCCTGCTAGTACATCACTACACGGAGCATCTTGGCCGCTGGCTTGACTGCACCGACGCAACCCGTCAGTTCACACTGGGAGTGCCGGAAAAGGTCAAACACTGCCCAGTACTATGCCATGCTGTCCTTTCTTTTGCTGCCCGTCACTGCAGGGAGGGCACGACGGCGGAAGCAGCGTATGAGCGCTGCATAGCCCTGCTCATTGAACGACTTAACGAAGACGCCGCTAGCCAGGACGAGACTCTTTTATGCGCCATCGTCATATTACGCTTCTTCGAACAGCTCAATGGTAAATTTCTATCCGCTTTATTCTGTGGTTCGCTAATCTGACCCCTAATTCTAGTCCCGTCCAGCACTGGGTCAGATGATGAACAACACCTTGCAGGCTGCTCAGCAATCATCCGTTCCTCTCAGGGACATCATTTTGTAGATCCCTCGGCACCCACTTTGCGCGAGGCTGCTTTCTGGGTCTATGTCCGCCAATGCCTTTATAATGCTACCATTAACCAGCAGCCTCCTGACATTGACTTCTCACTGAAGTTGCACCCAAGCCCAGGCCAAATGCGCGATGCGCATCCATTGGCCCGTTTAAGGTTAGAGACGGCGTGGGCCAACCAGATGACATGGAATCTTGCCCGTGTCGTCAATTTTTGCTTTGATGGCAACGAATATCCGAACGAGAGAGCTCATAGACCGCAACGATGGCAAGAACTATGGGACCTTGTTCAGAAATGGTTACAAGATAGGCCACAAGGGTTCAATGCCATTTTCGAAGGCCCTGTTGACAATCAGTCCTCCTTTCCCGACATATGGTTTACGGCCGACTGGCATGGTAAAAAAAATCAAAAAACATGTGATTTCAATCCAGAACTAACAGTGCTATTAGTCGTCTCATTTGGCTTTTACAACTTCGCTTGTATCATGCTGTTACGTTACAAACCGGGCCCGAAGTTCGCCATCCGGAATGTCAGCAGTTTATCGCCGACCGACGTAAGAACTCCAGCTTTGGTGCCTCCCTCCTGGAACAAGAATTAACTCAGGCAGCATCAAATTTTATCACATGCACGAGCCATATGTGGAGCCAGCAAAAGCTCACCGGAGACTGTGCCCCTGGCGATCACCGTCTGTCATACCATCTTCATCTGGGGACCGCTTGTTTTGGACCCGAAAGAGAGGGGTCAAGTGGTTGAGATTCTCACCAACTTTGAGAAGAACCACGTCTGGCCAACAACCTGGATCATCAACGCAGTCAAAGATGAATGGGGTGTGTCAGCCACTCCGGCTTCACCAACTTAGCAATATACAATGAAAACTTCCGTCTGAGACAAAATTTCCGCAGAGAGCTTAATTTGGTGTACTAGCCAGAAATTCCAACACTTTGAGGATGTATCGATCTACCAAAAACGGGCCGATCCACGGTGATGTGGTGTAGCACAAGCCAAAGCAAAGCTACAAATATCAGTAGACAAGTATATCTCATCCTGCCGATCTCACAATATCGAAATTCGGTCATTTGTAGCTCTAGTGTAAGACTTGATGCGATACGAGTTCGATGTATCAATGGACGAAGTCACAGGTACTCACCTGAAGAAATGATGGTGTACGTGCTTGGTACCTCGAACAAATGTAAGTGTTCCATGGCATTCAAGGTATATGAAATACAGTTATTATTCCCATACCGGATTCACAAAAAGGGTACAAGACGGAAGGGTGCTTCGGTGCGCCCAGGGGCGATTGCGCGTGAAACCTTGATAATAAGGCGGTACGCTGCATCCTCATTAGATGTCGACCAGACTCTCAGCACCCGTCTCGGTGGTAATGTGCGAGATACCACATACATTTACGGCATGAGATATTCGGCGAATCGTGCCGACCGCGACCCAACACCTCAGCTCGGAGGGGGGATGGCGCAGTGGTAGTGCGCCTGGTTGCTTCTGCTAGCTTGCTCGCAGAGGTTGAAGGTTCGAATCCTTCTCCCCTCACCGCTATAATAATTCTATTATTCTAGCTTTACCAAAAAACATCGAACGGCTCCTTTCGAAACCTGGAAAGTTTTTCACCAATACCCCGCACGCTTAACGCTAGCCGCCGCCGTACAACCGAGCCACAAAGTACCGCCGAGACGAAAATATGCCGCAACTGCCGCTATATACAACAAACGTTCAAGGTCCCATGACTTTTTCCCCTACGAGGTTTTTTTCAGTCTTAGGAGCACGGGGTTATTATAGCAAAGGGATTGGTCACAAAGGTGGAGATAAACGGGTGTCTATTACAAGGTCTCTCTCTCTTTCCTGTATAGAAGCAAAAAACCCAAACCCCCATAGTCAAACTCGACCAAAGAAACGAAATCCTACGGGTATAGAGGGAAAAAACTAGTCAAACGGCCCTAGGCCACCGTCCTACATAGTCTCTGACTGAAAAAGGACGTTAATGGATACTACTACTACTACTACTACTACCTCAGCTCGGACTTCTGGTGATCAAAGACGTACAATCTGCCATAGAAATAAGACGGGAATACTCTGGGTCACCGGAGCTAGGCGTAGGGTACACTACTGTTGATGTTTGCCATGTCGTTGATCTTGCCTATGGTTGATCGAATATTATTGGAACCTGATCGATGATGCTCGATACCGTCTCATCGGCATCTAGGCCCCTCAACAACTTGAGCTTCTAGCACCAATGACAACTTATGAGACGCTTGAACCACACGTTGGAGTGCTAGTGGGTACCGAAACCGTTAGACGTTTCCTGTTTTGGTATATCCACATCTTCTATACTGTTCCTGGTGGCTTGTATAGTCGCGTCGAAGCAAATGCACTTGATTACAGTTTCATCTTGGCCAACTGGCCTCGGAGTGCCACGACTCAAGCACACTCGACTTGACTCTGTGCATCGTTCTTGTACACCTACCTGTGACGAATCGTTCGCGTGCGGGGAAAGTGTCGCCTCTTACAACAATTTCGTATGCATTCGGCTTGTCAGAGCGGTAGAAGCTGTCTCAAGGACGTCAGATCTAAGACGGGAAGCTAAGAAGGAGCCACGTCATTTCTGCTGGCCGGGTGAGTTCTCCGAGCAAACCCCCTTCGCGTATATCGTCTCGAAGTATTGCAAAGCCGGCGTCTAATCGCGAACCAAAGCGATATTTTGGCGGCGTCGACGTTCAGGCCTGCACCTATCGGCAAGAAGTGCCCCTCATTTGCGATGATGTTCATCATACGTTGTTCCTACGCACATCTTCCGTATGGGGCGCTTTCCCGAAAGACGTCTGACACTGCCCAGATAGAAGCCACTGGATGGCTATTCGATTCTCCAGCTGCGGCGCTCATGTTTCTTTCATGTTTGAGTAGCAATCAGATCCAGCATGCGCGACTCAACGACGAGCTATACCAGCCCACAAAGCAATACGAAGAGGACCAGGGAGAGCATTCGAGATGCATTGGACATCCACGTCCTGGGTGTCTGTAGTGGAAGTGGCCTGATCCAGCTCGACTGTGCGTTGGTTCGGTATCGACAGGCCTCTCCACGCGCCGCGCTCCGCCTGGAACTCGTTCAAGTGTGTAATACTGATACTGGCATCGTATAGTCGGCTGACCACCACAGTACGGCTCGGTACCTACTTCCTCCATCGTCCGAAACCAGATCCTTGCCTCTCTTCGCGAGGTCGAGTGCAACCCTACGGTGGTGGCCCACGTCAACACACTACTGGGGTGCATGTTCTCCAATGGGATCAAGACATTTTGCCACAACTATGGTGTGCAGATCGATTCTATAGACCTGATCGGCACCCACATGTCAGGTTTAAGACGGGTAGCTATGCCCGAGTCAGACGACCTGAACATGCACACATTGGGATGGAATGTCGACGTCACCGCCAATACGGGTGTCACCACTGTCTTCGATTTCGCAGTCATTGAGACTAGCTACGTTAAGCCCCACGTTTCTCCAGTGGCATTTGTCAATAGGATATTCTTGAGACACCCCTTCAAGTTCCGCGCCTGTCTCGCCATCGGCGAGCTAGTGAATTGCAGCTTCATCCCTCCCTGGACCGACGGGAGTCCTTGGAAAACATACTGGCGCGACTGTGGTCCTGGGAGCCTGTTAGTCAACTACGCTGTGAGGTATTGTACTTCGAACAACTGTCACGAAGACAACAATGGCAAGTTGGGGATGCGCGGAATGGTCAACCAGGCTGTAGTGAAACAGTTTCTCGCATATAACGACTACTCAACCAGTCTACCTTCTCCAAGAATAGCTAGAGAGATGTTTGGCGACCACGAAGCCCAACGACTGATCGATACGTGTCTCTCCCTGAAATTATCTAGGGCAGATATCATCGCCACCATCACACGCATAACAGCCGAGAACATGCTCAGACAGTACTGCAGATTACTCGCGCTTGGCTTCTCTGAACACCAGACCGTAGAAGAACTCTTCATCAGCGGCCCGAGTGCACGCAATACCAACATTATCGACTACCTCGAAGCAGAGCTTCCCGAGAGCGTCATCACAAAGCCTCTAGACGATATCGGCATACCGGGCGATGCGAATGAGGCTGTATGCTATGCGCACCTTGCGCTTGAAGCAGTACTTGGAGTACCAATACGCTCTTCTGTGGCTTTATCGTGGCCCCCGATACAAGTAGGAGAAGACGTAGTGTTGGGGAGAGTCGTACAGGGCATGGGTTGGGGAAACCTTTCAAGTCGATTGCAAAATTTCGGCAATGGTAAACCGCGCTGTATAGCAAGACATGTCGAGATTTCAGGGAATATGGAGTTGGGGTTTCAAAATCTTGGGTTAACGTCAAGGGGTGGGATGCGCGGAGTAAGTGTAATGGAGTTGTCCTGACAAAAGTCACGTTTCTTTGGTAAAAAAAATGAAGGTCTCATTCATGGTCAATTAGATCAATTCTTATCGACAGATAAGTTATCTGAGATAACTACTTCTGAGTGTGCATCCCTTCAAAGTAACCATGGTTGTACGTATCTGGTGATCGAGTTTATAATGGCGAAGCCAAGAATCATTCGACATTCTTCGGCTTTACAAGTCCCGCTAGTTAAAGCATATATTCTTGCCTGGCGTGACTCAAAGCCCCTCGCCCTACCCCCCATGTGGTCCCCGGCCACTTGACGCAGTAAAACGCCAAGGTGCAGATTAGCCACTCTCAACACCACTGTCAAACGTCACACAAGCCGCGTCACCACCTTGTTGCGTTACATCGGACCATTCAAAGGCGCATCAGTGCTCACGTTCCGGTCAACAAACTGTTCTAGGGCGTGTCGTGCGCGGTGCGCATGCCGGGGAGAAGGCGCGTGTAACGTGCACCATGCCGCAATCTTTTAATGCGGTATTTCGAATCGAGGGCTGAGATTTCCGCGGAATTTTTTTTGCAAAGACGAGGGTAGGGTTGGCTGGGCTAGCGTTGTATGTCTCTTGCTGTGATCAATCGAACATGTGAAGATATCTGAGTGTCGTCGTAAAGGGCAGAGTGCGTTATGATTAGTGATATGATCGTGAAAATCTCTTAGCGTATAGGTAATAGCTCGTTAAATACATGTGCGATACTCCATGTGCTCTAAGGCTTTGCAATCGTAATGTCGTCTCTCTTTCCCTCAACAATGTCGTGCATGATGCGCGCCTTTTGCCGCTCTTCTGCCTCACTGCTGACATCTTTGAAAACGCTGTCCATCTCCTCCAGCGTTTTCCCCGACGTCTCTGGGACAATAAAGAAGGTGAAAATAAAAGCGAGAAGACAGAAGACGACGAAGAATGTGTAAGCTCCGTAGCCCGTGTTTTGTACAAGAGGGGGAGTAATGAGGCCCTGGAAGCACGTATTAGTCACTGAGCTTTTCCGAACGTTGCACAGACTCTTGGAACAAGGTGACTTACAATAATGAAGTTGTTCAGCCAGTTCGAACACGTAGAAAGCGCAACGCCTTTGGCTCGCAAAGACGACGGGAAGATTTCCGCGGGCATCGACCACGGGACTGGGCCCCAGGTGGCACCGAAGCTGAACATGTAGAAGAAGAGGAAAGCAACTGCGACCCAGCCTTCGGCTGCATAGTCGGTCCACCGATCCCCAAACTTGCCTACCAAGACGGCGATGATGAGATGACAGATGAACATGAGCCCAGCGCCAATCAGGAGCAAAGGTCGACGTCCGAAACGATCCATAGTCCATAAGCTCGTAACGACACCGAAGAGTTGCATGCAATTGATGATTCCGGAAAGTAGGAGCTGCATCTCATAGTCTTGGCCTAGCGTCTTGAAGAGAGATGGTGAGTAGTAGATGAGCGCATTTATACCTACAGCTTTGTCAGTATTACCATCATCTGGTACTCCTGAATGTACATACCAACGAATTGCTGGAAGAACATGAGGCCAACACCAACAACAGTCCGCTTCCAGCATCCATGTCTAAAGCAGTCCAGCCAAGATTGTACCTCCAGTTTGAAACCGTTCATACGCGTAGGTGTTTGCAAGTCGGGATGTCTCTCAACATTGACTTCGTGGTTGAAGGTGACTTCGGCGCGAATTTCGCACCATTCCTGGAAGATACGCGGGTCATCGGTGGGTAGTTTGCGAAGTTTACCCAAGACGACAAGGGCTTCTTCATCTCGACCTTTGCTGCAGAGCCAACGAGGAGAGAATGGCAAGAACACGACGCCAGCGCCCAATATGAGACCAGGCAACATTTGAATTAGGAAAGGGAGGCGCCAAGACCATTCACCCGCCATGTATCGAGTACCGTAGGTTGTCCAGAAGGCGATCACAATACCGAGCACGATACTCAGCTCCTGTAGGACGAGTAGAGCGCCTCGAATCTCAGGAGGTGCAATCTCAGAGATGTAGAGTGGAGCGATAGCTGCAAGCCTAGGTACTGTTAGTAACCCCTAGATACATATGACCAGATGTTTGACTCACGCTCCAATACCCATACCTCCGATTAGTCTCCCAACAGTCAGCATCGCATATTCCATTGCCGCAGTCTGCAATATACTGCCAACGGTAAAGACTCCGACTGCAACAACGATGGAATATTTCCTAGATAACTTGTCTGCAAGCCAACCCGCAAAGAGTGCGCCAATCAGGGCACCCAATTCTAGCATAGCTGTCATCAAGCCTTTCCAAAACCCTGCTCCTGATGCCTCGGTCGAGACACGTGGGAAGCGTGCGAGGAATTGGTCCATAACGAGAGTTACTGATATGACACCCTGGTCGTATCCGAAGAGAAGGCCACCAATGGTAGCGAACGCCGCACACATGGCCACATAAGGGTTTGTGAAGAGACCGCGGAAGCCTGTTGTGTGGAGTCAGTCATTGGGAATCTTTCCGTATCGCGAATCTTGCTCGCAGATGGAAAATGCATACCTGATGGCCCGTATGGTTCCCTAGTCACCAACCCTTGCTTACTGGAGTATTGCGTCATCGTCTCTTGTTGCTCATCGGGAGAAATCTGAACTGAGTCTTGTTCGCCCATGATGTGGGTCTGTCTTATCACTCCTGGGTATAAGGGCAATGTCGTGCAATGTTCGTTGGGGCTGCGACCCAGATAACTGTGAAAGAAAAGAACAGGATCGGCAACTTTCTTACTTATAGGTCCAGAGGTTCGCTTGACTACGCATCAACTCTTGTCCGGTGGACCCACGGCATGTACTTATTCTCCAACTAGCGTCAGGGCTATCACTGCCGTTGTGCGCACGTCCGATTCTGGTAGAGGAACGCTGGAATGAATGTGATTTTTGGAAAATAGAAAAATATGTAATCAACGATATTTTTTCGCAGGCTTTAATGTGATAGTAAATTGTATTCTGTGATTCTCCAGATTCCACACCTCGTGTCTTAAAAGCTGGCCTCGGTGTGTGCGTGCACGACACGTTGTTGACCGACACACTGATTGCGAGAATTTGATCGAAGTTTCTGTGGACCCTCGCGTCCGAGACTGGCCGAGCTTCCAACTACAGATCGTGAGATTCAGAAGTGAACACTTGATGAATATCTCTTCTTGTTCCCAGATGTCATGAGATTGTTCCGTTCAGATCTGCTTCAGCGAGACTAGTATTGGCCCTGGAACCCCTTACCCCTCACATGGACGTCATACGAACGTTCCTGCATCTTCAACGGCCGCGGTGAACATATGTAGTGTCTGGAAACCCCAGAAACACGCACGAGGCTGTCAGCGCTACCCCGGATCCCACAGCACTAGGTTCGCGTCGTTCCGCGCTGTGCGTTGGTCTATTTGGGTAAACGTCTTTTCAGGCTGGCAGCGTCAAGGGAAATGCGGCCGCTCAAAGTGGAGGTTGCGGCGGAAATTCCTTCCTACAGTGTCGACGGGTGGGCGCTAAGTTGGAGGCTAAGCCTGAAAAGTACAAAACGGTAAGCCTCCCCGGCAAGTGGACCACGCTACCGGCACACCATCTTCACGAGAGTAATTTTGACCGCTGGCACAGAAGATTCGATTCGAAGAAACAGAATCTTCATCTCACACCACCTCAGCCTATGTGTTATCACAAGTGAAGTCTGTCTTTATTGCGCTCATCACGATCAGATATCTCCGTTCATCCCAACTGACTTGGACCCTATCTTGGATAACCTGGAATGATTCAATGTGAATATCCACAGCAGCCTCCCAATCTTCGCTCGTACATCCTCACCTTTAGTCACATTGCGGTTTCAAGAACCAAACAGAATACACTTATCTCTTTGAAGGGCCTATATGCTCATCCTCGGTATGCACGTCAACTCACGCACCCATAGACCGTTTGTAACCCGTTTGTCTTCGATCCACATTTCGGAGTTGCATGAGCTATAGAATTGATGTGGGAGAAGCGTTGGATGTGATGAAGAGGCCAAAGGACAACACAAGGAGAACACAACGAGGAGAAGACCACCACGAAACCACTGCCCGTCACCCGCCCAGCGCCATCACAGTATCCAGTGACATTTACATCATTGATAATTAGGTGGTCCACCTTGACTGGGCTGTCGTCATGATCAACATTGGCCAAGACAGAAGTCACAAGAAACTTTCGTCGATCGCATGTAGGTTTTCCACTCTTGCTCTCAAATTTTTAAGCCGATGTCAACCAGCTGTGAGTTCCTATGAATCACGCTATGTAGACTCTTCTTCCGCCCGACGACGACGTCACGCTTCCACTCTTTAGCTCGAGCCTCTGTACACATGCCAACTCACTCGAAAGCGTGTCTCCACTATTACTGTATGTATACGAGTATCGTATGACAAGTTGTGTGAGCTGTCTCCTTACTCGGATTGTTGGGGATACGAGCGCAACGAATGCAACGCTCCACACAATAATCAGAAAGACCCCAGAGTTGATTGCACACACTGACGGTGCCTTGCGTATTCCAAGTACATTGCTTCTTCCTTGGCCAGTAACGGTTGTCTGTATGTAGAAAGCGATTGACGATCGACGTTATACGAGCAAAACTGTCGCACGTTGATTGCATAGATCCACTCTACAGATATTGACATTTCCGAAGTGGTGGGTAACAGCTGTGCGCACAGGGGCAGAGAAAAGGAACGACGCGGAGGGATACCTTTGCGACGAAAATAGTACTGAGAGAAACATCGACTTTCATGACCTTCACGTTCGGAAAAAGTCGTTAATTGTGGCTGAGCCAAAGCTAATACATCACCACACCGCTCATGCAGACTGACTAGGCAGATGTGTTTCTGGGGCACTCCCGAGGTTGTGGGCGAGCAATACAAGGTATAGACGGACGAGACATGGATCAGTCCCCCCCCTTAGTTGATTGCACTGATGGACCGAGGTTCATCCGGATATTTTTACTACGTAGCATTTCGGATTTCAAGGAGAGGCTAGATGCACAATAATAGTGACGGACAGTATAGTCGCGTGAGCTGTTTTCAGGCTTCTAGGCTGGACGGGTATCGGTAGCGTTGCGCCAGCGCGTTGAGCGCGAGTGTGCTCGGCATACGCACAAGGCTGGTATCCAACGTTTTTGTTAGACAATTTTGGAGCTTCCTTGGAAGCGTTGTCGTGTTGTCTAGTCAGTGTGATGAAGAGATTGAAGGGGTAAACGGCATTCCAGTTGCCGAAGCGGCATCGTTACGTTATTCCTTTCTTCTTCGCCGCCCCACGTCCATGACTGCCAAAACACGAGAAATGACAGCAAGTGTTGTGCATAGCGTCCATGCCAGAACAATATTGCTCAAGGAACCCATCTTTCATGTATCGAAATCTATTCTGGGACGCCTTTGCCGACCTCGAGCGAACCAATAGGGGCCTGCCGGAGGGCTCGGCCGACCACAACTGGCAGTTCTCTAGCCCGTTTTGGCTTGACGCCCGCTCTTCGGCCCTTTTCGGATCGCCACCGCATCATCGCTATCCATGCTTTTGATTCGACTTTCATGCGCAAGTACAGGAATTCGGGGGGACGGCACAGCATGACCCTGGATTGTTTGCACCGGCTGTGGCGCGGTTCGTTTCCTAAGGACGAAAACATGGGGAGACACGGATTTTCTATGGGCCATTGCTCGTGTTCGGACCTGATGTGACTTCATCTCGTTGCATTAAGCGGCAAAGCCGAGGGGAATAGCCTCATCTGTGCTGGTCATGTATGTAGGGAGGGTGATGTGGGCACAGGACTGCTGTGTATATAAGAGCTGGACAGTCTGCCATCTAATACTCATCATCCAACTCAACCACCATCACACAATCACTACTACAATCTAATCCATCAATTTAATACCTTCACCACCAAACCAACAACCAAATCCTCCAACCGCAAACATGAAGTTCACCACCACCGCCATTGCTGCTACTGCCGCCACCATGGTCTCTGCTCTTCCCCAGGCCACTCAGTTCGAGAAGATCAGCCCCGGCGACACCTTCCACGTCATGAGCCTTCGCACTGGCACCCCCATCCAGTTCGGCAACATGCAAGCCGCCAACAGCCGACTCTACATCAACGCTCCTAAGCAGAACGAGACCAACTGCGGCGACGAGCACAACTACGCTACCTTCCAGCTCGGCCAGAACGGCACCCTCAACCTCTTCACCGAGGCCCCATACCAGTCTGTCTACGTCGACCGCTCCGGCATGGCCCAAGGCGCCATCGGCTTCACCACTGGAGCTCAGCCCGGTCCCAAGTACGCTCAATACGACGGCTGGTCCATCACCAAGGACAGCATTCTCACCTACACTACCAACGACATCTTCAAGGACCAGCTTAACTTCCAGGCTTGTCCCAACGCTGTTGGTGGTGGCTACGCCGTCTGGCTCGGTGGTAACTTTGACCCCGCTGGCCAGAAGGACTGCATTCCCTTCAGTGGTCTCGCCGTCAAGAAGCCCGAGGACCTCCGCTGCCACTACTCTTTCTAAGCGTATCATGGCTTAGGACCTCAGACAGTGATCGATTGTAGATTTTAGACGATGGAGTTCTCCTTGTATATATGGGCAGTTGCTGAACCCTATTGTAAATACAGCTTATAGACGAATCAACCTTTACCTAGAATACTCTTTACTTGCTTTGAATGTCTCATCGTGGTTGTGATGTGTACGCTTCGGTACTAAATGCCGGTTCCATTCGATAATCCTCCCATTTTCGCAACTTCGAACTTGCGAATAAGAACACCGTGATGTTTCACCATAAGCAAAACACTCCGTCACAACTCAACGAAAACTACAGATACGTGGTGCTGTAATAGTTGGTCGTATTAACAATAGGTTTCCTGTACGCCACGTACCAACCCTGAGCACTGACTGTGGATGCTGTGGAACCAATGGACAGTGCAGAAGACTTCACCACTCTATTGGTATGCTGGACGTACTCGTTGCTTAGTTATCATCTTACCCTGATGTGCATCGGATGAGGGAAACGTGCGGTGGTAGCGGTGGATCTAGTGCTTACATTTCCTTGGTGGCTTACCAGAGATAGAATTGGCGTTGCTTCATCCGTACTAGGGGTCCAGGAGCCAACTGTGGATCACCCACAGGAAGCTTATTGAATTAAACATCAAATGTCAGACGGAAGTGGTGGACTCTTCTTGCATGGTTGAACAATTAAGGAGGTAACCTTATGTTTGACGTATACTCTTAGGTGCCACAATATTGGCGTGTCTAAACTGTAAAACATAACCAAATAATGGTTGCGAGATATAGCGCAAATGGTATTTCTGCAACGAGAGCTCATGGCATGCGGTCGGTATTCGGGTGCTGTCATTTGGTGTGTCCGTCTTAGTGCGTGTCTTCTGGAGGTCCTCCAATAATCCTCACATCTCAGGCGCGTCGCAGCAGATGGAGGGACTTGATTCGGCTCATGTTTTGCGTAACAATTCACTTGCATATGCTCTCCTAAAAGTCCAATGGCATAAGGCACTGACACCTCTTCGTTTCAAGAGTTGAAGGCTGCGTGTTTGTGTTGAGCTATGCCACGTCATCCAGCCAAGGGTCGCAACACAGCTACGCGCTCGCTCAACGCGCGCGACATTTTGATATGGTTGTACAATAAGAAAAAAGCGCGGCTATAAGGAAATAAGGAAAGGAATCTTTGCCTCCTGGTAATTTGAGAATCATATCCTTCCATCATGATGGGATTGGAAGGGCGACTTGTTTGCGTATTCGGAGCGCGTGATCATCCCCGCCCTGATCCGGCGGGACACCGCTGAATCAACACGATTGCGTGCGGGCAGCAACAAAGAAAGACGGCAAACTGTATAGAAAGTGTTGCGCAATACTCGAAGATGGTATTTCCGTACTTGGTTTGCTTTTTCGAATGCGTTGTTGCAAGTTGAAGGAAAAGCGCTGAGGCGCAAGCGAAACACCACGAAGGTCAGCGAGGGGCGACGCGCAAAACTCCAAAACAAGCCTGGAACATTGGTTCAAGCAAACATTCGGAGGTCTCATAACATTGGTATTATGAACATGAATTCGAATATGAAAAAGGAGAGGCGCAAGAGCCATCTGAGGCGCGTTGGTGTACAAGTCATCGAGGCATGTGCTTTGAGCGAGAGCTCCTCAAAGCGCACAAAAGCCCCCTATGAGATCTTGAAAATAGGCAGACTTTGGCTAGTCAGTTACTATCGATAATGGGGCGAATAAAAGCCCTAGGCAAGTGCTGCCTACTGCGAGACATCTGACACACGCTGGGGATAGGCCGGGAGCATCATGAGAATTTGAACAGGACGTAGAGGGACGAAGCTGGGGGTGAACGCGTGCGCTTCCGAACAGCAGGCTCGGGAACCCCCCAACAAAATGAACTTACAGCAGCCGCACCGCGCCCAGAGTCAGTGAGCGCCCTTAGCCTAACAACAGATCAAACGCGCATCTAGAATGGGAGTGGATGACTAGCGTCTTTTGAGTTGTGTGATCTGTTGGCGGCTCTCGAGGACGAGCGCCCTATAAAACGTACATGCCCCTCACTCGCGGATGGCCCCAACTCCAAGATTCGACTTCCCGCAACCACCATTCTCCCAATCGATTTCGACGTTTAAACCCTCATTCGAAGCTTCAGTATCTCGTCTATTATACCATCCAATCCAACTTCAGCAAAAATGCCTCCCAAGAAGACCTCCACCCCCTCCAAGGCAAAGGCCGCTCCCACCGCGCCCGCCCATGGCTCCTACATCGGTATGTACCCCAACGTTGTCGCATGGACTGCGCTTCAGTTGCATCCTGGTCGCATATCAGTACTGACTTTGTTCTGTAGAAATGGTAAAGGACGCTATCGTCAACGTGAGTCTATCCTTGGTGTCGCAATGCATGTTATGCGGCGTCGCGTCGACCCGGCGCAACGCGCAACCCCAACCAACACCTGACCGCCTACTCTTGTGGACTTGATTACTGACGTGCTCTATGCATCATACAGCTTAAGGAGCGCAATGGATCCAGGTTAGTCAATCCCATCTTAAGCTGTTTTTGAGCTTCGCGTTGTGTTTCGCGTCATGCTTCCCTCCCCATGTGTCCGAGAGCTCTCGCTGACTTTGCGCCAACAGCCGTCAAGCAATCCAGAAGTACATCCAGGCCAACAACAACATCGGCAACCTTAGCGATGCTGCCTTCCGCAGTCACGTCAACCGCGCCATCACCTCTGGTGAGGAGAAGGGTGACTTTGCACGTCCCAAGGGTAAGCATTTTCCCTCCTTCCTGCCTACTCTCATGTCAAACACATGACCCCCACCTACCTCCTTTTACGCGTGTAACCAGCCAACGTGATCATGACTAACGCGTCGCATAGGCACCTCTGGACCAGTGAAGCTTGCAAAGAAGGAGGCCAAGCCTGCTGCTGCCGCCACTACCAAGAAGGCTGAGCCCAAGGCTGAGAAGAAGACCACCGAAAAGAAGACCGTTGAGAAGAAGACGACTGAGAAGAAGGTCCCTGCTGCTAAGAAGGCCACCGCCACCGTATGTGTAATCCTTCTCCCGTATCATGCTCTTACTGACTCGCTTCACAGAAGGCTAAGGCTGCCACTACCACCAAGGCTGCTGCTGCTCCCAAGAAGGCCGTTGGACGTCCCAAGAAGGTCACTGCTGCCGCTGCCACCACTACCACCAAGGCTGCCCCTGCTGCTAAACCCAAGGCCAACGCCAGCAAACCTCGCAAGGCCGCTGCCACCTCAGCACCCGCTGTCGAGGAAGAGGTTTCGCGAGTCCTCGGCAAGACTAAGTCTGGTCGCGTCACCAAAACCAAGGCACCCGCCACCGCCTCACCCAAGGCAGCCAAGGCCACCAAGAAGGCACCCGCAGCAAAGAAGGCCGCCCCGGCAGTGAAGAAGGCCACGACCCCCAAGAAGAAGGCTACCCCCAAGAAGGCCACACCAAAGGCCAAGGCATGAGCGACCTCTCTTGCCTGAAGTCTCTCTTCTTCGTTCTCTGTCCATCTTCTTTCCTTGCCACTACAGTGCGCTGACACTTTCTTCACGGTTTCCTTTTGTCTCACAAGCTTCGTCCACGGGCGGATCAAACGGGGTAGGGGGTTTAAACCATGGGTAGATATGGGAAAGGATAAGGCACGCGCTGTTTTCGTCTCTCTTGGGTATATCATGTTGGGGCTAGGCGTTCAAGGCGCCTTTGCGTGTGCGCTCAGCGGAAAGTTCTACTGTCTGTCTGTCATTGTTGTTTTTTTCGTTTCCATCGCTCTCTCTCTCCCTCCACAAAGCGCGCGCGCGCGTATATTCTGGCGTTTGTGGGAGGTGGGCTAGCTGTCTACATCTATCTTAGTCTACGACGTGATGCTATCGTCTTGCAAAGCGCAATCAATGGAAAATAAATCTTCAACCCGATCGTTCAAACTTTGCTCGTCTATTGTTTTTCTTTCTGACAGTTTCTGACGAAAAGTGTGGGTTCTTTGCCCGCTGAACGCGTTGTTTTGATTCGGTGAGACACGCGTCGAGGTTGCGGGTCAGGTGATGTGTTCTGTGGGGCATGCTTGGGCGGGTGGGTCAGCCGCGATAACGATGGTTATCTTAGGTACGGCGGTACGGTAGACCCTGCCTCGCTTGGCAGATTTTGAAAAATTGGGTGCTGATATTTCCGGCGCTTCCGGTGCCGCCGTCCGTTGCTGTTGTTTGTGTATGAAGGGCGGTCCGGAACTCCGCACACCACAATGAGATCGGAGGTCCGCAAAGCAAAAGGTTCGGAGAGATGGTGATGGGGTTGTATTCCCTGCGTCGTTATTTTTCTGGTGGTGTGTTAAGTTGTGGATTTCTCGGCATCTGGGATTCCCATTTGTAGGTGCCGTGGACCTTGGTGGACTTGAAACTCTTTTCTTTTCTTTTTCTTTCTACACCGCTCACTGGTGTCGACAACTCACTTGCTATGCGGTGAGGAGGGTTTGTAGTGAGTGGTACGTATCGAACAACTAGGTTTCGATATTTGCCGGTCTCTATCAATGCTCCAATTTGGTAGTTTGTTTTTGAGATGCTTACTGCACGACCGTGAATAGTGATACCGACACATGCGTGACGAAGTAATAACAATAGTGTTATGGGGAGTTGAGTGAGTGTGCGGGACTTGATGGCATAGGTGTTCGGAGTTTTTGAGGCCTGGTAGCCAAGGGTGCAGTGATGATATATGAGTCACAAATAGGTAGTCGGCATACCTTTCCGTAGCAACTCCCAGTTCAATAATAAATTATTAGAGGTGCAGGTGGGTAAAGTGCTAAGTTGAACATATGTGCTTCATGTGTAAAGGAGAGTCTGCATAGCCAAGAGTTCTAAGAAAGTAGGTAGGAGGGTTGGATTGGGCAGTAAGTCAGTCCTGGTACTGACTGCTGACAGTAGTATGTCACCCTAGTGGAAGGGCTACGTGAATTCTGAGTGTTAGTGACTGACATGTTGTCCACATGGGGAAGAGTAGGTAGTTAGCTCAATCATCTTGGATGTGATAGGTGTGATTGTCACGAGATAAGAAGGAAGGTCACTTTGATGCCGCTCTGAGCAGCTTGTACATAGACACTAAATACTATGATTTCTGTGACTGTTTATCTGATTATGTGAGAGAGTCCCCCAAGATTCATGTAATGCCCATTAAGCGTGATGTAAAGCCGTAAGAGACTCAAATCACTCCCCAAAGTATGCCAATTTTTAAGACCCTGTCCACTCCCCGCTCACTGATCTTCTGCATGAACAAAACGGACTTGTGACGCGTGGGTGCGTTACGCGGTCAAAGAGATAGCTTTGCTCTTTCGAAGCTTGAGAGAGAATAGCCACTGTCGCATTGGTGACTACGTCTCCTCTTTCTCCAAGTATGCCTTGAGCCCATCCTTCGCAGATATTTTGAATCCTGCTACTATGTAGTTCTTTGAGATAGACTGGACGAGGTCTTTTTCGAAGTCCTTGTTCATCAAAGGTACTTTGGAAAATATGGACTTTAGGTCGAGACAGGCCTATATCTTGACAAGAAACTGTTTGACTGGACTATTGGAAGGTGTACCTCCGTATATGAGGTTGGCCGTCTTAATCTATGGTACCGTCAAGGTATCCTCTGGACCCTTTGTTTTCAATAAGCATAAAACAGCTACCACTATAGCGTTCTTTGTCTTGATATCCTGGATCTTTTCAGCGAAGATGAATATGCTGAACAGAGTGTCGTATGCATCATGGATATAATCAAGAAACTCGTATTTTGTGAGACCAATTGAATCTTGGTTGTTGTTGTTCTTGTTTCCGATCTCGGGTGCAGTCGAAAGTTGGCCTGTATAGACAAAGTTGACATACAGGGCGACAATTTCAGGTTCGTCGTCGGGTAGATTAATGATGCGCGTCTCAGCCTCCTTCCAGCTACCGTTCAAGGCACGTCGAAAGAATTCGGAGCGTTTCGTAAGAAAGGATCCGTGAACCATGAAATCTTTCTTTTCGAGGTCCTTACCTACGCGTAAGGTAACCATCGCAGTGGATACATAGCTTTTGGGTGCATGTTAGCTTCAAGACCATAATACATATCGCCTGGTGTTATCTCACTTCGCCATGCTAGACTTGATAGCTCGAATGAGTTTGGGCAATGTCATGACAGACTTGCTAGCTTGAATGGGTTTTGGCGGCCTCATGACTTCGTAGACAGCGTCGGGCGTTGCTGTAAAGCGTGGAGGTGAGGTAGATCGGAGGTTGGAGCTCACGAGATATATCCGCTCATGGTCAGTGCGCGACGCTAAAGGTGGTGAGATGTGAGTGTGAGTGTCAAGGTGAAAGCGCACTCTATCCATCTAGCTCACCTTCACCTAATTTCCGGGGAAGCTCCACGGGAATTTCTCCATGACGTAGCTCAGATTAACAATATGTCCTGCGTTTGTGCAAGGCAGTGGTCACTTCCTCCATATGTCTATTGTTTGTGGCTTTACAAGATTGATACAAGCTACTCTTTATTCTACAGGCGGAAACTTCTGTCGCTAATATCCTCAACTCACTTCACTTTTGGGAATAGCGTGTACGTGAGACGCTTGCGACATCTGTAGCTCTTGATGTACTCGTTACCAAGTGAAACCGTAGGGTTGCTGCTGTGATCAACGCAGGATAGATAGATTTCTTTGCTCAATTCTATTGGGACGGCTACCAGTATTGACGTAGTATTTCATCATATTTAATGCTTTCGTGGGCTATGATAACAAGGGATGCGGAAACTGGAGGGTCCCAGAGTCCTTGATAACTAGATAGTCTATCTGGACGATGATGTTGTTACTGATGCAAAACTCACGTATACCTTTGTTGGACCTGCTAACAACAATCCTCGCTAGCTGGAAGATGTACTTACACATCTTGTATATACCACTACCACCAGCTGGTGCGAAACCAAGCAGATATGCTTACACGTAGCTGAGCAGCTGGGTAGTCGGTAAGCTAGTTGGTACCGAAAAGCCAGGATAGCCTGGCAGCGTTTTAGCTTCCTAAATGTGTGTCGTGATAATGTTTTAAAGTCATTTGGCTTTCTTTTCGTGCCTACAGACAGATAAGGCTTGCAGCACATGGTCCACCGACTATTCAAATGCCGTATGTGCGAACAAAATCAGGCGGAAACCTGTCCGAGCCCGAACCCGGTTCATTCACCGTATGGATTCGTCGCAATCAAAGATACCCAAGTACAAGCTACTTGCAAACGCGGGGAAAACTAGCATAGCACTGGTGGCAACGATGGTCTAGTTAAGCGCCATGATTAACAGCGCTTCTCTCGGATCCTGTACTGGTGTGCTGCACCGATTCTGCATGTTCAGTCCCAGGCACGAAGGATATAGAAGGTCTCGTCCAAGGGCTAATGTTCGCGGTACCAAACAAACACGGGGTTCGGAGTCTCTTCGGTGGTACCAGCACACTCTTGATCTGCCGACGGTTTGCTCAGATATAGGCTAGGTTCAATGGTGTAATAGTAGTAATTCGCACGCTGGGCCCGACAGGAAACGGGATATTACGAAATTGGACTTGTCGAAATATATAGTACTGCACCAAGTCGTGAGCTTGTGTATCCGTTCAAGAGCGTTGACAAAGTACGGTCGATCCGGCCCAGAGCTAGGTAGGCTGCGCGGGATCCAGGGATGCCAAATACCGCGGCCACGGTCGCCCGTAGACATGGGCATGGCATCGTTACTGGTCGTACCGTCGGCGTCCAAGAGTGGGGGACCTCGTATCGTCCATGTCGCTGATTCAGCGACATGGAAAACCCACTGCCGACTTGAGTCACAGACCTCCAGCGACCCTGAACATCAACACTGCCGAAATGATGGAGACAGAAAACTGGAGACTGGAGTTGGCAATGTGGAGCCCCGATGTGGAGTGTGGATAACTGGACCTTGTTCGAGGCTCTGCCCCTCCTAGGCCCGAGGTCTATCGAATTTCTTCACCTCTGTCGACATGCAGCAGTCTTTGTTTAGAACTGAGGCTGATACGGCAGACACGAGTGTGATCGGAGCGCTTGGCACATATGCCGGACCGAGTTACTAACGGCGCTTCCTCCGGTTTGTTGCGATATCTCGTGATGTAATGCACGCCGCATAACTCTTCTGCGGCGCGGTCTAGCAATACACCCAGGCGCCTACAATGCCACTTCACAACTTGGACCCACGCGCGGCTGAGTCGCTGCGCATCTTCTGCGCCTGAGAATTTCAAAAAAAAGTCTTCCCAATTTTGATCCGAAGACGGGTGGGGCTCACTCAAGTTTCGACAACCCTACCGGCTTCTGTGTTTGGAAGATGGGCCTGAGACACTGAATCATGGTAGCAGGAACGCGGCACTAAAGCATGCTACCAGACGCTACGACAGGCTCGGCGCACGAGCAATTCCAGACGTTTGGCTGGAGTCCCCGTGGAGTGAGTTTGTGGATTTTGGTGGACACCTGACGACATGCGACAAGAAGCTGGGGCAATGACAGTTGCACTTGCGAGCAGGCTGGTACCCTACACCACAACCACGTGCGGGACGGAAGTGCACTGTCCTGCGCGCTTGGAGATGTGCCCGCAGCCCACTGTACGGTACGTATGCGCTCCTGTCCGGCACAGCGCGCCGTCGTCGAGACCCGAGACCGTGATATTGCCGTTAGCTCTCGCTCCACCCTCACATGTCCAGTCGGAATCAGCCCACCCCGGACTCGTCGCTGGCCCCACGGCCACCAGGCGGCAAATTCAATGAAGTTTCATGGCGCTAGTGGCTTGCAGCACCATCTTCTCCATACTCCACCGTTGGGCGCGACCGTCACGAGCGTCGCAGAGTAGCCTTGTTCTGCCGCTCGTCTTCGACTTCGAGGGCGGGGTGCCACCCCAGAGTCAGTTAGTTTAGGGACGAGATCCGGTGACACGCATATGAAGGCGACCAACCTCTTGGTTTGCTTATTCGTCTGCTGTCGCGCCGACCTCTGGGGGCGTGGCTGCTTGCCTGAAAACAAGGTTCTCCGGATGCGCCGCACGGCTGTGGCTAGCAAAAGGGAAACGTGACGACAAGTCAAAAGGTGCCACCAGTGTGCTTACCGACGCACAATTCGTTGGTTCAACACCGTTCGGGGAACAGCAACAGGGTGGTCACTCACAATCCCTTTCCGTCCCTCAGCTAATCTTGATGTTCCGCGTTTGGGCCTATAAGCGGTAAGCCAGGCATGTGCTGTACGGGGCACACCAACCCTCGGGAAAGCCGTACTCAATTGGCGACCTCCCGCTTCCATTCCATTTCCCTAGATGGTCCAATCAATAGCTGCATGCAAATATCCTGGGACATGTGCTCGACCCACCGCAAGGGATGGAGCTTAAGGCGGCCTACACGCTTACCATGCCATTTCCATACCGAAGCGGTGCACAACGGCCTACTGAAATCATTCAACATCAACGGGCCCAGTCCTGGCAAGCGAGATATCTCATGTCCCCGCTTGACAAAGAGTAAACGACCATGCGTTGGCGCGCAGTGGCCTCGCCGCCGACAAACATTCGCCATGTCCAGAACAAAGGTAATTGGACATGTATGATCATGTGTTGCTTCTCATGGCAGTCAGCGTGATGCGCCGCGAACCAAAGACTCCCAAAACCCCAAACAAACGGCGCATCAAGCAGTCTTGGCTGGAGAGGCGTCACTTAGCGCCCATCCACGCGAACCTCGTATCTCGTTCATTCGCCCAAGCACGACAGCCTCGGAGAGCCTGCAAGGATCTTACAGGAAAAATCTGCAGGTCTCGCCAACTAGGACTGGCTCTATGGGTTGCTTGGGTGAGCTTGGCGCCCCAGGTTTCCACGCCTCCCCCCAGCCGTATCCCGGACCAACTGTTGTACTGCCAGATTGAGCGATATACCCGGCTATCTAGAACAGATGCATAGACACCCTGGGGTTACTCAGACCTCTTGACGCGTAGTAACCACGACAGCATACCTCACTCTCTATGACAGGTCGACTCAGCCGCGTGCCAATCGTACATGCAGATATGCTCACTTACACTGGTGGCGGGCTGGCGCGAGCGGCCCATGGGGAGTGGTAGTCATCCTTCCAGAACTGTAGGATGCGGAGCAGTAGCCCGGGTAGGCCTAGGCTGCTAATTGCAATGTTACCATCGCGCAAGCCACAAGCGCACTGTGCTGCAGTATCACTGTTGCTTAGGATCCGATATTAAAAGCTCGGGAATCCCACCGCTGATCGTGCTTTCCAGACATCCCCAGCTTCTCTTCTCTCAAACGCTGCGCGGGATTCCTCTTCTAGTGCGAAGAGCCTCCTCAACTCGTTACGCCCAAAACAAAAGCACAACAACAACCGCAATCATGCCAGGAGGTGGTGTCGTTGCCGTCACCGGCACGACCGATGTCAACCGCGTCGAAGCCCCCGTTACCGTCCGTGCCTACCTGATTGTTGCTTTTGCAGCCTTTGGTGGTATCTTCTTCGGATATGATACCGGCTGGATGGGTGGTGTCCTTAACATGGACTACTTTATCAAGCAATACACTGGAGCCGAATACCCCGACGTCAAGTTCCCCGGCGTCGACCACTTGGACATTCAGATCACCGACTACCGCAAATCTACCTTCACTATCGCACCATGGCAACAATCCCTTGTTACATCTATCCTCTCCGCTGGGTATGTTGAGTATCTGCTGTACCATGTTCCACAGTTCTAACATAGGCTAGTACTTTCTTTGGTGCCATCATGGCTGGTGATATTGCTGACTTTATCGGACGTCGTATCACTATTATCATGGGTTGCGGTATCTTCATTATTGGTGGTATTCTCGAGACTGCCTCTACCGGTCTTGGTGTCATGGTTGCTGGTCGTCTCATTGCTGGTTTCGGTGTTGGTTTCATATCCTCCATCGTTATTCTGTACATGTCCGAGATCGCGCCCAAGAAGGTCCGTGGTGCTGTTGTTGCTGGTAAGTACTTTCCTCAGTATATTCGATTCATACACTGACTTTGGCAGGATACCAATTCTGCATTACCATCGGTATCTTGCTCGCCAACTGCGTTGTCTACGCTACCCAGAACCGTCGTGATACCGGATCCTACCGTATTCCGATCGCCGTCCAGTTCTTGTGGGCTGTTATCCTCGCTGTTGGTCTCGCTCTTCTGCCAGAGTCCCCCCGTTACTGGGTCAAGAAGGGAAAGCTCGACAAGGCTGCTTCCGCCCTTGGCCGTGTCCGTGGCCAACCCCTCGACTCCGAATACATTCAGGATGAACTTGCTGAAATTATTGCCAACCACGAGTACGAGATGTCCGTTCTTCCCCAGACCAGCTACCTTGGCTCCTGGATGGCCTGCTTCGAGGGCAGCATCATGAAGCCTTCTTCCAACGCTCGCCGTACTACTCTCGGTATCTTCATGCAGGCTATGCAGCAGTTGACTGGTATTAACTTCATCTTCTACTTCGGCCCCGTCTTCTTCCAGCAGCTCGGTTCGATCAGCGACCCCTTCTTGATCTCCCTCGTCACTACCCTCGTCAACGTGCTCTCTACCCCCGCCTCGTTCGTCATGGTTGAGAAGATTGGACGTCGTCCTCTCCTCATCTTCGGTGCCGCCGGTATGGTTGTCATGCAGTACATCGTCGGTGCTATCGGAGCCACCGCTGGCAGGAACACTGTCGACCATCCCGCCAACCCCAACGCTACCAAGGCCATGATCGCATTCATTTGCTTGAACATTTCCGTCTTCGCCACCACCTGGGGACCTTGCGCCTGGATTGTCATTGGTGAAATCTTCCCTCTCACCATCCGATCCCGCGGTGTTGGTCTTTCCACTGCTAGCAACGTAAGTACCGCCATTGTCGAACAATTCAAGTAATGAATACTGACTTCAAATAGTGGTTCTGGAACTGCATCATCGGTATCATTACTCCCTACCTTGTTGCCGACCGTCCCGACTCTGCTCGTCTCGGATCCAACGTCTTCTTCCTGTGGGGTTCCCTCTGCTGCATCTCCTGTAAGTCCTCTCGAAACACCGACGCCCATTTCAAAACACCAGACTAACAGCTCCCTAGTCCTCTTCGCCTACTTCTTCGTTCCCGAGACCAAGGGCCTCACTCTCGAGCAAGTCGACAAGATGTTGGAGGAGAGCACTCCCCGCACTTCTCGCAAGTGGAAACCCCACAGCACCTTTGCCGGCGAGATGAACCTCGCAGAGAAGCACATCGAGATCCCCGTGGAGAACGTTGCTGCCAAGCACGAGTCCGTCTAAGGGCGGAAAGTGTCTGGTCCAAGAGACTTTTACGACATGTGGGATGGGTTAGGTGGAATCACGATATCGGTGCATCGTTATTGTAATTACCGGAAGCTCTTTTTCACTCCATCACATTGATTGCAATGGACTGCAGAATCTTCTAGTTTGATGAATATATATATATATATATCCGGAGTGCCAGTCAATCAGTCGTTGATCTGGTACCTCTTTAGCTACTTGCGCTCTCGTCGGACAAACCACCCCTCGTCAAGCAATTATTTTAATCTTTATTTTTTCTCCTCTGCTCTTGATTTTGCCACCCAGCAAACATCCATACGTAGAACATTTCCTATCCCGTTCCCGCACCCCCGCCATCACGATGCCCCAACCCCCTGGATCCCGGAAACCAGTACCCGTTAAACACCGCCCTGCGCGTCGCAAACAAGCGCGCTCTGGCGATCACGCGACTTTATCTGCATGCCCTAAACACGCGCCCTGAGACCCAGTACCACGTTTCCATGTTCTGGGCCCAAAGTTAGGCCTCGCGCCCCTTGGTGTCGCGGTAGCAGTAGCAGTTGCGCTAGCCAAACCGTGCGGGGAAGCAAGTCTGTGTGTCTTTCTGTGTGTGTGCTACCCCAAGTTAAGAACATGTACTTTAACTATGTGGTACCGAGCTAACGGGGCTGAAGCCGTTTGCTTGGGAGAGAAAAAAAAAGGTAATCTTATTGCCACCTATCCGCTCGTTTTTGTATGACGGCATGGCTGGTTTGATCAAGGGGGTTGAATGGTTATTGCGGTTGGAGGTGAGATGATCGGGGATAGGCGAAAGGGGTGTTGTGTCTTGAACTACGTGCATGAATGGGGTAGGTAGTACAGGATATGCCCTGCTTACATTCAGCTGGCAGGGGGAGGTCAGATGAGCATGTAGCACCCAGCCCTCGCTCATCTTCTATGGAGCAGGGCGCATAATTTTATTCATAACTTTTGTAATATTCGTCTTGCCGCGATATGCCATATTTGTATGACCTTTGACAGGAGAGAAAGGTGTGAGGTGAGGTGAGGTGAGGTGAGGTGAGGTGATGGAAAGAAATGTGCATGGTTTGTGTTCTGATGTTTTTTGTTGAAAGAACGGAGTGCATCTTACATGGTACGTGTTTGGGGCGCTGGTGGTTGCATGTCAGATAATGGTATGGTAGTACTTGGGGACTGGACTAGTGGACCTGCGTTTTGTGGCATTGGAGGTACGTTTGGTGGGGTGGTACGCGAGTAATCGAATGTTTTCGAGGGGTTCTAGGCTTCAGGAACGAAACACGGTGATAGTTCATCTAAGTTGTCATACGTTCGTACATAGACAGCTCTCATTCACGAAGCATGTGATATTGATCGGAGGGAACATGGACCGAGTTTAACACAGTGGAGGTCCCCTGATAACTAATAAGCACTATTCTGTACATAGAAATTCGAGTCAAAATAAGTCAAAAAAAAAGTTGACGACATCGATAGAGCCGTTGAAGCCATGGTGGATACATAGAGATTGTACATAGCCCATAACCCAAAGAAGACTAGCGCCTCCGTCATTGCTAGCGGCCCCGCATGCAAGGGTCGGTCGCGATGTCCCTCCAAAGTTTTGAGAGTGAGCATCTACAAGTTCTCGACGCCACACACAAACCACCATGGAGTTCCAAAGAGGAGAGCGCGTAAACCTAAACTTCGATACCGGCGCAGTCGAGAAGCTGGACCATGAAGAACAACAGCATGCGTCTCCCATGCCCGTGTTCCCCTCCTTTGTCGGCGACATTCAAGAGCGCGATTCATCTCTAGCTAACCCTCCCGTCGCGCCCTCACCTAAGCCAAATGTAAACGGGTTTCCGGCACACAAGAAACGCGTGCCGAAAGTATCGGCTTTCAAGCAACAGCGCGCAGCAAAAGAACAGCAAGCTGCTGCTGCCGCTGCCGCCCCGCCAAAAGCGCCTCCCAAGGCACAAGATGCGCCACAACCACAAACGAAGCCACGGAGCGCGTTTGGTGTTGACCGCGATGAGGAAAGGAGAGCAATAGACGAGGAGAATAGGCGGACATTGGCTGCCATGTCCGATGCAGAGATTGAACAAGAGCGACAAGATCTTCTGTCAAGTCTCAATCCGGTGTTGCTGCAGAAGTTGCTCTTGCGGTCGAACATCGACGACGGGAGCAATGAGCGCGACTGGGACTCTGTGCCACCAGAACCGGTACCTGCAGCAGAGGTACCACCACCTGTGACTGACCAAGCCGAGCTAGAACCGCAAACCAAGGCGCCGAGTACAAAGAAAGTTTCCTTTGCAGCCACAGAACCAGAAGACGTAGCACCATCAGCACCAGCACCAGCACCAGCACCAACACAAGAACCCGCAGTCGTTCCTTCCATACCTACAAATCATCCCGAAGCAGAAGCAACCACCACATCGCCATCTGTCCCCGACGAACAACCCACAGACTCCATCCACTTCCCTCAACCTCCACAACCTCCTTCTCTCGACCCCGGCGACCCTGCCTTCCTCAAAACGCTACACGAGAAATACTTTCCCTTGCTCCCCTATGACCCGTCGACGCTCTCCTGGATGGAGCCCATCGACCCTTCCGACACAAAATCTCCATACCACCCCTCGCAAACCGCCCTGAACCCCGCCGAGCTCCGTTTCGACTTTTCAGGCAACCTGCTTCCCCCGAGCGTAGCGCGCAGTATACCGACCGACAGGGGCTTACATCATCACGCTGAAGCCCCAGAGGCAGCGGGCTACACAATACCGGAGCTGGCAGTGACGGCGAGGAGTAAAGTCGCAAGCCAGCGATGTATCGCGTATCAGACTCTGGGCAGGATTCTGTACAGACTGGGCAAGGGGCAATACGGTGCTGAGAGCCCGAAGAAGAACACTGACGGGCCAGTGCGCATTGCGAAGAATCCAGACGTGCAGGACGATGACGAGGAAGGAGAGTGGGTTGAGGACGATGTGGGTGCCGCCATTTCAGAAGGACTCTGGCAGTGCGTTAAAGAGGGAAGGGTAATTGAGACTTTGACAGAAGAAGCGAATAAGGAGCGTGGTCATCTTACAGCACGCACATATGCTCAGGAAGCGCTATGGAATTGGCAGAGGGGAGGTGGAAGGAAGACAAATGCCGTGTAAAGTGCAATTGCGGAGTGGAAGATTAGCTAGCTACTCAGTCATAATACACTATTTACTGCCATCATTATATACGCCATGCCCCACTGTGTTCTTCACTATCCGTTGTCAACACAAGAAAAGAAGGAAACCAGTCCATTATGCTCAAGGTTAAAGTCTATAGCGATAGGACCCCTTGGCTATGCAATACCCTTCCTACTCTATCCTACTAATGCCAGTACCAATACAACCGACACCAAAGTCCGCACCCACCGTTCACTCAACGCCCTTGTTCCTCTTAGGTGGCGACTCCATACCCGAGCCACTCCTCTTCTCCCCAACGTGCATCGTGGCCACAAGGCAGGAGCTAAGCCCTCACATACCACATTAGCGCCAGCTAACAAGATCAAAAAAAGGTATCAAGGGGATGGGGGCAGGTAGCGCTCAAAAAGAAAAAGGGCTTACGCCTTCTCCACGCCTTCAATGACCGGAATGTTGGCCATATCCACAGGTTCCAAAGCCGGCATCTCGTCATCTGAATCAACGAGGAAATCCTGCATTTCGATATCTGGCTTGGGTTCTTCATGGTCGGTGCGCTCGGGTTTCCTGCATACGGCCTGTGTGTACTGTTCCGCTAGATCGGCCCTTACGTAGACGACGCCAGCGCTGACTTTGGGGCGGATCTTGTCCTCCTTGTTTAGTACTTCGCCTTCGTCTACCACTTTTTCCACGCTCTCGTCGTTGTAGCTGCGCCATTCGTTGCTCTGGAAGTCGTAAATGTAGATCCAGTAGTGGCCGCCCTTGACGTCGCCACGGTGCGTGAAGATGGCGTGGAGACGGTAAGGGACAGAGTTGCAATCGCGGAAGACGTTGTCGATCTCTGATTCTAGGCTGCTGATTTGGGCGTCGATGCCGGAGAGTTCGATGGCAAGGTCCACAGCGCTGTTCTGGAGGGTGTCGGATAGTTCGGGAGGTGGTGTCGGGAGAGAGATTAATGTTGCTGCCTCGTGACTTTGTTCTTCTGATTTTTCTGTCATCAGGCTGTTAATATAGTCGCTAGTGGCCTCAAGACACTCGGGGAGATTCATGCCCTCGAGTCCCGTTGTCTGAAGCTTTGTCCTCTTCGCCTCAAGCCCCCGTAGTTGCTTTTGCTTTGCCCATTGCGTCTTACGAAGGTCTAGCAACTGATCCTCGCTTAGGGTAGGCGTCTGTGCAAGATACCGGTCGAGATACATGACCTTTTCGAGACCGACGTGAGAACGGTCATATATAGCCTCGCCTTTTTCGAACTGCAATCGCTTCACGTTGATGATCTGGATGGGTGCGGGGCGCTCGACATAGTCATATCTCGAACCGCCACCGCCCTCTATCTCGCTCAGGCCAAAATCTTCGTCTAGTGTAGCGTAGAGTGAGCGATCGCGCCGACCAGTAGCGACAAGGAAATGATCTCGGAATTCATGGGCTTTCTCTGTTCCTCCTGGTTTCTCCATGACCGTCGTGACTTCTCCAAAGAACAGGTCCTTGATAGCATCTCCTTGCTCGCCTTCCCGTAGGATGGTGTCGCCCGTAATTGCGCAACGTATGAGATCAAATATGTTGGCCATTACTTCGGCCGCATCTTGCTGTCGAGCGCTCTCCTCAATCCTGCCGATCTTAGTGCTGGACGGTACAGCTGGTTTGATGGCTGGCTTGGGGTCCGCTCGTGGTGGAACCGGCGGGGGCCGGGTCGGTGGAGCAGGCATATCACTATCATCTGGTTTCGACTGTTTCGTTGAATCATGGTCCCGCGCAGTGGTATCGTCGTCCATGACTGAGTCTGCAGGAGTGATGGGCTCTGCATCGCCGTCCTTCATATCCGAGTCGGCCGGGCTGGTGTCATCAACGCTGATAAGAGAACCCGCAGGAACATCAGCAGGTGTGAATAGCTCAGCAGCAGGTGGTAGCATGGGGCCGTAGACTGCCGCTCCATCAATGGTACCTAGGGCTGTGCCCTTTGTAGCATCTGCTTGCGGTGATTGTACTGATTCCTCGGGATTGTCTGATTTGCAAAGTGCTAGAGAAGCAATGTCTATTGCAGGCTGTACTGTGTCGGTGGAGGCGGTGATCATACGCTCGAACAAACTTCGCAGTTCGCGGACGACTCGAAAAGGTCAGTACTCGAATAACCGAGGCTGGAAGTGTACTTACATTTTTGCGCTGTCACCACCCTCTCCGCTGTGACAGCGATGCGACCGACTTTCTTGTCCTTTAGAGCTTCTGGTGAGATGTCTTGCATGTGATGCTCACAGTTAAGAATGAGTTCTCTTAGTGGCTTGATGGTGAAGAGGAACTGAAGTACACTGTTGAGGTAGCATGTGTTGCCGATATTGCGAAGACCCACTGGCCACGTCTCAAGAGGATAGTTGTTACGCCGCATCACTGGCATGCTAGAGTTCGACGGTTGGTTATCAAACCTCTGAGACTGATCTTGTTGGATGAGGGCACAAGCTCTCTCCATCCTTTCCCTTTCATTCGAACCGATGTCGTAGGTGCTGAGCACGGACTCCAAAACGGCTGGATCGAGCGCCACGCTCCTGTCAGCTACGTTGAAGGCAGCATATGCGTCGCCTAGATCCATCTCAGGCTCGCTGATGGTCCCGAACTTGAGGAAATTGCGTAGTCGTTCGCTCTGCCGATGCTCTGCTATCACACGCAATGCCTTTTGCGCAGTTTCCACCTCTGCAGGGTTATCTTGAGTCTATGTAGGATGTTAGTGCTCGTGCCAAGACAACCAAATTCATACAGGGTCTCGAGTCCATAGTACCTTTAACGAATACATGGTCTGGACAAAGTCGTCAGCCGCGCCGTGCTCGAGCTCGAACCATGCCATGGCTTGCTCGTATGTTTCGATGGAACCAGACGCTTCGGCTCGTATCCTGTCACTATCGCGCACATCGCCTAGAACTCGCAGTTGCTTTCTCGCCTCCTCGGCCTGTATAAGGCTAATATCTGATAGCCTTGATCTAAAGCAGCCTATAATGTGGTCGTCGCTAATGACGCCTGCGTGGGTCGGGTCGATACCGAAATACTGGTATGCGCGCTCTGTCTCCCGTTTAGTAGTAACTCCCTTCGAGGCCAGCATAGCAACCTGCATGCCAAGCACCTCACTTTTGCGACCAGCTGCCAGATCCTGTAAGCATTCAAAATAGTAACTCTTGTTTTCAATGTCCAAAGCACATTGTCGGGAGAAGGCGAAGAGAATCAAGGCGTCGTCAAAGTCACCAACTGCACCTAGACTAGCGTAGTAGCTACCCAATGTCAGCACAAAGACTAGTGAGAGAGAGAGGTAAAGTGAAGCGGGGTGCGTACGGATGATCCTCTTCGTGGTTTGTGTTGCGTGTCTCCCGTCCCTGAGCCTTGGCATCTGCAATTGTCAGTTTCCACAGGTGTAACAGGCCGGTCAAACGTGAACATACAATCTGCGCATGCTAGTGCCTGTTCAAGATAGGGTCTTGCTGGATTACAATCAAACGGTTGGTGTCTGCAGTTCACACGTTCACTCTGAGGAATGTCAAGTATGATGGAGTTAAGTTCATAGCGAGCATCCTCGATAGTTTCGCGTAGTGTTGTCCCCGTGGTGGCGGGCTCCTCCGGCTTAGGGAGGTACCAGACTTCAACAAGGGTGCCGTCTTCGTCTTCTTCTTGACGGTTTTCGAACCCCAAACGCTTGAGAATCAAGTCGCAGTCCCTACCAAACGTCTTGAGAAATTTCTTGTTCAGCAAGGGTATCCGTGCTTTGCCCTTGGTTGGGTTGAGGGAATCCTGCAGGTATGTGTTGAGATAGTCAGGGCCATCAACCCTACGTGCCATGACTGTGTCGGCTCGGTCGCCAGCAATGCGCTTCGCCGCCTCCAATCGCCTCCTCAACTGGGCCTGGTTTGTCAGGGTATCAATGTCCTGGTCGGAGAAGCGAGGCGGCCTCAGGCTTATCCGAACTTCGACGGCGCATTCTGGGGCGGAGCAGCGGAAGGTGTAGGTGCGTGGTCGTAGCTGGGCGTCGAGCCTGTCGCTGCCGTTCGAATCGTCTTCGCCATGGTAGAGGAAATGGTGCAAAGCATATTCTTGATTGCCCTTTCCACAAGATTTTATATTGGCAGTGCCAGATTGGTGCTGGACAAGCACGTCGACATGCCAGCGACAAGTTGAACAGTATGAAGCAATACGGTAGGCAGATTCCAGGCCTAACTCGCCGTCTGGGGCAAGACCAAGCGACTGCTCTTGCTTGACGAGCAAGTTGTGTCGGCAGTTCCTGTAGGGTACGGCAGGGACGGCTGGTGCCTGTGTGTCATGTTGCGGCGGCGCACTCGTCAACAGGTTGCGGCCAGCGCGTTCCTCGTGTCGCGGGTCGTATGTGAAGAGATCTTGGAGTAGCCGTGGGGCTGTCTTGCCTGTGGTGCTTGGTTAGCATGCGTGGAGCCAGCATGCCTATGGGCACAGTACCGGGGGCCATTGCTGCTGTGCGCCTGGGGAAGCAACAGTGTGGCGCTGATTATAGACGACCGGAGAGGGAATGGTATGGGAGCACAGTACACGGGACGAGATGGGTTGGATGACGTCCAGAGAGGAGAACAAAGGGTGTGATTGATGTGTTTACAGAGCAACCATAGTAGACGGCAACTGCCTAGCAAGCCAGCAGGACCACTATGACTACGACTGCTGAATTACAGAAAGCACAGTGCAGGTAGTGGGCACGTGCATGGCCCTTTGCTGTGCACAACCGAAACACCAAACCGCAAATGTAGGAGCGGCGAGGGCGGACACTTTCTGCTGGCAGTCAATGTGACAACAGTGCAGCCTTGTCCATGGCGATGATGATGCAGTGCCCGCCGCCCGCGCCGCCGCCCTGACCGCCAAGCCGCTTGCGCTGATGGGTCTGGCGCCTGTTCCCGCACCCCGACTTCACCAACGTCTAGAGAGCTCACGACAAGGCAATTCCGACGCCCAATTCCGCCCGTCATGGCCGAACACGCGACATACCACCCGCGGGATGCTATCCATAACACCGTCCTCACGGGAACGCAAACCACAGTCATCGGTGCCCTCATAGCCGGTGTCCAGAACACGCTACGAAAGCAGAATGTCGGAGCCATGGGCGTCCTCACCCATTCGGGACACCTTATCGCCGTCTTTGGTCCGTACCTGATGGGTTTCTGCGCTCTGGCATTGGACTGAGCTAATTGGTGTACAGGCACCGCGGGAGTCGCATATCAATTCACAAAGGACGCGGCCGCCAACTTGCGCCGAAAGGATGATACCTACAATGAGGCCATGGCTGGTTTCGCCGCTGGTGCCACTACTGGCATTTTCCGTATGTGCCATTATCTGGAGGTCCGGCATGCCACTAACCAATTCCAGGACGAAGCCTTCCCTACATGCTCGGTGCCGGTGCTTTGTTCGCTACCGGCATGGCCACATTCAACTACGTTGGTGGAATTCGAGGCGTAGGAGACATTCGCGACCAGGTCGATGATGATGGCGAGGTTGAACGTAGGGAAGAGTTGAAGAAAGTGCGCAGACGGCCATTGTCTGAGACTCTGGAACAACTGGGTGAAGGCCGAGGTATATCGACTATCCACGGATCCATGCAATTGGCACTGACTGTACTAGGAATTTATGGCCCTGGCTGGGAAGAGAGGAGGCGGCAGCGATTGTTGGAAAAGTACGGCATCGATGTCAAGGCAGCCCAAGAGGCAGCATAAACATACATATACACTTTCCTACGAGTTCGCAACATGAAATACCCGATCGGAAGCACACGGGCTACATCTGTGTAAATATCCCAAACAATTGAACCGTGTCCAGAAACCTTTCAATCACTCCAGAGTTCGCCGACGGAGCTTTTGCAGCCATTCTCGAAAGCAATTGCAGGGTCAGTCGGCATAAGAGGGACATAGAACCAACGTCCCTAATAGGCAATCTCTCTCTGCATCTGGGTTGGTCTTGGTTTTATACAAGTTGAATCACATGCTATCTGTAGTTGCTACCTGCATCAGACCATCCGGCTATGCATACACAGCTATTCAAGAAAGAAGAGCCGCATCCCATGCAACTAGGCGCATAGACTGAATCTTAATGAACTCTTGATCCAGCTGATAATGATGGTTGTACGCCTTGACCTTTCCCACCAAGACGCGCATGCGACGCCATTGGCGAAAACGCGGGGTAGCTTGCATCCCACCAGCGCGATGATGTCGTTGCCTCGGATTGTCTCGATACATGTACCTTCGCTGTGAAGCACATGTATATAGACATTCCTTCCCAAGATCAATCCATAAATGCCATCTTAGCAAGTTCAAGCGCCGCGACATACCTAACCTACGCAGCCATGCGATCACCGCCACGTTCTCCCCACCATACCTCACAACCCAACGCGTGCGCCCTCGCGACGTCTCCCTCAGCCCTAAACTAGGCATAATACACGCCCCCAACACGACAAAGAAATGACCACCACAAATCTAAAAGAAGACTTCTACCGCCAATTCCAGAAAGATGTCGCAGGTCCGTTTCCACCTATCCCGAAACATTCGCAAACAAACATAACTAACACCACCACAGACCTCAGCGCGCAGATATCCTCCCTCCCCTCCACCCCACCCGCAAGCGCCACCCGCACCGAAGCAATCGACGCGTGTCTCGCAGGCATCGACCGCCTCTCACACGATGTAAAAGACGCGTCGAGTTATCTGCCAGGGTACGACCAGCGGACGTATAGCGAAACGATAAAATCGCTATCTGAACAGTTGCAGAATATCCGGAATACTTTTTCTCCCCCCAAGAAATTCAGCTTCAAGAATCGGAAGAAAGATGCTGCGGTCGCAGAGCCAGCAGCTCATGTTACTCAGAAGACAACGGACGAGCAGGATACTACGACTACGACTACGCCGATTGCAGTCCCAGAACAACCTTCAACGCTCTCTCATAAATCCTCCACCCGTATCACACTGCCACCCCCCTCCTCCAACGCCTCCTCGGAACACACCACCTCCTCACCAACCCTCTCCCACCTAACCAAGTGCATCGTCGACCTCTCGCCCGCCACACAAAACGGCACCACCCCCTTCGCCGCCCTGTACCTCCGCGAAATATCCCACTCGCTCATAATATGCGGCCAGGTCGCTGGCGCAATACACATAACAGATGTCTCGGATAGTGTGATAGTGACGGCGTGTCGGCAGTTTCGTATGCATGGGAGTAAGAATGTGGATGTCTATTTGCATAGTTCGAGTCGGCCTATCTTTGAAGACTGTGATGGGTTGAGGTTTGCGCCTTTGCCTGGGGTTTATGTAAGTTTTCCTTTTTTTTCGTGGATATTCAAAGGAGATGTTGGCTTTGCTTCAATCAAGGTACTAATGTTGCGTAGATGACACCGGATATGGCCCAGTCGGACAATCAGTGGGATCAGATTGATGACTTCAAGTGGCTCAAGGCGGAACCAAGTCCACATTTCACCATCCTTCCCAAAGGCGAGCGTGTTGCTGATGAGGTCTGGAGAGACAAAGTACATAGTGGTGATGATGTGGGCTTGCATGATATCCTCAAGGCCGTTGGTGTGCGGTGACAACAAGACTCATGATGATGATACTATAAGTCTAATACAGCTCTACACATGTATATTTCAGCAGCCTTTCCTCCAATATAGATCATGGGAAGACATCACGATGCAATCAATACGCTGTTGACGGCCGTAATAAAAGGTGCTGTATATTACATGCTAGTCTGATACCGGCAATGTTAACTGGTAGTACATGTGATGAAAACCTGCCTAGCTAGAGGACACTCCCTAGAAAGATCATACCACCACCCCTTGCCATAAAACCATTGTCTAACTATGTGTGCAGAGCCGACATGCTCAATGCTAGGCGTGATAGGCAAAGCAAGAATGTCTCATCAAGCTAACCCACCACAGCAACAGTGTCTTCGTTGGGTAAAATGCGAAACCGTGCGGGGAAAACTGTTGAACGACTTATGCGAAGTGTGCGAAAGCGAGGGCGACAACGATAGCTGCAAGAGAGCTCTTTCCTGCACCAATGACATGGCCAGTGTTGACAGGAACCTCGACGTAACTGGGTGAGGGGCTGACGATCGAATCGTTGGCGGTGGTAGATGGGTATACTGGACTGTATGATGAGTTAGTGAGTGTGCAATGATTTTTCAAATACTAGTCAAAGACTTACCCAGACCCGGAAGGAACTGCAGAAACGCTCGACGGGACACTTGTTGAAATACCCTCGGTATCAGTACTGGTCGTGTTGCTAGGCCCACCGGCGGAAGGAGGCGCAGTGACATAAGATGTGAAGGTTTGCGTCTGATAGCTGGTGATGTTCATGGTGCTCTCCGGTACAGTAATGTTGGAAACCGCTGGAACCGACGGGCTGAGGTAGCCTGATGTCGCAGAGGTTAAAACTGGGCGTGTGTTGGATGTTATACCTTGGGAGCTGGTTGCGTTGGGAGCTTGTGGTACACCGCCCGAGTAAGTGCTTGACGGTGCGATCGAGCTGCCAGAAGGGACAGTGTAAAAGCTGGATGAAGCCCCAATAGAACCATTTGCCGAGGGGAGGGAAGTGGGTACAGTATCCGTTTGGGTGTTGCTGATAGTTGCTGAAACACCACCGGAGGACAGTGAGGTGAGTATAGTGCCCGTTTGAGTGCCGCTGATAATAGTTGAATCGACGCTCGAAGAAGACCCGACAGAACCGCTGACCGAATAAAGAGAAGTGGGTATAGTGTCAGTTTCGGTGCTGCTGCCAGTAACCGAACCACCGCTGGGTGAAGGCCTGATGGAAAGACCTGTCGAAATCAATGAAGTAGGCACAGTGTCGGTTTGAGTGCTGCTGATGGTGGCTGAACCACTGCCGGATGAAAGACCAACAGAAACGCTTACTGAAGACAAGGAAGTGGGCACAGTATCTGTTTGGGTGCTGCTGCGAGTGTCTGAGCCACCACTGTACGAAGACCCAACGAAAGAGCCTGTTGACGACAAAGAAGTGGGTACAGTATCCGTGAGGGTATTGCTAGGAGTGCTTGAACCACCAGAAATTGAAGGGGATCCGCTCGATGAAGGCCCAACAGGGGGGGTCGCTGAGGTCAGAGAAGCAGACACAGCATCGGTGTTAGAGCTAGTTGAAATACCTGAGGTACCGGGCATAGATGCGTATTCGCTTGATGAAGGCCCAGCAGAGGGAGTCGATGAAGACAGAGAGATGGACACAGCTTCGGTGTTGGAGCTAGCTGTAGTAGCTGAGACACCGGGTATGGATGGGTATCCGCTCGATGAAGGCCCGGCAGAGGGAGTGAGAGAGACAGACACAGCGTCAGTGTTGGACCTAGTTGAAGTACCCGAGACAGTAGGCATGGACGGATATCCACTCGACGAAGACCCGACAGAGGGAGTTGCTGAAGATACAGGGAGAGCCTCGGAACGAGAGCTTGATGGTGCGGCCGAGCTACCCGATGGTGTGGCATACCCGCTTGAAGCGGATTCGATTGGGCCCAATGAGGTAGCCGGAGAACCAGAAGACGGAGCGTTCCCGCTTGATGATGGCCCTGCTGTCGACGAGTCTGTGAAAGAAATTGGCATGGTGTTCGTATTGAGGCTCGAAGACGCAACTGAGCTACCAATAGGAGTGGTATAGCCACTTGAAGACAGACCGATAGAGCTAACAGTGGGAGTCATATAGCCACTTGAAGATGGACCAGCAAGGCTAGTTCCAGGAGATGACATTGTGAGAGACACGGGCATAGATTGCGCACTGCTGCTCAAGAGCGTGACCGAGGCAGAAGGTACATATCCTGGTGTCGTATTTGGGGAAGTAGCGGAGCTAGCAGTAGAGATCGAGTCTGAGTTGCTCTGCGAAGGCACCGTTGGGCTGCCTGGAGAGGTACCGTACTGAATCGAAGAGCTTCCGGGGCTGGGGCCCGCTGAAGGGGTCACCTGGGTGGTAGGTACAGCGTCTGTCTGGCTGATCGATGCGGTGACCGAGATGGCAGGTGGAACAGATGCGGTGTACGAGTTGGAGGGAGCCGCTGAACTAGCTGATGGAAGAGAACCCGGGTTTGTGGATGATGGGACCACCGAGCTCGTAGGAGGGACAACATATCCACTTGAAGAAACAACAAAGCTTGGTACGGCCGACGAGACGGGGATAGAGGCGCTGGTTGCATCGGTGGCAGTGCTGTCTGAAGGAACCACAACGACACTGCTCGAGCCTGTTGGTATGGCTCCAGACGACACGGTGATAATGACCGGAACTGATGGAGTGGCTGAAGATGTCACGATAACGAGGCTTGAACTCAATGAAGAAGCACCATATTCGTTGGAAGCAGGAGCACTCGAAGGTGCGGTAGCCACAGGACCAGAAGAGCTCGGAACAGTCGGGACTGTGATAGACGGGGTGTCATATTCGTTTGAAGAGGGAACAACAGTCGACAGAGCACTCGTCTGAGGGGGAAAGCCGCCGCTTGGATACTCAGAGCTACCGGGGGTTATGGAAGAGCCTGTGATGACACTGACAGAGACGAACGCCGGGTCAGTGGAGTAGCCCGAGCTTGCAACCGAGGGAGGAGGAGGGGGTGCTGGGTATCCGTGGGGAATCGAGGACACTAGGCATATAGTGGTCGTAGCAGTGACAAAGACAACCGATGTCTGAGCTTTGGTAGTATAAGGAGGACAGCTTGCGATATCCGTGCAGATCTCGGAGACCAGATGCGTGGACGTGATCATGACAACCAAGGAGGTGGTGTCGGTATAGGCTCGAGGGGCCACTTTCGACATGTCAGTGATGCTGGGTCAATTGCGGGGTTTGGAGAGTTGGAAGGAGCGACAAGAGAGTGGGATCGAACGGGAACTCTGGTGAAGGGTTGACTTACGAGGACCTGCCAGAGGCTGGACTGCAAGGGCAGTACCTCCGAAGAGGGCGACAAGCTGAGACACCTTCATGGCTAGCGACAAGATGACAGTGCTGGTGGTAGTAGGTGAGAAGATTAAAGAGTGTTCTTGATGGCAAAGATAGCGAGACCAAAGAATCTAGGCCGATGCTGGGGCGGATGGAGTGAGGTAAACGAGTGTAGGAGGTTGGAGTGAGAAGAGGAGGATTATAAACACCGGCAGACGGCTTTTATCGGAGGCCAGGCGCCAAGGTGTGGGTGATCGTTGCAAGATGAGGGCAGGAGTTGGGGAAGGCGCGGTCCCGTATCAGAAACATACCGCAAGCGTCACTGGTCAACAGAGACAGTGCGGGGCTAGCGCACGGCAATATGAAATTGGAATACGTCACATAGCGAAGATAGGAAATGCAAAGTGCAGTCGCTGCATCAGATTGGGAAATGGCACTGCTGCGTGTGAGAGTTCCTTCATCCCGACTCGGGTCAACATTTTTTGTACATACGATCGACAACGCAGGAACGCACGCAGTGAACATACCTTCCTAAAACTAAATCAAGACCTTCCTCAGTGTAGTACTGGCCTGATCATTGCACGGATCTGCAGTGAGCAACTGCTTGTTATAATTAGCCATGCATCACCACAGCAGTCGCGGTCCGTAACTGAAACCTCATTGAGCAATTCTCCATGGCAGTAATGGTGATGTGCATTAATGTGGGTATACTATGGCTCATTATGCTTTTACACTCGAACGCCCAGTTCACAACTAAAAACTCCAAACACCCAGCGCTATGCTGCCATCTAAGGCCGAGTCGGGAGATATGCACCACCAGCAAGGACCAAGTTCATTCGAGTGAACTGCACCTTGTACACGGGGCTCTCCTTTGTTGGGAACACACTGATCTGATCTGCCGAGACACCAGTCTCCTTACTGGTCTTCTTTCCTGTCACCGTCGTTCCGCTTGCACCTTTGGTGGTCATGGCACCATCCGCCTTCGCAGCCACACCATCAGTAGCCTTCTCGCTGGGCTCCTGCAGCACATCCCAAACGCGTACTGTCTTGTCCGCTCCAGCAGAGACTAGGACACTGGACTCGACGCTCCAGGAAAGCGACCAGATACCACCCTTGCCGTGTCCACGCATGCGCTTCTTCCGTCTGCCAGTGTCGAGTGTCCACAGTATGATGTTGCCCGCATCGTCGGCGGACGCAAGTGTCTTACCGTCGGGAGAACATGATATGGCTGTGACATTGCCAGTGTGACCGGTGAACAGGCGCAGACAGTTGCCACCGGCAATATGCCACATGCGTACTGTGCGGTCGCAAGAGCCTGTGAAGATGTAGAGGTTGTTTGGATGGAAAGTGACACAATCGACGTCATTGTCATGGCCGACGTAGATGCGCAGAGGCTCAATATGATCGGTTGACCAAAGACGTGCAGTGCGGTCGTTCGAGCCAGTGAGGAAGTAATGCCCATAGGGTCCCCACTGAACGTCCCATACCGGATTATCATGGCCGCGGTAGGCGACAAGACAAGTGTATGTGTCCAGTGACCATAGTCGGACAGTCTTATCTTCCGAGCAGGACAGCAGACATTCCGAGTTGGTCGGAGGTCCGTTGGGATCAGGGTTTGCAGTCGACGGAGAGAATGCGACTGCAGTTACAGGACCAGAGTGACCGACTAAGCGCCGAGAAGATGAAGGTTGGGTGTTGGCAGTGTCGTTGGGGGAGGTCAGAGGACTGCCGTCCATGGACCAAACACGAATGTAAGACTCATTCATACCAGCAGCTACAAGCTGATTGTCGCCTGAAAAGTCTATGCAGTTGATGCTATCGCAATGTTAGCCATGGGCGTGGAAGTGATACAAAGTGAGCTCTTACCTGTCGTACGTGTTGTGAAAGGTGTACATGGTAACGCTGACGGCGGGACCAACACCGCCAGTTCTGCCTTCCATCTTGTAGCGATCACGGTGTTCAATGATCTTTTGAACTTCCATGGAGACGTCGCGAGCAAGCGAGGGTGGCAGAGGAACAAACTCACGCGACGGACCGTCCTCTGTGGGCTCACGTTTAATACGTTGCTCAAATTCCTCTACCAAACTCAGCTGACCTGGTCTTGGCGCGGACTTAGCGTCCTCGTCCTGCAGAGCAGCTCGAACGTCGTCTTGTAGCTCTTGCTCTTGTGGGTATGCCCCCAATTGCAGCCTAATGCGCGCTGCGTCGGCGTCAGGATCGTGGCGCGTGGTGAGCGGATGACCGGGAGCGTGGCCTGGAATGCCTTCGTCTTCTGCCGGAAGCTCGTCTTCGCCATGTCCGCTAGCAAGAATGGCTGCGATGCTTTTCTCCGCAGTTGCAGTTCGGTCAACTGTGACGATGTTCAGGTGCTCCCGAATGACGTCAATGATTGTCGAACCTCCGTCAAAGTGCTTGGATTCAAGGAATTGAACTAGGTTAAAGAATGGCATAGTTGTCAGCGTTATACGATACTTGTTGTCGAGGTACAGCTTCGCTATGCGACTCTCCTGTAAGTGAGCTTGTAGCCGCACCTGACGAAGTGTCTTGACGTCCTCGTCGTGGTCCCGCTCGAACAAGCCGTGATAGGCCGTAAAGAACGTCTCTGCATCCTTTGTGTAGAAGTCGCGAACCAAGTCCAAGAACGAGTAGACGAAGACAGGCCATAGTAGCTTACGTAGCTCCGGCCTGTACAAGTCCAAATTGTCCTCGGTGTATTTGCGCAGAAGCTCAAACGCCTTCGTGTACTTCGCGCCGCCAGCTTCGGTACTCTGCGCTGTCAGAGGCTGACCGTTGGTTTGCGGTTCGGACTCCTTGCGGAGCATCGCTTCGGTGCGGACATAGCCCTTCTTGGAGAGATATTCAAGTACCTGCATATTGGTTAGCAAAGCCTGTCCGCTCAATTGACTCGTGTTCAGCTGTCCGGACGCGCTGCCGCTGATATGTAGTGAAGAGCGCGCAGATTTGTGAGCAGTTGCTGTATGCGAGCAGGTTGAGCCCAAAATTATGACAATTTATAAGAGTGACCCCAAGGCCAGGCGGGGCATCCAAGGCTAAGGGCTCCGGGGCTTTACCCGGGCAGTGAAAGATGGAGGTGAATGGCAAACAAAATCTGGCGTTTGTACCAATATAATCCGCTGAGACAACGCACAGTACTCAGGTTTACACAAGCGCGGGTGCAGCCAAACTGACAACAAAAGGAAGAAGTATATGAGAGATGTCCACCTACTATTTGGTTCAAATTCTGCTGCGATTGCGGTCCAGAAGAACCTGGTGGTGGTGGACCGCCTTGCGGAGGCATCGCGCTGTGTGGTGGTAAGCCAGCACTGGGCGGACCATTCCCTACGCTCATGGCCCTCACAGGCCCGGGCCCTTGCGGGGGCCCCGACATTGCGATGAAGCTCTTTCCCTTCTTCTATAATGCAGCCGCGGAGCTGTTCCTTCACGTCTTACGGTTACCGGGCGGTCGCAATGCCCATGGAGGGCCGAATCTATACTTGGATGATTGATTATAAGTCGTACGTGGTATTTAGAGTCTCGCGACACGTGAATAATAGGTATGAACAGGTAGGTCGCGTCCGAGGTCATGCACGAGGCTTGCGGTGTTGCGGAGTGGAGGTCGGAGGTGAGGCCTCAATCGCGCGGCCCGCCAAGATGTGGCGGTGCGCCTACGTACGGAGCTCAAGCTTTCCCAGCCCTTGCTTGATCGTTGCAAGAGGTGGAGTCGAACCTTTGTCGCGTAACTTTCTTATAATTGCGCTATTGTCGCAGGGTCTTATATACCACTCCTATGCCCATTTGCCATTGAATCAAATTCCAATTCCGTTTGTCGCTCATATCCCCCATACCCAAACACCCCACCATGTCCACCGACGCAACCCAAATCGAGCAGCAACAATCTGAGGGTACCGCTGCTCCAGAGAAGAGGTCCGACGAGCCAAAGACGTACCGCGAAGTCGCCGCCGAACATATCGACACCCTCAACGAGATCAACCACCAAATCCCCAAACTACTAAAGTACTTTGCGACCGCACTGTCCCAACTCACCAACGACCCTATCCCGTTCCAGAACGATGCCATGCAATGTCAACCCGGAACCCTCGATGCACGCAAAGAAGCCTTTCGCTTGAACGCTATATTTTGTGGAATGTCCTGCGAATTGATACGAAGTGAACTGGTAAAGCAAATCAACGCTCTCGAGAGATACAAGGTCATACCCAAGAGCCATCCAAAGTTCACTGCCGTCGGCAAGAATCAGAAAGACAAGCGTGAAGAAGAGGTCGTAGATCCGGAAAAGGATGTGAAGAATGGAGGCTATGGTGAGTTTGATGTTGGGGTACTGAACGCGAGAGCGAGCTCAGGACAGGTCGGTGCTGAGGACGTCTTGGATCGGGCCAAGTTAATACTGGAGGAATTACAGAAACGGACCCGGGAGGCTTCGGCTACTGAGGACATGGTAGTGGACGGATGAGATCATTGGAGGATGCGCACAACAAGGTACACAGCCGACGAAAGGCCTGAGGCCCAAAAGCGCCCAGGTCTAAGGGTAAATAACACAACACGCCGCGAGCGCTACATCAAGCATCACTATGACGCAGTTGGTTCAGGGTTTGACAAACTGCCGGGAGCAGGCGCCATGGAGCAAGCAGTCAGACTGTTCATTGCAGGACACTTTTTGTGAATACTCTGTCGCAAACCTGACTTCTCAACACCCTCCCAGATGCTGAACAGGCCAGCCCATCCACAAAAGGTGGTGTATATAGAATTCAGCACCAATACAGTCATGTCTAATGCGGTTTCCGTCAAGTACATCACCTTTCTCCAACCAAAGTCACTCTATCCCTTTATGTATCATCCATCCTATTCCAAAGCCTGCTTCATGACTCCGATATCCTTTGGCGTCGTTCGACAACACCCCCCAATCAGCCCCGCACCAGCATCCCTCCATTCCCTCGTCTTCTCAGCCAAACTAGATCCCTCTGTCCTCTTTCCTTCCCATTCTCTCGCTTGCGCGTTCCATTGCTCCCCAGAATTAGGATACACAACTAGCGTCCCCCGCTTCACTAGCGGTTTTAATGTCTTGAGTGCAGCCACTGAGAGGTCATCAGGCACACAGTTGAACCCTAGAGCAACAACTTGCTGTACGTTATCGAATAATGCAGCGATCTCAGCCAGAGACGTCCCGTCGCTGATATGCTCGCTGTCTCGGAGGGTGAAGCCAAACCAGGCTTCTGTCGAAGCAAATTCCGTGGTTAAGAGGTCGATTATGGCCTCAGTTTCTGCTTTTGATGGTATTGTCTCGCAGGCAAGGATATCTACACCGGCTTCTACTAGAGCTTGAATGCGTCCTCTGTGGAAGTCTTTCATCTCCTCTTTGGGGATAGAGTAGTCGCCGCGGTATTCCGAGCCATCTGCGAGAAACGCACCATAGGGGCCTACGCTTCCTGCAATGAACAGCTGGTTTCCGACTTTTGCAGTCGATTCAGTGATGTATTGGTCTCGAGCCTCTTGGGCGAGTTCCACACTCTTTTTGACCACGTCTTTGGCTTCCTTTTCGTTCAGTTGCAGATGCTTGACTAGCCCGGGAATGGATGCTTGGTACGATGCTGTGATTGCGACATTTGCGTTTGCGCGGTAATAGTCGAGGTGTGTTTGCTTGATCAACGATGGTTGGTCCAGGAGGATGGAGGCGGACCATAGTGCACCGCTTATGTCTGCTCCAAGGGTCTCGAGATAGGTCGCCAGTGCGCCGTCTAGGATTAGGGGAGACCCCTTTACGATGTGTGCGGATAATCTGTTTGGTGGGGCTGTAAAAGTCATCGTAGGCGATTTTACCAGAATGAGCGAATACGGGGAAGCACAAAGTGAATTCCTTCTTTTAGTAGGCTTGAAGGCAAGGATTTTAAGAGAAGATTTGTATTGATCACATCATCCATGGCCGATTTGCGGAGTTTCAAGTGCCGACGCTTGTTAGCGACTTGTCTCCCAAGGTGAACGCCCGATGTCGTCCCTGCTGTTGACTAGCTATCGGAACCAACAGCATGGGAAACAGCTATGATGGACTGGGATCTTGGGAGTATACTCACTGGCTGTCACGTCCTATGTGGTGCTAGACAAGGTCGAAGGTGACATGACTGACGAATTAGCGTCGTGATAATTGTGGGTCCGTCGCCGACGCGCTGACCTTCCGGCGTACGCGTCACTTTGAGCCCAACCACCCGGGTGTCATATCATAAGATACTTGACATGCCAGTGTACAGGCCAGTGTAGTCGCCAGACACGCTTACCCACACTGTCAAGTATTTTATACCACCCAGGTGTACCTTTAATCTGGTACCGGATTATTCTTTCAGTCTCAAGCCTAGATGCAAGCATGTCGAGCTTTGATCCTTCCTCTGGTCTAGTCTACAGAGAGACGACGTCTGACAGTGTTCGAACAATGAGAAAGACATGGGCGAGCCAATGTCGAGGTAAAAGAATAAATCCTGCGGAATTTCGGAATAAAGGCCAAAGATGCCCCACTCTTCAGTCAATGGTACTGCGTGCTTGTATATGGAATATAGACGACATGGAGCCAGAGGCACTCCAATGGCTTACATGGACGTATGCTCGTCGGCTTTACGATCATGTGACATCCAAGTAAGTAGAAGATTGTATCAGAAACTCCACTTGATGCTTGACTGACGAATACAGTGATACCCTCACTTTTAAAACATGGAGCCTCTTTCACGGCGTATATCCCAACGACATTAAACAACATGCTACGTTTCGTTTCCACGAAGTGGATGTTCATTCTATGTCATTTGCGTCCCGACAGCTTCCCTCTATAGTGGATCGCTTATCCAGGCTCGATGTCAGCATGTTGACTTTTCTTTCAATCCGGTGCCATGATCTGATAATCGAAGACCTGGCAGCCCTCACCAAGATCAATTCACTTGCTGTTCTCGCACTAAGGGTTGAGAGAGTAGCTGGTACTTACGTCGATCCAATTCGTGACTGGGGACGCATTGTACATGAAAGTGGTGCTTTCCAGAAGCTACGCGTACTTTTTTTCTATAGCCCCCGTGGGATCCAGAGAGACTCTTTGCTCAAGCACATCGCTTCTTTTAAAGCTCTCAACCTCGTTGGTATATATGATCACAATAGGGGCCCTGACACCATAGAGGGTTGGATGGATTGGTCTACCAAGTCTCCGCAAGAGTAAGCAGCAAGATATCGAGACATCCGGTGCTCTGTTGACATAGATCTCTCTAGCATCCTGTGCGTGAAAAGTAGCCCTTCGGCTATCTGGGATGACCGCGAGATTGGAGACGCCATCAAGACGCGACAACTATACGATCTCTCCCTCACTCTCTCAAAAGAGCCACACGAAAAAAATGCCTACAGGTCACTAGCCATGATCTATGATGCCATGAACGGGCCTACTTTATCGAGTAGTATTAAATGGTTCTTTCGGGAGCCTGAACATATGCCTGGTCAAGTAAGCAAGCGCCCTCTGAGCAACACATACCAGGATGAGAGAAGGGATGGAGATGGAAAGAAAAAGAAGCTTCGCGCTAACAAGAAGGTGGATGTAGATTCACTCTTGGGTAGCTTTGCGTAGCCATGATATTGTCAGAGGTACCGTAGAGGCGAATACGTCCCGTATTGCTTATCGGCAAAAGTTGTACACTGGCAGATTTGGCCCGTACAAAGCCGAGCCGCCAAACTAGAGTCTTCAATCAGATCAGTATGTGCTTGAATAATTTCTGCTGTTGCTTTCGTCCAGTGTCCTGCTCAAAATAGGGTAGCGACTCTGGTACCACGGTACAGTCGACCCGATGCACACAAAACTACCACATTTAAAAGACTTTAGAAAATTACATCGACGCTGCAAATTCGAGGTCGAGGAGAACCCTTACTCGTACCCTGTACCCTGTACCATGGGACACCTTTTTGTGTTTGCGCGGTCACATTCAGAACCCTTAGTTACTTAAAGTATTTATTCTGGGTAATTTTCAATGACAACTCTCCTTCTGTCACCTTATACCGGTCATAGTTGGTCGGATCACCGCTGCGCATCAAAAATTATGCCACTTTTACGTAGGCTGCCTTTACTTGACCTCCTCGGATCTACTCCAACATGGTCACTTAGCTCGACACGAAGCATTGCAGTCATCATGTCAATCCTATTTCAACCCAGCAATCCGTCCGAAGAGCCATACAAGTCCGCATCAATCGATACCAATATGCAGAAAATACATATCCCTGTGGGCATAGTCGATCGCCTTCGTACTGTCTTCGAGCAGAAGATTTCTGAGCACCAATATGAGCGCGATGGAGTATATGCCGAACGCACTATGAAAGCTCTGGACAAACTTGATCGTAACGACATGACATACGCAGAACAACTACGAAATGTAGAGTTTATAACTCTCTTTCACCTTCCCGAAAACCTCGCTACGTTTATCCGGGACCATGATAACTTCTACCGCGCAACTCTACGATGCCGAAAGCGCGTGGATGAGGCTAAAAGCGGGATGACGAACATGAGCACATTGACTGGAGTCAAATATCGGATTAGGAGCCTCCGAAATTCGGTCTTGCTAGATGTCCTCAAAGAAGAGCCAATCGACCTGATGAAAGAAGACCCAAACGTTGAGCAAGAGTTCAATGATTTGGCAATCCTATTCAAACTGCAGATGCTGACGACCCTTACACAACTGGATATGTTGAACCAAGAAATAATGCATGACACCGAAATGGAGAATGTTGGTTCAGACCACGACATCAACGATTTCGGTCAAGTCGTCCCATCACACCGGATGCGTCTTCGAGGGAAAGAGGAAGTTTCGCAAGAAAGAGATCATTCAGTGCTCTGCTGCATCTGCCTCGCTCAATACGATGGCACCAAGCATACCGCATTTCGCCTAAATGTCTGCGATCACATCATCGGAAAACCTTGTATGGATGCCTGGCTCAACAGTACCTCTAATAATAGTACTCTCTGCCCACATTGTCGCGCACACATCTGCACTCGCCGCCCACGCCGCCCGACAATCTCAAACGCGACGGCAGAGATGCTAGAAGATCGTACCAGGTTGCAGACGCACATCATGCGAGCTGTTGACCTCGCAGCACAGGCAAGTGAGGTATACTTTGATGTGTATAGCGGTAGCGATGAGCACGATAAAGCCAATCATGTTGAGTTTAGTGACGAGGATTGGAAGGACAAGTTGATCAGGCAGCTGAACAGGAGGTTGGCTACAAATCAAGTCAACTATATGTTCCTGTTGATGTGGAATGACGTAGGGAGTGGCTTGATCTGGCGGTTAGAGGAGACGGACGTGGCGTTCAGGGAGCTAGGGGCGTGAACAGTCCGGAGTAGAGGGCAAGGGGAGATAGTTGATTGACGACACTGTCGGAACACGTTATCATTCAAATGTAACTATCATAGCGGTCTGTAACTCTAGGCAGCCATCGCAGAGTGAACTCAAGGGGGATTTGGTGTGACATTGGAACCTAAACATCTAACCCGATCTGCATTAGCCTGTAGACGTTGCAGCCGCGGAGGCTACATATATGTACTGTTCCCGCCCTCGTCATTGATTTTCCACTCTTCCTCAACTCTACGTTTCAACATGGACGGCTCTGTCGAAACACTTCAGGGAGCTTATGATAAGCCCCCTGGCCTACTTCCGGAGCTATGGCTTTCCGTCTTCGAGCACTTGGCAACTCACGACAAACACCTATTCGATCAGTCTTCGACTTACAGAAGAGAATCAACACGGACTCTACAGAGGCTGCAATATGTCTGCCGGTCATGGAGGGTAGGGGTAACAATTCTGAGCTGTTGAATTTGTTGTCTTACACTCAACAGGACATGATTAAGCCACTCGTCTATCGGCACTTCGTCATAGGCTGCTGGGATCCTTGGATACATTGGAAAAAAGCTTTGGCCGTGAAATCTCTCATCTTTTCGATGAAGAAAGCATCACCGACTCCCCGAAAGCTTCATGGATTCACACGTTTTGGGTCGACGACTTTCCGGTTTTCATTTCGTCTGACAAGCATATATTGGAACAGCTACGTAACGACTCGGTCGCGCTTGGCCCGTACGACTGCGTTGTGCGAGCTTTTCTTTCTCATTCAACTCAGAAAAACAGACATCGCAACTATTGCACGCTACCATGGTCCATCACTTACCAAACTATGTGTCCGTCTTAGCTGCTGGGGATCTTTACCGCTTTTGGAAAATTTTCCAGCTCTGGAGGAGCTTGAAATACATATCCGCACTATGGACTCATATGGTAACTCGTTACAACCGATAGATCGCGAATTGGCTTTGCAAAAATCCAGCCTTGACAAAGGCGTAGCTCTGCCAAGTCTACGTGTGCTCATGGTTTCTGTAAACTTTGCAGATGTCATATTACAGGTCTGGTTGACAGCATGCAGCCTGCCCATGCTCGATAAGATGATATTCATGGGAAATGCTACCTCGACTCATCGTGATAACACCAGTATATCGGCTTTGCTGCTCAAGCACGGTCTTGAACTTACACACTTTGGATTCACTGCCGATTACATAACGACCCACACTTCCACAAAGTACCTGACTTTTATGACAACCACGCTCTCTCAGATTTCAAGCCTATCCGTCGTCGGAATATCTACTCCACTCAGGACCTCGTTTAGCTTTGATAATATTCCAGTTTCAGTCACTGAGATTATTTTTCGCGGCACCAATCGTATGTCTGACCATTGGGATAGACCGAACTTTTCGTCAGCAGTAAGAGTATTCCGGGAACTGAAATGGGCAGTGCAGCGAATGCCCCCAGTACGAGCATTGCGTAGTTTCCGCATCATTCGGGAATACAGAGCTGGGAGACCCTGGCTTTGGGAACCTGTCATGAGATATGCGAATGAAGGGAGATTCCAGATTGGGAAGAGGTTTAGGAAACCTGTTATGAAACTATAAGAGATGGGCGTCGATCTTCTGGACGAACATGGTGTTAAGCTCGCGGATTTGGTAAGGGAGCTGGATAGGAAGAGCCACCTGACTGCATGCCCGACGTGTGGGACTTGTCGTAGGAACCAGCCTGCTCGTGCTATTAAAGTTAAGAATGTTTAATATACGAGCTTTCTTTAAGACCCACTGTCTTATGGTCGTATCGCCGGGTCAAGATTGTGTTCAAATGTCACAACAAATAGAGTTGGTGTAAATGTTGTACCATAACTACTAATGTTGCTGACTAGCACAGACTTTATAATTGCGTATCCTCGTCAAACTTTCACATACGACCATAGAACACTGAAAACACGGCTTCCCGTCCGCTCAGCCCTAGTTAACCAGTGTATCGGCGGATTAGTAGTCAGGTGGGTGACCACTGGCGAATCCCCGCTGTTGTATGTTTTTGATTTTTTTTCTCTCCCTCTCAACAAAAAAGATACGTCGTGATCATAACAGTGATGATAGCTTTGCTCGCAGAAAAATACGGATAGGAAGGAAGCCACCACACTAACCTACCCGGTCAGCAGCGTTCACTCGCGACGGCAGCTACGACCGCCAGAACCCGACATTATCTTCAAACGTCCCACTCGCAGTAACTTGTACAACTTCCTTTTTTGATCTTCTTCTACCTACGCATCGCAAAAGCTATGCAAACCAGCCTGTGTACAACAACTCTCATACGCAGCGTAGTATGCCGGACCAGGGTATCTCTACCAATACACACTCCTCTTTGAATGGAAACGCCAAAGCTATGCTCAAACCAAACCATAGTAGAAAAGAAAATCCCCCTTTGGTGTCTCATTTCTTCTTCTTTCCTTTCTTGCCCCCTTCCGTCACCGGCTTCAGCGCCGCATGTTTCGGATTCTTCTTCAAATGCTGGTAAAGCTGGTTCTTGGACGGAAACGCAGCACTGCAACCAGCACAAGATAGATTTGACTCTGCTTCTGAGACTTCTGCTTGTTTGGCTGCTCGTTTTGCTCGTTTCTGTGCAGCTTTTCCCATTTTGGGTTCTGGAGGGCTGGTGGGGGTTTCGGGGTCGATGGGATCGATGCATGAGGCGTTGGTGCTGAAGTCGGCGAGTCGAGCTTCGATTTCGGAACGTGAGACGTACTCATCGTCGTCATCGTCATCGTCGTCTTCTTCTGATTTTATGTTGGGGGTGGCGGGTGACACTGCGTCGGTCTTGCTAGGTATACTCTTTTCTGGGCGCTCTCCATTTTCTTCGTCTATACTGTCGTCGTCTACGTTGAGTTGCTCTGTTTCCTTTGTAATGTCTTGGATGGCATCATCCGCGGCTTCATCGGAAAACTCCTCATCTTCTACAGGCTCATCTTTGGCTGGTGTTATAGTACCGCTTCTGATAGCATCCTTGTCCAAGTCCAGCTTTGCGTTGTCTTTTTGCATTTTCCATTTCAAGGCCTGGATTGCCTTCTGGTGCTTTTTGCTCTTCTCATGCGCGTCATATTGTCGCTCGCTCTTGAACGTCTTGTTACATGCTACACATTCATAGAGGTCTTCCTCGACCTCCTCTTCAGTTTCCTCCTCAAGCTCGTCAGCTGGTCGTGCCGTAGCCCATTCTGGCAATTCCTGCGCTTCTTGGTCCAACTTTGCAATTTGTGCAGCTCTCGCTCGCGCCGCCTGGGCCTTCCTAGCCTCTTTTTGTGCCTTTGCCTTTTGCTCTTCCGTTTGTGGAGTATATCGCGGGTCTCGCTTGCGTACAAATGCTACCAATGCTCTGACGGCTTCGTTGAAGTCCTTCCTACCCTCGTCCCGTAACTTCTGATTCAACTTGGCCATGGCCTTGCGCTCTTCGCGATAGTCGGCGCGGCTTAGTTGATACCGGTCCAGCCATGCAAAGTTCTTTACTGTAGCGAAACCGTTCCATGCGGTATAAAAGTCGCGCACGACGCCCTCGTATGTATCATCCTTGTGACCAAAGGTTGGATACTCTGGCGCCTCGATGTCCTCGTAGGCTGCCGCGTATGCTTCCTCCTTGGCAAGTTGCTCGAAGGTCTCGCGCACAAAGCCGAAAAAGCCGTTGGGTGAGTCTGTGAAATCGACATTCCCTCTAAACTTGCCCATCATCCGCGCCAGCTCATCTGAGGTAGTCATGCGTATATCGCCCTGCCATGTATCCTCGCCGACTTCCTCCCCGGTACCGCCCCGTAGTATGGTTCCCTCGTGCGCATCATACCATGCGCGCTCTTGTTCGTCTGACAGTACTTCGTACGCGTTCCGGACTTCGGCGAATAGGGCGGTAGCACGTTCGACGTCACCATAGTTTCGGTCGGGGTGTAGTTCTAACGCTTTCTTGCGATATGCTTTCTTAAGTCTGCGGGATATTAGGTCTGGGGTAGTTCAAAGTATAAAGGCTTAGTAACGCACTCGTCTTGTGTAGCATCCCTCTCTACGCCCAGCAGAAGGTAGTAACTCGTCTTTACTTCCCCAGTATCTGCAGACGCCTGCGCATCTCCTGTCGACTGCGATGCACCCATGTTGAATCCTGACTTTGGAACAGTTAGGAGTGAGTTGGGACAAGCTTTCAGCGACTAGATATTTTGCAGGGATTTGGTGTTGCAGTGTAATATGAGGGGTACGCGAAAACGAGTGTAAAGCGCATGTAGATTGATTTGAGCGCCTGTATAAATCCTCCCACAGCCTACCCAACTATGGATTCCACCCAGACCATCACCATGGACTCAACGAAACTCTAGGCGGCCGCGTAGTTTGTTTGGTACCTGGATGAGTGGTGAAGGCACTGTTGCGTCATGCGGCGACTCGGATGTGACTGTGCGCTAGAAGCTCATTGGTCGCGGAACAGGCATGCGAAAAGTCTGAGAAGACATTGACAGGAAACAGCGCTATTTGCGGTACACAGAATCTAGACAAGGGCACCTGCTATAGAAGTGTTTTTTGAGCTTTTACTTAAAGGCGCCAGTTCCCCGGTCTTTGAGCTCGCGTAGAAAAAAAACATCCATCGATTGATTTTCTGGGGTTTTCGATTTAGCGGCTTTGTTCACAGTCTCGTTCCCTGAGCCTCGGAGTAAAGCGCCGGTGTGCTGAGCACACACAATCCCCCTCTATCCTTACACCGCATGTCACTCTTGTACCTACGCCCCCAAAATCCCACCACCCCACGAACCGCGATAGTATTACTTATTCCAACGCTCGTCATACTTGCGCAGGTGCAAACGGTGATCACTGGAAACCATCTGTTAGCCTGACCCACGGAACCAGGTCCGAACCAAGGTGGAAGGTTCTCCGCTAAATTCTCCGCTAAATCTGTCAACCACTCGCCACGCCACGTGCGTCCTCCTCGCCTCCTGATCGGCTGGCCCCAAGTCACGAACAAGCTTCACGCCTGCCCTGTCCCGAAGTCTAAACCATGAAGTTCGGCCATCTATTCAAGCAAACCCTGCGCGATGAGGGTTTCCCGCCCGAATGGGTCGACTCCGCCATTTCCTACTCGCAGCTTAAGAAGTGCATAAAACGACTTACCGACGAACTGCGGCAGGTGGGCCTTGATCCCACTACTTTGTCCAAGCTTCTGAAGCACGTCGAGGACTACAACGCATCTACTCAACAAGACGATGACCAGGAACGTCCTTTTGAATACATCCTGGACCCTGAGAGTTCCAAGAACGATGCATCGCCGTCGCCCAAGGCTTTCCACCCAAAGCTGGTCTTTTACGTGAACGAAACTAGCGGAGAAGTGCTAAGCGCTAAGCTAGACGATGAAACCAAGCGCAAGCTACAGATGCTCGCCGTCGAGACTGGCATGTCTGACATGCACATGTTTGATGAATCCAGTCCGCCGTTGAAATCTCCGGATTCTGGCACTGGTACCATCAGTCCTCCATTTCCGACCCGACAAGACTCTACTCGAAAAGGACACAGCCCCACGCGGAGTCGCCCTGGGTACCGGACAGTACTAGTACCCATCACCTCTGACACGGAGTTCTTCACCCGGCTCACTAGCGAGGTGTCAGGGCTAGAGAAGCTGCAAGAGCGGGAGCAGAAGCGGATGAACGTCCAGATTGAAGCACTGGGGAAGCAGGTATCCAAGCTAACGGATCCTGATCGGCGGGCCAATAGGAAGATGCTCAAAGCCTGGCGACAAATCTTCCAGATATACGTCGAAGAGGGCATCTTTTTTGGCACGACGGAACTCGACCACAAGTCGCATGATTCGGAAAAGGCAATGGCCAGACTTGCTGGTTTCTCCAACAAAATCGCAAAGGCGGGGTTAGTGGAGAAGTTGAAGAAAAAGGACAACATCCAGGCCTTGAACTCGTTCATGCACATTAACCGCGAGATACTGCAAGGACTCCGTTTCGGAGAGATTAATCACAACGCCATGGTGAAGATCTTGAAAAGTAAGTTTGACAATAGACAAATACATGCAGCCCCACCTCCCCCAATCCTTCCAAAACTTCTAGAACGTCCACAAGAATCCCCACTAAAACACATCTTGTAGAATTCGACAAACGCACAGCCCTAGGAGTAAAATCTACGTTCCCCCGCCAAGTCGAATACCCCGAATTCTCCGAACATCTCGCAAAAGCAGTCTGCGCACAAGTAAACACGCAAATCCTCTCCCACGTCCCACAAATAGACGACTACTCGTGCCCCATGTGCATGGAAATTCAATGGCGCCCCGTCAAACTCAGCTGCAACCACACGTTTTGTATCCGCTGCCTGATCGTTATGCAGAACAATAAACAGTACAACTGCCCGTTTTGCAGGGAGAAGACTGTGTTTAGTGCGAACTCGGAAAATCTGGATACCAAGCAGGCAGCGTTTTTGAAAAAGTGGTTCCCTGATGAGGTGAAGAGTAAACAGCGGTACAATGAGCTCATGGCAGGCGTGGATCAGTATGGTGAGGTTTATGCGACTGAAAAGTGCGTGGTCATGTAACACTTTGTTTTCTTCCCCCTCTCCACCACTTCACCACTCCCAACTCCTTTATCGCTGTTTCGAAACTTGTTCTGGGAATGAGAATTATATGCTAAGACTTTTCTCCTATAAAGGTTTCTCCGCGGTGGCAGTTTATGGTAAGTTCTTGTCCCCCCCCCCCCCTTTTTTTTTCTTTTCTTCGCCATGTTGTACCTGCATAACTAACACGCATAACTAGGCATATGATCTAACCACACACATTTTCTCTTTCTTTTCCCCCAACGGTAGCCCTCTGCGGCTTTTGTTTTAAGATACCCCCCCGTTTTCCCGGCGCAAGCTTCATGTACATACAACACATGGGATAGAAACCAAACCTTTTAGATTACTCAACTTAATCGTTTCGTTTTATGAACATGGGTTCATGTACGTTGGTGGTCAGTGCATGATTTGATGATATGTCGTTGCATGAAGTGATGACGATGACGATGACGGTGATGGGGTAGAAACACTATGCAATCATAGCTAGTGTTGTGGTGAGATTTGTTCCAAGTAAATATATGTCGTGCAGTGATATGCTACGGGGTACGTGGTGGTGGTGGTTGTATAAGTCATTCCGCTCAGTTTCAGTCCACAAGTGTCCAAATTCAGAAAACTCATCCCTAAATGCAACCAAGTAATAAACAAGAAAAGAAAACGCTATGAGAAGGGCGGCAGAGAGAGGGATAGGAGGAGAGACAGTAGAAGGAGAATTAATGCCAGTCTAAGGCTCTCTCAGATTTGAGCACGAAAAAAGAAGACGCTATACACTGCGCTCTGGGTGTTCTCCCTCTGCAATCACAGCAACACCTAGACCGCGGTCGGGTGATTGTAGCACGAGTTGTTCGTGCCGCCTCGCGCGGATGAAATCCGAAACACTCTTAATCAAGATGAACCAGCCGACAATCATAAGTCCATATGCGACCCAATCGCTGCCTGTTATGGCGCTATTCGCAGGCGTCATGTCACTGCCGCCCGTGTTTCCACTAGCCACCTGATCGGGGTCAAAGTCGTGCGCATTGGGATCGCTGGGTACGCCGCCGTCGAAGCCTTGGCCTGGGTTGTCGTTGCTGCCGTTGTTTGGGCTGAGGACGGCGGTGCGGAAGCCGAAACCGAATTGTACGAGGGTGATGCCGAGACCAGCGCGCGATCCGTTCTTTGCGGCGTGGGTGGTGTGGAGGAGGTAGGTGAGCAGGAAACCGACGAGTTGGAAAGACATGGATATCATGGCGTTCCAGAGGAAGCTGAAGAGGGAGCCGACAGGAAGTCCTTCGACAAAGACTTCGTCGCCAAAAGTACCAGGGGCGAGAATGGTGGTTTCCCAGTAGGGTGGTGTTGCGTCAGCGGCGGCTTGTTCGTATGTCTGGAGCATGTTAGTATATGACGCATGTAATTTGATGTTTGGGTGGTACATACCGGAGGCTTCTCCTCAGCGTCCTCTCCTCTTGTTGGCTTTGCGCTCAGATTTGCCCATACGCCACCATTTCCACCACCGTACACCCGCCCGTTACTCGGTGCCTGTGGGTTGAATACTGGAAGTTCCGTTACTCGTCGTTGGATGCCTGGCGTCACAGGCGGCTCGTCCTCGGGCTGGGGGTTCCCCCGCATTAGGCGCTGTCGATCATCGCGCCCATCGTGCTCGTCGTCGTCGTCGTCCGAGTCGGAATCAAAAGTGTCGGCGAGTGTTCGGTCTTCTTCGGTGGGTGCTGGGTCCTCTGCCAAGACTCGCCGCGATGTGCCGTTTGGTGAGGATGCGCGGGAGTGAAAGGACGGAGGTGGCGAGGCCGGCGGCCACTGCTGGGCGGAAAGGGACGTTACTTGCGAGTCGTCTTCATCTTGGGCGGCCACCTGCAGTGTCGTGTCAGTGTCGTGTGTCTAGAGTGAAGCCATGGGTGCGCAGTCGCATAGTGTGTTGGACCAAGTGCGAGCTGGGGGTAAGCAGGGCAAACATACCCTCTCGTAGCCCTGGCTGGGCATGTTTGCGCGGACAGCCGGATGTTGCGAAAGTCTTGTTTGTGATTATATTATACCGAGTCGTTCAAAGGGAGAGTAGTCAGGAAGCTGAGGGGGTGGACAGCGAGCGTTGAAGGGCGATAAGCAGCGGCGGCAAAAGGCAGTGGTGGAGCGTATCAGGCGGCAGGTGCGTGGAGGAGGCGTTTCAAGTCGACAGCGCCAGCGACTCTCCCGACTTTGTCGCTTTTCGGCCAGTCGATGCGGGTGCTGCGCCACGTTCCAATAAATGCACAGACTAAATCCGGGACCCTGGTAACGGATGCATCATCGACTTTGGCATCGACCATCGTCAAAATAATTTGCTATCGATTTCACCACGTCCATCATGGCGGGTACTGTGAGTAGAGTTGCATGCACGTGAATGCAGCAAGCTGACATGACTCAGATAGCAAAGCAATATACGCGCGCCCTCGCCCTGTGGCCCAAGGATGCCCTGCGCCCCAATCTACCCTTCACCCGCGCAATCGAGCACCATGGCCAGCCCTTTGGCGTACAACCCATCACTCCCACCCCAGAAGAAGGCGCAAAACCCCAGGCCCCCGCAGCAACAACCCCCGCCGCATCTTCACCACCTGAAAACCCCAAATTCGAGCAGGCCCAAGTAAACGCCTTGTATTCGCTACTCGAAAACCGCTACAGCACAAAGTATGCGCTGTCACCTGGTGTGCTGAAGCCAAAGTCTGCACCAGAGCACTACACAAAGCTGATGGAGGAAATCGAGCGCGCACCCAAGAAGACGTGGTGGGAGGCCAAGGTGGATGAGTGGAAGAGCAAGATTCGGTGGTCATGAGATTGGATGAGTAACGACATTGTATTATACTGTAACAAATGTAAAAGAGCGGGGCACGAAGCTTGAATTATGACCCATCTTCCCAGAATCCACTATAGTGAGCGCTAAAGTTATGACAGTATGACACATTGACACACCAACATGTCAACATGTACCTGTATACTTCACGGAGGTGCACGGGTGCTAGTAAGTATGCAGCTGACGTTGCAGCGAGCAAGACATGTCCATTCGGAACGAGAAGGTATTCAATCCATCTCTCCACTATCTTCCTCTATATCCTGTATGGCCATCCTGTACGGCCCAATGTCCTCGTGACCCAATGGTACCAAGCAACCTCTGCGAACGTCCTCGAGATCTTATACTCTCAATTATTCCTCTCACGTTGTCCAATGCAGATCGCCCTGCCTCGAACCAGCCTTGTGCACCACTGTCCCCGGCTCCACCATCCACACCTCTTACACTTCCACTCATTCGGCCAAGGAACATACTCCCTAGGAACACCCTCGCTGACTTTCTTCTGAAGCCCGTATACTAGGTTCAGCGGCAGCATGAGCTCTGCCTTGGGTTTCTTGCTTCCGGTAGCGTTGTCCTCTGTCTTGCACTTCTTGTCTTCAACATGCTCGCCCTCTATCTTGCGTTTCTTGCTTCCAGTAGCGTCGTCCTCTGTCTTGCACTTCTTGTCTTCAACACCCACAACTTCCTGGGCAGCAACAACTCTATCACCAACCGCCTCCACCTGTTTCTCTCCAACAGCAGTATCTTCTTGAGCAACAACAACCCACTTGTCCTTCTCCTCTTTCAGGTAGTAAAACTCAAAGCTCTTCCTGCCCATGAGCACCTCGGAGCCATCATCTCTAATGACACCCGCCTGAATCAGGCCCAGCAACTTCTCCACAACAGCACAGCGTTGATCAGTAGAAAACTGCATCAACAGACCAAGATCCTTGTGGTAAACAAGCCCTTCCTCGCCAGTAGCCGTCTTTCTGGTATCGAGCTCGCGCCACTTGTCCTCGACGACCTTGACGTAGTTTCCAAACCGACTTTTCTTCGCCCTCATCTTTTCAACCAGTTTCTTGAGTTCCATGTTCTTGACTTTCGATAGCTTGGCCTCCGGTCCTTTGGTGACAGCGAGAGCAGACTCTGCGGTTTGGCTGCGGAGCTGGAGTAGGATACCCACGTCACCTAGGATGCTCTGCTTATCATGGCTCTCAATACCTGGATTGAAGTCGCGCAGGCGCTCGACGTCTTCGCCGAGGAGCTTGATGTGCAACGCGCTTCGTGTTTTGAGCTTGCCCAAGATGACACAGGCGCCGGCGCTGAGAATGGTGGTTTGGGGAGCCATGTGGAAGGGCTGAAAGGGCTGCTGTTGTGCGTCGACGGGTTCTGGACGGACGAAGTAGGGGTAGCTGGTTGAAGGAGAGGGAGTGAAGGGCCGGTAGGGCAAGCTGGGTGCGGTTAGATAGATAGTCATGGTGGGTGACCTCCAACCCACTTGGGTATTGTTGCGAGGGCGTGGCTATTGTGCAGGGGTGTGTTGCGGGATTTTGCGGGTGAAGATGAAGGCTTGGGCGGTGGTTGAGGTTTTGATAGGCTGGTGGGTGGCTGATCCCGGGCGTTTGCTCGACTCGCATTCACTTTCACTTCTACTTTTCCACGTACAATCCTGTTTCTAACCCCACTCGCTTCTTGTTGCCTGGGTTTCCGACTATGCTACCAGTGGCGACTACAGAATCTTTGTCTAGTCTAATCATTTCCAATAGCCAAGCAAGCGCATCTGAGACTTTGATCGAACAAGCATTGGCGCTCCCATATATAAAGAGCTAGACTGACTTTCGGACAGCCTACTCCGGGTACGTACAATCAAATACTCACATTCTGACTAACATGGCTCAAAACGATGAGCTCTTTCGCTTTCAGGATCTACTCAAACCCGACCCAAAGTTCAGAGGCAACTCGGACATCAAGGCGGCGCAAGACGAGCTTCGCAATGCACCATTCGTATGGTGGCCGGTGAAGACCTACATGGACCAGAATGGCGTCGGCCCAGAACAGTATGCCGTCATGGGATGTGAGATGGCAGAAGATCCAGACGAGGAGACTACACTCCTGGATATCGATGAAGATCATGAGGAGCAACAAGAAGAACCTGATCTAGTCCCCGTCTTGCTGAACACCAATTCTCCATGGTCGGCATTTCTATGCGGATCGCAAGGCTCTGGGAAATCGCACGCCCTATCGTGCATACTTGAGGGTTGCCTGATGAACGATCCCGACATTGGTAGAAATTCAGCACCACTGGCAGGTATTGTCTTTCACTATGACCGAGCGCAAGGTGGCGACGTTTGCGAAGCAGCTTATCTCTGTGGAAAGATTCGTACAAAGGTGCTCGTCAGTGCAAGCCACATTGGTCCGTTGACGGAGCGCTACGAAGCCATAGCCCAACGTTGTGGTGCGAAGATCACGGTCGAGGCACTAGAGTTGCATAGCTCTCATCTCAACACCGCACGCATCAAACTGTTGATGGCTATTGGAAACGCGGGGAAACTCCCCTATACATGAGCGTCAGTCTATCTATGATTACGAATGTCAACAAACACTAACGAACTCCTCTAGGTTGTGAAGAGAATCTTGCGCGAGATGGCAATAAACAAACGTGGCGTCAACGACTTCAATTACAGGGATTTCTTGGCCGGACTCCAAAACGCCGGTCTCTCAGAGATGCAGAGTGGTCCTCTGGAACAACGTCTGGATCTTCTCGAAGCCTTCGTGGACATCAAGCCCAGGGACAAGACTGTCAAGATCAAAGGAAAGCCTACGGTCCTCGCGACCAAGCGCAACAAAAACAGAACCAAGGCCCGTGTTGATCTCTTCTCGAGCGACCCCGGCAGTCTAACGATCGTTGACCTCACCGATCCCCATGTGGACGAAGAGTCGGTATGCGCTCTCTTCGACATCTGCCTCGCGATATTCATCTCGCAAACGACTTGCGGCAAGATCATAGCACTGGACGAGGCGCACAACTACATGGGCGAAGATAATGCTGCCACGGCAAACTTCACCGAACGACTTCTGAAGTCTATTCGTGAGCAGAGGCACCAGGGCGCGAGGGTAGTTATCGCTACACAAGAACCCAGCATCAACACGCGGTTGCTTGACCTCTGCAATGTCACCATGGTACATCGCTGTGCAAGCCAGGCCTGGTATGACATACTCAAACAACATCTTGCAGCACTGAAAGGAGAGGATCATCAGAGGGTCTTCGAGAAGATCGTGCGGTTAAAGACGGGTGAATGTCTGTTATTCTGTCCGACAGCAGCAGTCGGAATTGATGAGAGGAAGGGCAAGATCAAGAGGATGGATACGGATTACTGCAAGTTCCTCACGAGGCGTCGGATCACGGCAGATGGAGGAAAGAGCAAGCTTGCGGACGGAAGCCATGTGGAGTAAGCTGATACAATGCGGTGCGTGCGGCGCATACATTCATGAAGACTTTCACAGCTTCATGTAGAAGATGAGACTGGAGGTTTTCCAGTGGCCAGATGCTTTCGCAAGGACTGAGGAGGAAGCTCACCGAACTTCAGGGGAGAAAAACTTGGTCGCATATGCGCCCGTGTAGGTGTCATCGATTGAATGAATCTTAGCACGTTTGTGTCAAAGAATAAGTAAAGAAATTAGGGGGGTTGACTCTTCCTTTGTTATGCAACGCACAAAACGTGAATGCACAGTAAATCTGAAACCTCAACATTCAATTCAGTATTGGCGGTAACGGGATTGCTAACAAATCTCCATCCCTATCTATCGCCCAACATACTTCAACTCCAACCACCTAACCGGCGGATAGACGATCATAGTAACCCCCATAGCAACCGGCAGCCCCAAATCCGCACCATTCCCAACAAGCTTCGCGATCGGCCCCGTAAAGTAAGTTTGATACATGCACACAACAGCAAATACCCAGCCGACAATCATACCAAAGAGCGCCGCAAACCCATGTGGCAGCAAATCCTTCCGATCCCAGATCTCCCAGTCGAACTTTCCCTTGCGGAAAATGTACTCATCCTGAAGCGTCATGGTAATCCAAATGATAGTCCAGTACCCTATCAAACTCAGCCAGTTGATGAAGATATCAAACAACGAGTCGCGGCCCGCAATCGCGATGACTGTGAATACGATGCAAGAAAAGGTACTCCAAATGGGTCTTGGAATCTTGGCAAATGGAGCGCCGAGTTGCTGCCAGTTGAGCGCTGCAGCATACGTCCCGGGGATGTTGTTGGCCGCGATACATATAGCGAGGATCACGCAGCATACATTTCCGAATGTGTTGAGCGGTTTGTAGGACTCCACGACTAGGGCGCCGATGCCGTGGTCGTCAAACGCTTGTTTCCAGGTAGCATTCTTCAGGAGTCCGGAACCGAGACCGATGCCCAGGAATTCTATCATCAGTTTACCACATGTGATGCCGCAGGTCGTGGCTGCAAAAGTAAGGCCACGGTTCGTCGTCTTGGGGTAGTAAACGACGTAATCGGCGCTAGCAGAAGACCAGCTAAGCGGCCCCGATGCAACAAGGAAGAAGTACGAGAGGCGGTTTCCGTGGAGTACGGCGCCAGTTCCCTCCGAAGCGATCGACGTATCGAAGTGCGGTCCCGCGACGCCGATGAGCACAAAGAGAACCAGGACGGTAGGTGCCCAGACGAACCTGTGACGTATATTAGCTCTCCATATTCTCCAGAATACAACACACGACTTACTGTTCAAATTTGTAAAACCACTTTATCCAA